AAAAACAAAGAATGAATAAAATTTATTTATTTTATTTTTATTTGTTTTTATAAAATTTTTATTCACAATAATATATTAGCAAAATCATTTATTGCGACTTGTAATCATAATATTACGCTAATCGATGTACAGCATTTATCTTATAAGATTTCCATATGTGTTACTACTTTACAATACTATTATAAATAAATGTGAAATTTAATTTGCATTACTTTTATATTTTTATATATAATGAGCAGATGTAAAATATTTCTCATTCGTGTGCGTAATATATTGGTTTTTGTATTTATACTGATTTTACACATATCAAATGCAAGAGAGACAAAGATAGAATGATACTCTCTCCTTGTCAAGCTGTCAGTATGTTACCACGAAAATTTCCCCATGAGTATAGATCTAGTGAGATTTGTTCATCCCAAATATTACATAAAAAGAAGTTACGTAGCTTCGTGAAATATTTTTTAATATATTCTTTATATAATAAAGCAGGGAGACAAAGAGTCAAATTTTGCATTATTGCTCTTAAAAATTTATAATATATTAAATACGATCTCGTGGCTAACCCAACCTTACCCGCTGCTAGCTGCGCATCTTCCCAAGTTATATTATGAATTTTATATTTATCTTTTTTCCAAAAATCGATCTTTGTCTCCCTGCGGACAATCCTACTGATTAAGAATATCGTAAATTTAATAAGATTCATTAAGTATTTTGGCTAATATATGGGATGAACGAATCCGTAATTCCCGGCCGGCCGATAGGCGTCTCCACCATGTCGCCTGTCGACCCTTAATGTATACACACACATGTACAAATAATATCATATTTATAAGAAAACAAGATTAATAATTTATATATTTACAGCAGAATATGATTTATATATAATATTAAAACAGTTACTGATTTTATGTAACAATTTTTATCCTACCATATTTCACAATCATTATTTTTTTCATAAATATATATTAAGATAAATTTTTTAATCATAAGCTTGATTTTTATATAAATTAGCATATATTTTTATATTGCTTATATTTAATACTAATATTATACATATAAAAAAATTAATAATTATGGTGCTGTAATCTTTTGCAGCATGAAGATAAAGAATCAACTTTGAACAAACGTTTGAAAAAAATAATATCAAACTTAATTATATAATATTGCAGTAAAATACTGAATATTGATTAATTGCTCTATTCTGAATTACACACACAACTGTCCTTTAAATTGAATTTTTTCTCTTGCAACGTTTTTCCGCTATGCTAAATGTTGTGACTATGCATAGAGTGAGAAAATGAGCATAAAACAGAACAATTTATATTTATTATTAATAGCACATGCATGTGCTATTAGAATAGAATAAGAGTATATATAAATATAACAAAACTAAATTTCCATGATTCAAAGTAGAGAAGTTAAATATCGAAATAGTGTTAATTATTTAACAATATTAAATAACATATCGAGGCGGATTTATAAAATGAAGGTCATTATATACTACAGAATCATCTACATCAGTGTGACCTAATGTTGAATGCTCTTTACGAATACCTCCAAAAACTATTAATTCTCCTTTTCCAACTACAAGAGAATACAAAATTCTTTCATCAGGTCCTGAATGATCGTCTTGTTTTAAAGGGATCCATGAAGCATTGCACTCATCGGAAAGAACATTACTAATATCTAACACAAATATAGATAATGTGCTTTCGGCTTTTTAAATACTTTCATTAATTGTGCTTTCTTATTTTCTCTCCGAATTTTCTCTTCCATTCTTCTTAATGATTCCAATTGACGTTGTCTATCTGTATTTGAATTACTACGCAGAGGTTGATCGCGAAATGCAGCCATGCTTAGAGTATTATCACTGTAAAATGGTATCGTTTTTGAGATATTGGCTGTATGCGATGAAGTATGTGCATTTTGTGAATGTGATTTGGAGAATGCTCCATGTCGTCCATTTATATTTTCATCTCTATCTATGGCAGACAAATTTCCCTGCCTAAAACAAATAGTGATTAATAATAATAATGAAATTGTTAAGCGTCATTTGCATATATCTTCACAAAAATATTGTTATAATTATCATTGTATCAAACCTTTCATGCAAGAGATTTGACTCGCACAAACGTGGTGATGTACTTCTTTGACAAGCAACCTTTCTCAATGAAATACTCATATCACTTGGTTTGGTTTGACGTCTATTTTTACTAAGTACAATAATATAATTCCCCACCTAGATAAATAATAGCATTATAATAATTGATCTAACAACATGTAGAAAATATCCAATTATAATCAATGGTATCAAATTTCTTCAAAACTAAGTTGGATTTGATATCTTTCTTTTTATTTTCAAGAAGATGATATTATCAAAATACTTTACTATTAAATAGGGAAATAGGGTTTCAATATCATCTACGCTTGTTTAAATAAAATTATATGTAATTTTTGATAGATTGATCTTTTAAATCATTCTATTATTTAAAACAATACTACTTAAAACAATTAAGATAAAGGATAAAAAATACATTTATATGAGACATTTTAATATATTACGTACACTCACACATTATATAAAAATTAGAAAAATAAATATTTTATTTTAATATATTACCTTACAAGCTTGATGACACCAAATACGTGTTGGTGCCCATTCTGTATTGTGCATATTAACTTTTTTCCATGTCCAAGTTATATCTTCCATTGTTAATAACCAAGCATCATTCATAGCAGCATTCGGTCCTGTGCAACCTCCTGTCCAATTTCAAACATATAATGATTAATTGTTTTGATATTAATGAGTGAAAATTTTAATGTATTAAATATTACTTATATATATAAAATATAAAAAAATTATATATATAATGTACATGTGTGCAATAGAATATTTATTTTTAAAAATAATATAAAAAGAATGTGTGTATATATATATATGTGTATACATTCTTTTGTACACACATGTATATTTTTTACATCTTCTTTAACTAAATATTATATCAAATATATATCATTTATCAATATAATTATAGTTATATATTTTCTCTAAAGTATGTATACTAAATTAAACTAATAATAAAAAAGACAATTGATTTAATACAGAACATAAATCTTATAAGCAATCAAGAATGTCTTACCAAGCACAAGTAGATGCTTTCTTCCAAGTTCAATTTGTGACTGTCCATAACGTGGTTGTGGTTTCAAATTTGATGTAGTTTGTTTGTGCCAATAATATGAGTCCAAATTTAAGCACCATACATCATTAGAACTATTATAAAATATTAAAAATAACGCTATAAATACATATTATTGTAATTTTATGTCCAATATTTGTAATTTTACAAAATTATATATTTGCACCTGTATCCATTACAAACTCCACCAAAGACAACCATTAGATTCCCGTGTATTGTTGCAGAATGTGCAGATGTTGGTGGTGGAGTTTCTAATGTATTTATAGCAGTCCACTTATTTGATTCTATAGAGTATATGTGTAATTCATTGAATAATTTCCATTGCTGAAAAATATATTATACTATTATATCTTTTTGTATATTTTATATACACATATTTTATTTCAGAATTTAATTATTTTTTTATTGGTATTCCTTTTTTTTAGTCAAAATATAGGCACTAAATAGAGAAAGATAATTTGTAATAATTCATAAAACAAATAAATTTCAAATAATATTGTAATTTGGCTGTTTATATCTTCTAAATTATTATGTTAATTATATATATATATATATATATATATATATATATATAAAATATAAAATTGAGATATATTTTATAAAGTTTTCATAAGATTTTAACACAAATTTTATTTAAATTAAAAGTTGCTTTATATGTATCTAAAACCAAGTAAACTATAAACTTTTAGTACTGGTAGTTTATATTGGAACACAGCCATTATACATAATATGAAATATGAAATTGTCTTTTTGTTAGATATTTACCTGATGTAAAGGATATGGTGATGGATGAGACCAACCTCCAAATAAAATTAAACTTTTCTTATAATAGAGCATAGTGGCACAAGCTTTAGGCGATGGATAATTACCCATAGTAATTGGCCTGACCCAGGTTCTTGTGCCTAAATCTAACTGCCATAAATCATTGAATGTCGTCCATGTAGCTGTGCAACCACCAAATACGTACATAGAATTATTATATATACATGCGGAATGTGAATGTCTCTTTCCAATGGTGAGTGTCCAGTGTGTAGATGGTAATGAATTCCACAGCAAAGATCCAAAAGCAACAGACTTTTGAAAATGTGCTTCATTATGTTCCATTACATCTAATTAGAAAGAGATATATACATATATTGATATATTAAATTTATATTCCATGTTAACATATTTATATTTAAGTAACATATATTAAATATATAGAGATTAGTAAAATAAATGCATACTTTTGGTAGCACGATACCATCTTTTACAAACAAGCTTGCATTCCTGGAGATCTCTATACGGGGGTAATAAGCTCAGAATGTACTCTAATAATTCGTTAGGTAGGTCATCAAGTTTACACTGCATTTTGCATCAGTTAATAAGTGTATCACAAAAGTCAATTATAATTTGCACGAAACTTGGAGAAAATCGAAATATCTTCTTTCCCATATCAAAATAAAAAGTTTATTTTTAAAAATATATTTTTTTATAAAAACATTGCTCGTTTACTACATAGACCTGTATACAATACGCACATAGTCTCTATGTGTATGTTTATAAGATTTGTCTGTGAGTCTGTGGTTCTTTTCAGTTGAACTGAGCCCGTCCTCAATAACGTCGTACTTGGTCGTACGTCGCAACCGATTCGTTTTTAGTTGGACTAGTAACGTCATTGACCAATCACGCAGCTATTCCTTAGAAGAACAGAATGGTTGCGATTGGTTAATTATAACCCATATTCCGCGTTTTGAATACAGGTCACAATGTTTGCGAGTGTCAAATGGAACGATTCCGATTCCGTCAAAAGGTTTTTTCTCTTCTCTTCTGTCTTCTCAAAAATCTTAAGTCATTCGTGTTCGATACGTTTCGACTATAAGTCGATGCTTCTGATATTTGATTAAGTTAAATTGCTACAGTCTCTTGAATTAGAATGGAAGAATTAGGTATTATTTTGCCAGATAAGGTACGTTTATTTTGATTAGGCATTATTTAGCATATCTGCATAAATCCGTACGATTTAAAATGAAGATAACCTTATAACATATAATTACAGAATTATCATGAGCCTATAATTGTTAATTTTAATTATTGTAATTATATATTCAGGATGTGGGTGAAATCGATTGTAAGCCTGTTACTGGTCACTACACAGGAGCTGGAGATGAATTGGATGTTGAAGATCTTTATACTAAATATAAGGTATATTGTGCACACATTTTTTTCACTATATGTATTATATATATATATGTTTGAAATGTATAGATTTTAAAAGCATATATACATGTATATATATAATTTTATATTCCTTTTACATTATATTTTGTTAACTCTATCTTTTTCTATTGGTTCAATAAATTTGCAACATTATTACAGTAAAATTACATAATATTTTATCAAGTTCATTAAAGGTAACAAATTTCTATTACAAATACATCGCTTTGTTTCTAATCCTTTGAATAGAAACTGCAAAGAATGTTAGAATTTCTCGAAGTACAAGAAGAGTATATCAAGGATGAGCAACGTAATCTAAAAAAAGAATATTTACATGCGCAAGAAGAAGTTAAACGTATTCAGAGTGTACCTTTAGTTATTGGACAATTTCTTGAAGCCGTTGATCAGAATACTGGTATAGTGGGTTCTACAACTGGCTCAAATTATTATGTACGAATTTTATCTACTATAGACAGAGAACTTTTGAAGCCTTCTGCTAGTGTAGCGCTTCATAAGCATAGCAATGCTTTAGTCGACGTGCTGCCACCAGAAGCTGATTCCAGCATATCAATGTTACAAGCAGGTGAAAATCTCCTTTAGAAAAATCTTTAGATTTAGATTACACATTTAGATTAAATTTAAAGAAGATTAAATTATAAATATCAACATACATTTACAATGCAGATGAGAAGCCAGATATCCAGTACAGCGATATAGGTGGAATGGATATGCAGAAACAAGAGATCAGAGAGGCAGTAGAATTGCCTCTTACTCATTTTGAATTATATAAACAAATTGGCATTGACCCACCACGAGGTGTGCTTATGTATGGGCCACCTGGTTGTGGAAAAACTATGTTGGCAAAAGCAGTTGCTAGACATACTACTGGTACAAATTTAAATATACTGTTAAAAAAAATCTCAGAAAATATTTAGAAAATATTTATAATATTAAACTAATTGCATGGAAGAAAAAAGAAATACAGATCTTGTGTTTTAAATTTTATTATTTTCCATTTTTTTCAGCTGCTTTTATTCGTGTAGTGGGCTCTGAATTTGTGCAAAAGTATTTGGGCGAAGGACCAAGAATGGTGCGAGACGTGTTTCGTTTGGCTAAAGAAAATTCACCAGCCATAATATTTGTCGATGAAATAGATGCTATTGCTACAAAAAGATTTGATGCTCAAACTGGAGCAGATCGTGAAGTGCAACGTATTCTCCTGGAATTACTGAATCAAATGGATGGTTTTGATCAGACAACTAATGTTAAAGTTATTATGGCAACAAATAGGTGAGTTGATTGTAATTCTGTGTTTAATTTTCCTGGATTTTTAACGTTATTTTTATGGATATTAAGATAATTGTACCTTTGCTTTGTTATTTCAATATATACTTTCACAGAGCTGACACATTGGATCCCGCATTGCTTCGTCCTGGTAGACTGGATCGCAAGATTGAATTTCCGTTACCCGATCGACGTCAGAAACGTTTGATTTTCTCTACGATTACGGCAAAGATGAATTTGAGCGAAGAAGTGGATCTTGAGGATTATGTAGCACGGCCAGATAGAATTTCTGGTGCTGATATTAATGCTATCTGTCAAGAGGCAGGAATGCACGCAGTCCGTGAAAATCGTTATATAGTTTTAGCAAAAGATTTTGAAAAAGGTTATAAAAACAATATTAAGAAAGACGAATCTGAGCACGAGTTCTATAAGTAAAACTGATATAATACTTCGTCTCTCGACTTACGGTGTGTGTGTATATATATCTATATTTATATATATACATATATATACATATATATATATATTAATATTAATGTGTAAATCATATATAGACATTATTTAAATAATGATTACAATTATTGCTTCAAATGTTGATTCTCTTTGTCCATTATCTTTGTATCGCTTGGCTTTTATTTTAATCATTTCTTATAATAATAATCAAGTATTATATCTTTGATTCTTTTTATTACATTGTCCTTTACAAATAGATTATATGATTCAATAAAGATGAAAAACTAGTTCTTTTTTTATTTTTTTATGTGCATATTCTTGTGTATTCTCTGTATTTATGTATAGCGCAATGTTATATGTATATACTTTGAAAGTTCCATTATGAATTTTTTACTTATATTTTACTAGGTTTAATCATCTGTGATTATAAACTTGAAGCTTCAAAGAACAATATTAATTTCATGATATTTTTTTTTAATTATTTGTTTTTTCGATTTTTATGTCTTCACATGTATATGTATACGTATACGTGCATATATATATATATATATATATATATATATATATACACATACACGTATTTATATGTGCATACATATATATGTATACGTATATTTATGTGAGAAATAAAAATCGAAAAAACAAGCGATAATTGAAAAAAATATGAAAATGATATCGTTTTTTGAAACTTCGAGTTAGAATTTACAATCACATATATATATGTAGCAGTTTAACATTTTTGAATGTATATATTTATATATTTACAACATGTCGCATTTTTTAAGTAATTATAGTAAAAATTCTTACACAAATCAATATAATGAGGTTCCTTTTGTGAAATCAGATTGTATCACGTATGTATACATTCGTCTATATTTTTATTGTCATATTCAAATTTATTATATAATTTTTTAAAAATATTCAATATTTATATATATGTTGCATTATTTTTATTATGAAAATAGAAGAGACAATAAATTCAATCCCTTTCTCTGTGTTTATAGGTTTACCGAAAAACGATACAATAGTGAATACGAAAGAAAGATTCGAAAAGAATCGATCGTATTGACGCTTACAACAACTATTTTTGAGTCTGTAATAGGAAAAATGGAATTAGCAGTTACTAATATTATATTTTCTAATTATGCTAACTGTCTTCGTTAATATATTTGCTTTTATTGGTATTGGTTTTATCATTACATAAATTATCATACAATAAATTCATATATAATTTTAGATGGCTTTGCCTTCTCTTCTATTGGATCCTGAATTATCCACAGTTCTTACAACTAATGAAATGCATATAATAAATGATGTTATGTGTAATGTTGAATTTTGTTGTAAATGTTTACAACAAAATTGCGCAAGCAGGTAATCAGTAATTAACTTAAAATTTAAGATATATATCAGTAGACTTCTACATATATATATATATATATATATATATATATATATATATATATATATATAGTAGTAAAAGTTGTTTGGATCTATAATATATATGTAATATCTATTTTATTTCACACAATAATGTCATTTATATCTTTTATATTATGCATATATTTACTGATAATTTCAATTTACGATTTATGATTAAATATAAATAAATTTTACATTTTTACACTTTAGCATATATAAACAAAGAAATAATGATACAAATGCACATTCTAAAAAATCTGTGTACGACACATTTAATTTCGATTACATGGTTTATAAAGCACTAAAGGTTTTTATCTATATTATATTATATATATATATGATTTATACAAAAAAAATTATTTTTATTAAAAATATATAAATTAATATAAATATATTTATATAAAAGTTTTGTAATTTGTCATAAGTTTGTTGAAATTAAAAGTGTTAAATTTATGTATAAGTAAAATTTGATCTTAATTATTTTATTTTAAAAATATTCTATATTATTTCTATTAAGTTACCAATGTATTTTCTAATCATTTTTATTCTTTCTTTATAGATTCTTGACAAACATGTTGACATTCTTCGTACAAATCCTTATTATAAACATATTTCCATAACATCAGCTTTATTTATGTGTTACATCCGTTATTTTCTAGATTATATTTTAGCTAGAATGCATCTTATGTCAGACCAAACGAGGAATAAAGAATTACATTACAGAAAATTTTGGCGCTGTCAGAAGAAATCTGCCGACGATATTGCTGGTAAAATCATTTTCATATGCAAAAAAAAAATATATATATATACATGCAGGTAAACTTCTAATATATATATGTATATATATGCATATACTAATTTTTTGGGCATATTTGTAGTATTTACTGTTGATTTGGAAAAGCAACGGATTAATCATAAAAGAATGTTGGAGGGCGTAGTCAAGCGATACAGGAATAATATAATTGCTATTAATGAAATCGACAAAAACTGCAACGAAGACATCATAAATACAACGTATATTTTATTATTTAAAAGCTATTATAATATATAGTATATATTTATATATATATATATTTACGTATGAGTTTATAACATTAATTTTATTTTGATTCATTTTGATATATATATAGTATCAAATATGAAAAGAAACAATTTATTTTATATAAAGCATGGGAATTTGAACAAAATGAAATACAATTAGCGTTGGAGAATGTTATAGATGACTTTGAATCCTTGAAAGACATAAATACGAAATTGAAACAAACTATACGTGAACGCAGGTATATTATATGTGTGCAAAAAGTTTAAAATATAAAGATGAAATGTATTTTATTCTTATATATATTGTATATATATTCGTAATTTTATATAATCGTTACTCGAATAGATTGACGATAGAATCGAAATTATTTGCAATAATGATGAAATATGACGTAGAAATTGGCAGTAGATATCGAATGTTAGAAGAACTCAGTGAAGTATATAAATATGATAAGATAGTGAAACATTTATTGGAGGTAATATATTTTTGTCGAAATAATTTGTATGCATATTATTATATTAAATATATGTGTGCTATTTGCTTTAGAATAGAATATTATATATATATATAAATTATAAATTACAGGAAGAGGTGAAACATCAAGAAATATACCTTGTTTCTGTAAAACAAAAAGAATTACGTACACCTACGTTTAAACAAGAACATTTTGCACGGATTATTCAACGTTGGTGGCGAAAAATTTTATGGAATAGAGAAGCAAAAAAAGTGAAGAATATATAGAAAAATGTAACTCATAGCGCACATAAATTTTACATTAAAATATGTATTTTATATATAGGATATGGTAAAAGGTTCCTCACTGCAATAATATATATTTAATTAAATCATTAAAAATCATATAAATATTTTCTTGCAAATTATGAAATCTTCGAAATTAGGTTTTATATATGTATATATATATTCATATATATATATATATATATATATGCTATTATAATATAAAAATGACTACACTTTCAATTAATTTAGATTGATAATTGCGTGTAACAACGATATACTCTTTTTTCAGGAAAATATTTTGCTAATAAATAATCAATACAATTTTTAACTTTAATTGTTTACTTTCATTAAAAATATTAAAATGCATGTATATATATGCAGATTAACATTGCATTTAAATGGCATTTGAAATATATACTTAAAATGGAGTTTTTAATATATAATATATATTTTACAAATTCATAATATCTATCGGACGCGAACAATATACGATGAAAAATCAATTTATATGTCGATGTATATTTTACAAGAAAAAAATTTGAAGAATTTTTAATGTCATTATTCAATTATAGCTGAGGAAAAAAGAATGTTAAATGCATGACTTTGTCATTAATTCAACTTTATGTATTATATATATTATACTTTTTATTATATGTATATATATATACACACTGATAAATTAATATGTGTATATTTTAATACAAAATTATGTGAACATTTGAAACAAACTTTACTTATTAATAAAGTCTTATGTTTCTTTTTAATTTATTGAATCTAATTATATAGTGATATATATTGAAAATTACACAAAAGAATAAAGAACCGCAAGAACACGAAATACGAAATATACATATATGTCATTTTTGTTCAATAGTTTAATCTAATTTATTTACAATTTTTTGTGTTGTACACAATATTTTAACTTTACAATAATTCTCTTCATCTTAAGTACAACATATCAGTTGTAATAATTATGCTTTCGTATTTATATGTTCAATTATGTAAATGTAAATATTATATTATTATATATTTCTGGAATATCATTAAATATATAGAGAAATACATTATATATATATATATATATTAATAAACATAATTACATCTACATATAATATACAGAATATTTGTTACGTGATCGTCATTGAAAATATTGAAATAGACAACTGAATAAAATGTGTATAAATATTCAACATTAACTGCGTATAGATATTTAACATTATGAATTTTCATAACATTATAAATACATATATATTCTTATATGTCCATTGATCATCGTGTAAATTTCGAAAATCGTGAAATGTATGAAAGAGTCATTATAAATATCTAGAATATCTCGTGATCGACTTTACTATGTCCGTTTCAAATTTTTTGTTAAAGCTTTATATAACAATATATATATATATATATATATATATATATATATAATGCAAATAAATAATAATCTCTCTGTTGGATTCTTGTCTGATATCTTATACTTGATGACGTAAAGTGTAATTACATCTGCAAAATAATAGAATATATTTGCTAGAATTTTGAACATCTACTCCTTTCTTTTTTAAAATCTCAATGTATAATTTATCTTACTTTGCTCCCTAAACAATTTTACTTTATCCTGTATTTATGAAATTGGTATAAAGTTACATTAATACTGCAATGTGTGTGCAGCACATAGATACATAAATAATTAAATAAATAGATATATAACTCTATAAATAAACATATATTATTTCCTGAGAAATAAAATAAGATTAAAAAATATTGTTTTTACCCTTCTAAAAATATCTTTACTTTTAAACTAATTATACTTATTCGATATAAAATCTGTATTCTCAAAATAAATGTAATTATAGAAATCCTTAGTCTCTCTCACTTATTGTTAGTTACGTTGCATTGATGTCAAAAGCGAGAAATCATCTCAAGTTTTTTCTCGCACTATATATACATTACTTTTTCAGTACAAATTATTTTTGTATATATCCGTATTCTATAATATATCATATTATACAATTTATAATAAGCAAATAAAATGCTGAAAATCTTTTTGTTCGTTCGTAGATTAATAAATCTCGATCAAATGTAAAGTTTATTTTTTGTTGGAAAAATGTAGAACATGTACAAATGTGGAAGTTTACAAATAAATTAAATTATGCTTGTCAACTAATGCAAGATTAAAAAAAATAAAATTAAAAATGAAATTTTTAATGAAGTTTCTCACTTTTGATATCAAAATTCAATATAGTCGCAGTGTGAGAAGTCAAGAATTTTAAAGATTTGAAAAGACTCGAAGACTATTTCGTAGATATCTATGTACGTTCTATAAAAATTCAAACGGCTTTTTTAGATTACGTTCAATCGATTTATCTCTCACACATTTACGTTACAATATAAATTACATATGCGATTATCGTATATATTGTTAGAAGTCCTGAAAATATTCTTGCAGATTGACAATATATTTGTCATTTACATGAGCACATTTGGACAATACAGATAAATATTTATAATTAAAGAAATCTTATTATAGGCATGCTGTGCATCATTTAATCGATGCGGCATAAATGTTGAAATTAATCGATACATATATAAATACATAGCGATACGTCATTGGTATATATGGGATTATACTTTTTACCAAATTTTACGTGTGGAGAGATATAAACTTAAATACATCACACCAAAAGGCGTTCTAATTCTCTCACATCATTATATATATAATACTAGTCAATACACTATGTGTAGAGACCGACAAAATATACAACTTTGAATCATTTTAAGGATAAAATTGTTTCCAATGATAATAACGTAGCCTATTTGAACAGTTTTGTTATATGTAGAATACAATAAAGGAAAAATAATAAAGACTTTGCATACAAGGAAAGAGAAATAGAAAAAAGAAAAGTAAGTTATTATATTAAACTGTAGCATCTATTTTATCAAAACAATAAACTTATGATCTATATTATAATGAGCTATTTTTTAAAGATCCGGCACTAGAAATATAAATTGAATGTCCATCAGTTTGGGATAATTTTCCATGTACTCAGTCTACCATCTGGATGGTCCAGTGTCAGTTGTAGCTGCATTGGCTCCTATGAATGGGTTTGTAGCAGCTGCTACATTAAAATATCATATTAGTTATAATAAATTATTAGAGCGCTACTTATGTATTTTATTATTATGCTTCTTTGCACAACAAAAAATTACATATTAAACGTTAGATAATCGGAATATATATTATCATTTAAATATATTATCAACATATTTTCAGTAAATAAAAGTGCATATACTACAAAATTTATTATTATTAATTCGTATTATCCGTATTAGTTGATAATTTGTATTAAAGTAAAAAAATATTGAACTTTATATAAGTGCATAGAATTTTCTCTATAAAATTCCATAACCATAAAATATAAAAATTTTCTAATAAAAAGAATAAATAATTACAATTAAAAAAAAGAAACATGATTGGAAAATAATTTCCCTCTTAATCGACTTTTAATCTGAAAAGTAAATAAAAAAGATAATTTATATAAAAACGTCGAGATAAAGAGAAATAAATTCCTATTACACTTACAAGAAAAGTTTAGAATATCAAAAATGGTAAGGCTTTAAATGCGTATCCAAAATATACAATAAGTCTTAAAGTTCTTTTAGTAATGAATTTGTCCTCGTATGTCAAATAATGTATGTCTCAAGATGCAGATTTATTATCAATTTTGTTATCAGGAGCGATACTAATATTGTTATATTATTTAGTTTCCAAATGTTTTATATATGCATTCTTATAAAATTTCCAATTCATATTTTCGACTTATCACAAACTTGCCTCGTTAATCTATTTAATTTAAAAAAAAGTTAAACGTCAAAACATATATTACAAATAAAAATAGGCATGTAGATACTTTACTGAAGAGTAAAAACAAAACGAGTGAAACATAAAATAGAGTGAAAATAATAAACAAATTAATGAAACGTAAAATAACGTATATATAATTAGTGCATATTTTTATTATAATAAAAATATCATTCAGTTGTGGACATTTATCTGGCACAAATTCCGATATAAATTGAGAACTTTTCAATAAAGTTTAAAAAAAAATATAAAGTTTAATTATATAGCTATTTGTATCATAAATAATAAAATGTAATATTGTAATATTTGAAATGTTTGGTAAAAATGCAAAATAGAACAATGTGAATAGCACAAAAATCCTGTTAATTGTGCGCGCACGTACACATTCAGAAAGATACAGACAGACACGCTCGTATTCTCTCTCTCTCTCTCTCTTTCATATGTATATATATACATAAATGTGAATGATAAAAATATGTGGAGTTACTTTCGCTAAGTTGTTATAAAGTGTATCCCCTTTATAACATACATATAAATATATATATATATATATATATATATATATATATATATATTCGTGTTATTGTTTGCTACATAAATTATGCAAAACAGAGGCAAACTCAAAATACTTTAGAAAAATTGTAAATATTTTTTTTCTACAGAAAGGAAATATTCGCGCCTTTTATTTTAATATCTTTTTGTAATATTATAAAACCAGTTAATTGCTTCATTTATAGAATATATTACTTTTAGGAACAATATATAGGAAGAATATATTACCTTTCTAATACAATTTTATTAAAACAGCAAATCCGCGAATATTTAACATTTTATTCTAAATACGAAAGAAATTACAAGAGAAGTTCAGCCTTCAAAAAGAATCTATATAATTTTACATAATAAATCTATTTAATAAAGATTTTTTAAAATAATGACCTTGAAGAATATAAAACATTTGTATAACTAGAAAATTATTTCAGCATAAAATTCTTTTCGATATGCTAAAATCGTCGTTGATATGAAAGCGTATAAAATAGATCATATTAACAAGAAAATGAACAAAAAGAAAAAAGCAAACATTCTTGAATTGAATGATTAATGGCAATGTATAGAAGGTAACTCATAACATGTACTTTCTACATTCAAGAACTCGTAATACCAGTGGTATAAATCACACGTTCACCGCCACTGTTTAAATTCGTGCTTTCGTTCACTGTTGACGTTGGTGCCGCCGATCCTGGTGCAGGCATGGCAAATATAGGTTGCTGTATGTTAGATGCATTTTGCGATGTACCACTTTGAGGTTGAGCTGTCACAGCATCATCATCGCTTTCATCTTCCTGTGAATGTGCATTTCAAATATCGAAAATACATATATTTCTTGCTAGGCCATTTATTTATGAAAGTAACTAATTTGATATGTACTTTACACAAATATTTTTTGCAGAAAAAATTGAAATTTATTTTTTAATATTATATAATAATAAATAATTATAATATTTCTTTTCTGCAATTATACAAAAAATTACATATAATTGTAGAAATATATTTCTACAATCATATGTAATTTTTTTGAACAAAAATAAGAATACCAAATAAAAGAATAGTATTAATATTAAAAATAATAATATAAAAAACTCTTTTTCTCTCTTTCTCCTGTGATAGAAATTCATCTATAGTATACAGATTCAAGTGCGTATACATACATACAGGCCTTTTAAAAATAAAACTACTATAATTTTTTTAAATAAATTGATTCCTCATAATATTTACTACAAAACATTATAAAGATAAGTAAAAAAATGAATATTTTACGAAATATTTTATACTTTAGTTTAATATATATTTACATAAACTATGAAATATATTTCAAAAAACATTCATTTTTCGTCGATTTTATCTCAATATTTTTATGCACAAAATAACGAGAGGAATAAATTAATGTAAAGAAAACATACTTAGTTGTTTGTAAAGAAAAGTATGTAATTTGCAATTAGCAGCTACATATTTTTTCTTACAAACAACTGTGTTTTCTTTTCATCAATTTTTCTCATATTAATTTCTCTAGAGTCTTAATTTAAAATATTGAATGCTGTAATATAAAATAGTTTTCGTATTGGTAAAAAAAATTATAAACATTTCAAATTAGTTAATTAACTCTCGAAAGGTTGCGTAGGGTGTAAGCTAGCTGATTCATTCTAGCTAATTAAATTTATTGCGAGATTAAATTAATTGCTAGACAAGTTTTTTTTATTAAAATTGAAAAAAAATATTTTCATACTTGAGAAATAATGTTAAAGGTATGTTTAAACATTCACATAAAATTAAAGAAAGAAGTGAATATTTTTTTCTCATTATAACATTAATGATGAAAATATTCTGGGGTGCAGCTTACATCTCACGCGACTGTTCGTGTTTCAAATGCAACTATTCAAAGATTAAATTAAGTCTACTTGACACAATTAGATATAAATCTGTTTTGTTTTTATCGTTTTATTATAATTTTGAAAATATTTAAATTAATTTAATTTTAATTTTAATTCTGTAAAATTTTCTTCTATTTATATTTTTATACATATGTCTATATATATCTATAAACATAGATAATATATGCATATCGATATATTTTGATCAATAATAAAATTGCAGTCCTGTGTGAAAATTGTTTTTAGTGATTACATTTGATATTCGTTATATCCATCTCCAGGAGATCATTTTCGAGCGTGTTGCAAAGGGATGAGTTGTTGACAATAACAACAGACATATTGCATCTAGAACAGCTGTTCTAAATCTAACATGTCTATTATTAACAAATAAACTTCTTGGCAGTAATGCTCGGAGATGATTTCCTGGAGACGGAGACGGCGGATATGAAATGTACGCAGAGAAATAAAAGGGGGATATAACACAATAACAAACTTATATGTATACAATATATGTATACAGTATCCTTTATAACTGATAATGAGAAAGATAACTGATACATAAAATAATGGATCACAAATGTAGAATAAAACTTTTTATACATTTGTTGTGATTTTAATTTTTTATAAATCAATTTTTCTTAAAAGGTTTTATAAAAAAAAATTTATACATCTAATTCTTAAGTCAAATCAAGTAAACTTATTTCTTTATGTAGAATCATTATCAGTTACGGGATACATCCTTTCTGATCTTATATGTATGTGTGTGTATATGTTTTCTTATGTTTGTATATTTCCCTGAATATTGGATTATTTTTCTGATAATCCCATTAGTGTGTACATATTTTGCAATGAAATATCATCAATATCGAAAAGTACATAAACACATATGATATTTTATGAATTTCATTCTTATATATATTCATACCAAGTCAACTCTTTTATAATTATATATATATATATATATATATATATATATATATAAATATATATATATATATTTTTGTAATTAAAACAATTACAATTATTTACCTCATTAATTTAATTGTTGATATACAACAGAAGAAAATATGTAAGGGAAATTCGATAATAAATAAATATGTAAATTTTAAAACCAACTACTGAATAAAATTTAATCAAAGCTTTTATACCAGCAGAAAAAATGATGAAGAAATGAGCAGTATAAAAACGTAAAACAATATATATATTTTTTTAATTTTTTGATTTTTGGCTGCATTAACATTCTATAAACAAATTTGTAAGGTAACAAAATACAAACAAATTCTAATGATTTCCAATAAACTTATGTTTGCAATATTTGAAATTTCTAATTTTTTCCATAAATAATATATAATATTTATTTTTAAATGCTAAGAATTATATTATTAAAATATATAAATAATTTATCGATATTTTGAAAAAAAATATATAAATATTTTATTATTTTTCATAAAAATCATATATTTGCATATTAAAAAAATTAAAAACTATTTAATATTTTATAATAATATGATGTGAGAAATAAAAATTACAGATTTATATGTGCTATAAAACTTAATAATAATAAGTCTTTAAAGAATTGCCATTGATAATAATTATAAGTATGTCATGCAGTATGTTGTACAGAAGTATTGTGTGAAGCTACAACAATTTACCTTTCACATTGCTCACAGAAGAAAAGTAGTGCGCGAGGATGTTATAACAAAATATATTAGTATACAAGAACTACTTATGTGTATTGGGTAAATTCATTCCAATATAATATTTTAATAAGAATAAAAATAAAAAGCGTTAAAATATTTATGATTTATTATGTAGCGAAAGGAAAAAAAACTAAAATTTCGAGCATTATAAGAACTTACCTTGCCAAAACCTCTAGGTTGATTTGTCACAACAGCCTCTGGATTCTGGTTCCGCTATAATACAATAATAACATAAACAAAACCGCTAAACTATATACGCTTTTCTATAAAACAAAGCATAATTTGGCATGCACAATAATAAAAATTTATGCATTTTTAATTTACAATTGTTTCACGCAAATAATAGATACAGCTCTCTCTCTCTCTCTCTCTCTCTCTCTCTCTCTCTCTCTCTATATATATATATATATATATATATATATATATATATAAATTAATAAAACAGATAATTTTGTTTGAAAATAAAAAATTAAATAAACAGGCAATAGTTACAATTAAAATTATATGTTGTAATATATATATATATATATATATATATATATATATATATATATATAGGAAAAAATTTTTTAAATATCAAAATTTTTTTCGTTTCATGCCGTGTATAAAACAATTTTAGTGATATAAATATATTTAGAAACAAAATTAAAAAACCATCTATGTACACACATACAACATACACACACAGTATACATATCCATATATAAAATGTATATGTCTGTGTGTGTATGTGTAATATTAAACTAAATTCTCATAGCTAAAAACATCGAGAGTTGTGTGAAGTCGATACAAAGCATCTATGGTGCCTGATAAAAAAGGACAACAGATAATACTTGCAATTTTAAATTAGATACAAACATTTATGCATACGTCGATCATATTTAAGTTGTATGAGCTCCTTGAATTATTTGTCTTCGTAATTACATATCTATTAAAATATTCTTTCCTCACTGACATGCTTTCCAACTACCGGAAATACCGAATATCATACATTTATATAAATGTAATGAGACAGCTATAATATTACAAATACTAGATGTTTTAATAGCAATATATTATATTAGTATTATATTAGTATTATAGTTTTTGACTTAAATTGTCAAAATTTTAAAACGTAATAATGCTTATTCCTTTAACTGTATTTAAATTTGTAATTTTTATTATATTTTACAATATTTAATGCTAAAATATCGAAAAGTTCAACTTTAAGAATGAGATTGCATTCTACGAATTATATTTAAGATGGAAAATTAATTAAATTTACTCTCGACATGTGTCATAAAGTTAATAAGTGAAATTAATAAATTTTAAACACAAAAAGATATTCAAAACGTTGTGTACATACATGTTCAAAGCAAAAGATAAAAAAATATAATGTAACATATATATGTATGTATGCACACTACGTGTGTTATAGATCAAACCACACATGACAGATCCATAGTATACTTGTTTGTCTCCTTTATGTAAATGAACAAAAACAATCGCTTATATCATCATACAGCATAGATCATGCACTTTTGAGCAATGTGTTAACTCACTACATAAAACTCGTTCTTTTAATATTACGTGCAATGTGAAAATAAATTTTAGATTACATTTGAATGGATAAAAATATAAATATAAAACATTAATATATATCTTTTCTTTTACCCAATTCTTTGTATATTATTAAGCAATGAAAACAAAATAAAAATATAGAAAAATATGTATATAACAGAAAGTAGTGCACATAAAGAAAGAATGATAAAAGATATAATGTGACTAATTATATAATTATAATTATATAAAATGTTTCTGATTTATCTTTTAGAAAATAAGATTAGAAATAACAATTTTCAAATAAGATGTTAAATATATTTCTGCTGATAAAAAACTTATATTTCTTCAAAGAATAATTTTAATGATGAAATGATAGTTAAAATACTATGTATCAATTGTATATTTGTTGAAAAATGATAAAAATAGATAAAGAAATAGAGTCTTTTGGTCGGCTTGGTATGTTAATATATAAATAAGAATTTTTTTATATATAGCTGGACTGAAGTTTATGTTTGGTGTCAATAAAGTCTTTTTGCTATTATACATTTATCATAAAATATTATTTGCTTTATCTCACATCTACTTAGTTTTAAAGTTTGTATAAAACCTATTACAAAAGAATAATAAAAAAGATATAAATATTTTTACCTGTAAATTATGGTATGCACCGCTATCTTCAGGAGGAGTTGGTTTACATTTACCGCAACAAAAATTGCAACAGCAGCAACAACAGCAACAACAGTAACAAGCTGTAATTAGTCCACAAAACATGAACAGTGCCTGAAAATAAACAAAATATATGCCTATAATAAAATATTATATTTAAAAATTTAATATTTTTAATAATACAAACTATATCTATTTTTAATGCAATTATCAAATTATACAAAAAAATTTGCTTAAGATAACATTTAACATAGTTAAACATGTTATCTTATATGTATTGAATGAAAGATATCTTACACATAAAATATATATATATATATATATATATATATATATATATATATATTTTGCATCTATTTAAAAATAAATTATTGTATGAAAATATGAAGTATGAAATCATGATCTACGAGATTATCGAAAATCAAATTAAGTATAAAAGGCGAAAAAGCCGTGACTAGTTCTTATTATCAATTATTATATATTTTAATTCAAAATTACAACAAACGTTTCAATCTCCTCGAGATCATCTTCAATGTTTTCAATGTAGAAAATTATTAATGTACATCTACTCCAAATATTTTGTCGATCTTAACATCTTAGTTAAACCAAAAAAGCGGGCGCAAAAAGAACAATAATGATGATATCCAACAAATCCATGATATGTATATAGCGGTTCGACAATATCGTGTCACGCATCTGCGTGTCAAACCGCTATATACATATCATGGATTTGTTGGATATCATCATTATCGTTCTTTTTGAATCTGTTTTTTTGGTTTAACTAAGATGTTATGACTGACAAAATATTTGGAGTAGATGTACATTAATAATTTTCTACATTAAGAACACTGAAGATGATCTCGAGGAGATTGAAACGTTAATTGTAATTTGAATTAAAATATATATAGAATTGACAATAAGAATTAGTTACGACTCTTTCGCCCTTTATATATATAAGAGAATTTGGAAAAATTACAAACATAAAATACAATATAGAGATTAGATTATTTTAAAAAGATATTGGCTAAATTGATCTCTACTCTTACCTTACACCATCCAGAAGTGACAACAAAGTAAGCATTAACATTTTCTTCTCCAAATTGTTCCGCAACATATAGACCAAGAGATCCATAGTTGTCGTATATGTTACGCTTTGTTAAATCTGTCAATATAGCGTGCGCCCTATTTATTTCTTTAAACTGTAAATATATCATATAATTACATAATATTGTATCAGCATAATATATGTATACAAATAAGAAAAATTTGCATAATAATATATTTTATTTAAGTGCTTAAACTTTAGCTTGCAAACTAAAATCTATTTGCAAGTGTAATTACAAATCTTTAAAATTATTATAAATTAACTGCTTTCAAAAAGTAGTTATAAATATTTAAAAATATATGTCATTGAAAATTATGTATTTATTAAGAAAATGACCTTTTCAGCTGCCTCTGGATTATTAGGATTCTTGTCAGGATGATACTTCAGAGCCAATCTTCTATATGTCTTTTTAATTTCCTCTGAAGTGGCAGTTTTTGGAATTTCCAAAATCTGATAGAGGGAATCCCCTGCTGTACTGTAAAAAAACAGACAAAAATATCAAGATAAAGAAAATTTTTCATATTTGTAACTAACCTATCAAATGCTTATTAACTGGACGATATTATTAGTTTGTACAGTTTATACTCTGAAATGTAGAAGAGCGTTACGTAAAGAGATTATAATTCAAATTACTGTCTCCGACATTACTTTGTTTTTTAATATTTAAGTTACAATTTCAATATAATTTCAAATATGAATAAGATATAAGAAAGTATAAGAAAGAAAATGCTATTAAAAAGTAAAGAATTATATATAAATACATACTTGAGGTAAAACACTGCAATAACCTATCAATTGCATTAAAATAGATTGAAATTTACAGAAGCATATTATTTTTGTCTCGTATACTTTTGAAGATTTACACTAAACTTTAATATAAATAATGTACATTATTTTATTCGTTTATAAAATTTCTATTTTTGACATAAATTAACAACCGGTAAAAAAAAGAGAGACCGTTTGAAAATTTCATCGAAATTAAGGCTTAAAATTAATTTTGAAAAGAAACAGGTGTGTCAATAATGAACGATTCGAATAATTCAACACGACAAACGTGGCGATAAAAACCGATAAGATGTAAGCAGCCATCACATAGTTATAGTATCAGATGTCTTTAATGTTACGGCATATACTTTACTTACGACATTTTTCTTCTATCCATGGCGAATAATGCTCCACGAGTTTGTCAATCTAATAATACAAATAATGAAACACTTTAAATAAATTTTACAAATTGTTACTACGCGAACATTTTATCCATGTATCATACGAAAATACGCGCATTCTTTTTAACAGAAATATTTCAGAGTATCATCAACACCACACACGAAAGGTGAATTCAATATTTTAGTTCAGCTGATCGACGCATATGCGCCAAAGCGGCGCTGAAAGAACCCTGACCGTGGGAATTGTTGGTCTCCTTCTACCATAGAATTTGTATACCAAACCTAGAGGATGTACTGTATGGTGACTGCCGCACTAGAAGGAATTAAAATATAGAGCGACCAATCAGCGAACAGAACTAGAAAGAACCAAAGATATCGATCTAAAGTCACTAGATAAATAAAGTACCGCAATCATCCGCCATTTTGACGCCAACACGCGGGTCGTTCAAATTAAATAAATATTTGCATAAATGTATTTTCAGAATAAAAGAAAGTGCAGTTTTCAGGTTGCTAAATTAGAGATTAGTTTTCATTTCGCTTTTGTAGAATCGACCACCAATCACGCGGAGAGTCAATAATACACGTACACTTCTTGGTACAAATGACTTTTTTATATAAAAAAATATATATTTACATATATGTGTAATAAGGTAAAAATAAAAATATCAATAAATTTTTAAAAATATTCCGTTAGCTTTTATTAGATAAAATGTACAATTACCTATTTTCGCGATAAGAAAGCTATATTAAACTAATTCGTTGACTTTACACAGGAATTAAATTCGCAGCATTACATTTAACAAATCCTCCACTGACTAGAGAGAATAATACAGGAGAGATATGAAGGGGGAGGAAGAGGGAATAGTCCCGTATTTTTTCAATTGCAAATAGATAATGGAAGCAAACCATCACCATAAATAATATGCATATAAAATGATTCTATATAACAGTGATCTATCGTTTGAACCCTTAAAAAGAGAATACGAAGAAATGAAATGATAGTCATTGGAGGAGTTGTATACAAAGAAATACAAAACCGACCAATAGGACGAATGGTCTGAGATGCATTCCCTTAAAGATAGAATTATAGAACATTTATATTATTTATATAAAATATTAATTATTATTCTAAGAGACTTTTCTTATGATAAGTGATAGTCAGGAGATGGTTCAGCTACAGATTCAGTAGTGAACAAGGGATTTGGGAACTCTGGTGGGTGTGGCAGTGGTCCAGCAGTCTTTGGCTGACGTCGATACGCCATAAGCCAGCATGACACAGCGATAGCTACGGCAACTAGTGCCAAGAGCGCCGTAATTATCAATGCTATGATAAAGCCGACCATAGAAACACAGATATCTTCTACTCTTTGTGCTGAAGGAGCTGAAAAAGAGAGAAAAAAAATAATATTATTTCGTTCCAATGTTGTGCACCTAATAACTTTTCTACATGTTTTTTTTTTGTTTCATTACCTTCAGCTGGATCTGCTGTATACCTCTCCTCTCTCCTTTCCAGAGTAAATATCAAATTTGATTGAATTGTTATCTCTTCACGAAGTTGACCTTCGTATCCATCGGATATACTTAGAGACGTGTCATTGATTTCGGAATCAACGTCTCGACGACGACGACCGAAGGCGTTATAGCCGCGGCAGTTTACCTAGATTGAATGAAAGAGACAGATTTTTGATTATCCAGATGTTATTTTTAAACTCGTATTTGAAATGATTGCAATTGAATACTAATAAACTCGAATACTTACAGGCTGACAGCGTCCAAAGCACACGCGTATATTACATTGGAATCTGATATTGTCGCTACTGGGGAACTTGAATGCGTTAAAACTAGCCATTAATGATTGAGTATCAGGATTTTGCTCCCATTCGCCAAATATCGTAGGATCTGTCGCGCAACCATTCTCATCCGTTACGATGTATTCGTTCTCCAAATTATCCTCCATAGTTTTAGCGACGCAATTTCGCGCAAATCCACCATAAATAGCTACAATGTTGCCCAAATTTATATAAGCATTTTACGAAATTATTTTATCAAATAGCAAGAACAGGAAGAATTTGTAAATTAATAACAATGTGAAATTCACATAAATTATTAAGCATAATTCAACTTACTTGAAGGTTGAACTTCTACTTGCAACATTAAATTGTCTCCAATCTCCGCCGAATTAATTTCATTTCCATTCTGCGCAACTATTTTCATTATACATATAGGTGGTGGACCAGTATTAGCGATCGTTCCAGCAGTCGTCAGCATGGATACGTTAAAGCCGAGGGTAACGTTTTGTTCTCCAGTCTGATATATACATTTGATATGATAGGCCTGTGCTTTGTAAGTCATCAACTTGGGATGTTTCTGTATGACGAGTACAAAGCTAGCTTGTCCCTGGAAGATGAACATAAAGATTACAGTAAACATCTTTCAAATGCAACAACAAATAATTATAATATGCACTACAAATGCAAATCAACTAACATTCACGTGTATAAGTCCGCAATTGCCAAACGCAACTTTGAACGTTTCCGTCTTATGTTCAGTTTCGGCTGGTATCGAGACAACTCGTCTGCACTGTTCGTCCTTGCTGCGTCCTTTGACATACAACACTCCGTCAAAATCTTGATCTTGCAGATGTATCACGACTTGTACTCCGTCCGACAGGCAGCTCACATCCATTTCCGGTCTAGGAAAATCTGTTCGACCGTCTTTTCTATCATCTGAAAAAAATTTAATTTCTTTAGCATCATTATTGACCACTAATTCATTATTTATGACAAAAAATATCAAAAAGCTTATATATACAAAATATCCAATTTTATAAATATTTTTAATAATAGAGATTAATGATAGATCATTCTGATGGTAGATTAATGACCGAGATTATAAATTTTTCTTTACGTACAGCATTGTGTGTACGGGTTGCCTAAATAGCCATTGACGCAGATGCAGATAGCTTGATGTCTAGTAGCGTTGCAAAGTGCATGTACACCACATTGTTGCCTCTTGCAGGGATCTTGGCAAGTCCGGGTGGTTTTATCGCAGTATTTGTCATCAGCACAGTCGTCATTACGAGTGCACTCTATTATTCCAACTGCAATTTATCGCAATTAGATATAAACGATGTAGAGAGAATAATTCTCAATCGATACATTTAAATATAAAAAAATTAACTAATTCTTACTCTGTTTACAATATCCACTGCTGTCTATTCTGTATCCGTACTGTGTCGGACATACGCAGCGACCATATTCGTCTATGATGAAACCCTTTTCCAGGTCGCACACGCAGTAGCCTTCTTCGTTTATCACCATATTGGACTGTTTGCGACAAGGAATGCACTCGTCGTTCTCATTTTTACCGTATCCGTGCGGGCAGGCGCAATTACCATATTCATCATGAACCTGACCTCTCGGACATAGTTTCACTGAAACGAGCGATTCGGAATTAATATCTTTTGAACAATAGTCCAGAATAATTATATAAATTATTAATATTTTAATAATTCTAAATAATTAAATATCTTAATAATTTTTAATATATTTATATATTTAAATATATTTAATAAATTTTAATAATTTCTGATAATTACCCAACGGATCACAGCGGACGATTGCATTTCCGCGGTATCCTGGAAGACATTCGCATATCATGGTCCTGATCGGGCTGGTGTCCAGGACTTTACATTCGGCGTTAATGCCGCAAGGTTTGATCTTAGTGCATGGATTGATGCATTGTCCGTTGAAGCACGCGGTCTGAGACGGACACTCATTATCCGCCTTGCATTTTTCTTTGACTGACAAAAGAAACAAGAGATATTAAAATCAGACTGTCACTCATCCATCGATGAAAAGATCGATGAAAACTTTTTTATTTTTACCTTTAGTACATCCTGACTTAACGTCGCCAACGTAGCCGGGCGGACACGCGCACTCCACAACGTGATTGTAAACGTTACAGTCCATGTTGCCGGTGCAAGGATTCTGCACGCAAGGATTCTCGCAGCGATTGTTGATGCACGCCCTGTTCGTCGGACAGTCCGAATTGCTCTTACATCCAAGCAGTACGCAAGAGACCCTCGGATTGCCACCAAAACCAGGCGGACATTCGCAGATCGCCTTGTGATTTATACCATGACATACAGCGTTCTTACCGCAGGAGGCCAAGGACGGCGAACACGCTGGCATGCAGTTGCGTTGGACGCACGTGTGCGAACCACTGCAATCGCCGTCAGTTCTACATCCTGCAACTGAATATCGGAAGCATATTATATCATAAGCACCGACACAAAAATTCCTCTCAAATGATATCAACGCAAATAAAATATTTATTAATTTTTTAAACCGGAATATATGTATTTTACCTCTGGTGCAAGCGATATCCGGATTTCCGTCGTATCCCAGTGTGCACGAACATATCGGTTTGTGATTGATGACATTGCAAACGGCGTTGGGTCCGCAGGCGCAAGGATCCCGACACACTGCGTTGACGCAGGATCGCTCCGATGGACAGTCGTCGTCTTCGGAGCATTCAATCTTGAGGATCGGTTTGGTAGCCTCGCAGGTTCCGCTGCCACTGCTGACATATCCGCTGGGACAGGTGCAGACCATGGTACGTACCGGATATGTCGGTAGGACCCGACACTCAGACGGGTCTATGCACGGCTGTATGACCGGACACGGATCCTGACACTTGTTGCTGAGACAGGCGAGCCTGTCCGGACAGTCGCTGTCTTCTCTACATTCGGGCCTGACTTCCGGTTGGCAATTTACGTATGGGTTTCCGGTGAAGCGGGGTGGGCAACGGCAGATCGGCAAATGATTCAGAACTCTGCATTCCGCGCGAGCCGAGCACGGATTATCGTGCACGCAAGGATCGATACACTGCATATTGATGCAGGAGTGATCGCCCGGACAGTCACCATTGCTGTAGCAGCCGATGACGCGGCAGCGATCCAACGGATTACCGTGGTAGCCCTTGCGACAGCGACAATCGGCTACGTGGTTGTTCGGGAAGCATTCGACGTTGGTGCCCGTGCACGGATGATCCGCCACCAGACACGGATTCACGCAGTTGTTATTCACGCAGGCTTTGTCGAGAGTGCATTGGCTGTCGTGGCGACACTCGACCGAGTGACATGCGATCTCGGGATTACCCTGATAGCCTGGCTCGCACGAACAGATCGGTGTGTGATTTCTAACGTGGCAGACGGCATTGGTGCCGCAGTTGCAAGGGTCGCGACACTGCCTGTTGATGCAAGTGTCATGATCACTGCAATCGTCGTTCGTCGTGCACGTCCCGATAACCGACACTTGTACTACGCAGAATTGAAATAATTATACATTAATTATATATTATATATATTATAGATTTTATAGAAGATAAAAAAGAAACTTATATAGACTTACGTATTTTAATTTTTTTAAATTGATTATTTCGTGAATAGTTTATCGTTCTTCAAACTCTACTTACTTGGTCTGCATACACCATCGACGTCGGTGATCCATCCCTCGGGACACGTGCAAATCATGGTCTTTACGGGCACAGTATCAAGAACGTCGCAACGAGCATTCTCCAAGCATGGTTTGATGACCGGGCAAGGATCGATGCATTTTTCTCTAATGCATACCGATTTATCCAAACAATCGATGTCGATTCTACACTCCGGCTCTTCGATCTCGTCCACAGAACGTCGTTCGCAATAGGAGAATGGATTTCCCAGCGGAATGTTTTCCGGGCAGCGACAGTACGCCACATGATCCTGGACGTAACAAAGGGCGTTTTGCGCGCAGGGTGAACTTTCGGCGCAAGGATTTATGCAGCGACCGTCGTTACAAGCCAGATTGTGGGGACAGTCATGATTCGTGTTGCACTCGACCCTCTCGCAATGAATCTGAGGATTACCATAGTAGCCGGGACCACAACGACAGGCTGATCGATGATTTTTACCGTAGCATTCTGCATTGATGGCGCATTTGTTGTCTAAGATGCAAGGGTTCACGCATTGGCCGTTGTAACAGGTGGCTGCGTAATCGCACTCACTGTCAGATTCGCAGTCGACTAAAATAGATAATTATAATTGACAAATTTGACATATAGATGGACAATCAAACTGATTAATATGTAAATTTATATCAGAAGAATCTTATATATAGAACCAAACAACTATAATATATTATTTTCTGTCTTATAATAATAATTAAATTGTCTTAAAAAATTGTCTTAATAAAATAAGTAGTGTTACAAAAAATATATTACATAATTTTTTCATGTTATAAGAAAAGGTACAATCAATTAAATGTACTTACGCTTGAAGCATCCTAACTGAGGATTTCCAGAGTAGCCCGGAGGACATACGCACGAAGGATAATGATTCACGACGTTACATTTGGCGTTGGGTCCACAGTTGCAAGGATTAATGCACGCGCCATTGACACACGCATAATTTCCTGCGCACTCGCTGTTTGATACGCACTCAAGCACAATCTCCGCTACAAAAATATCATATTGTACAAAATTGCTACATGATATTCAAAACGTATAAAATCTTTATTTGTAATTCGTCTTACGTGGTACGCATTTGATCGTGGGCTCGCCGACGTAGCCAATCGGACACTTGCAGATTGGATTGTGATTGTCAACATGGCACAAGGAGTTCCTGCCACAAGGCTCACTAGCGATGCACGGATTTACGCAAAGCGAATTTATGCATTGCTTATCACGCGCGCATTCACTATTCGTGTAGCACTCAGGTCGAAGACCCGGAAGCGATGGAACGACAGGAACTGCAATAGAAATTATACGTTAATCTCAATAATGATACGTCGCGAGAGATAATCAGAAATAATTATAATTGCAAGAAAGAATTTGCTCGATTTTGTATTTCGTATTTACCTCTTATGCACTCTATATAAGCGTTGCCCGTAAAGTCCTGAGAACAGAAGCAGATACCGGTATGAGATGTGGATTTACATTGCGCGTTGAGGCCGCACTGAGTTGTCAGACAAGCGTCTACGCATCTTCCGTCCAGGCACTTTTCATGATTTGCGCAGTCTTGGTCGAGATGACATTGTACATCGCCCAATACTATGTATGTATATAAAAAATAATTAAAGGAGACCTTTGACAATAATATTTGATCTATAAGGCAGCATTTTTTAAATAAAAAATCGATGCGTACCAATTGCCTTGCATTGACCGTCAACATCGGTGATAGTATTTGGTGGACACAAGCAGATCATCGTACGAAGCGGTATCGTGTTGAGGACTTTGCATTCCTGTTCATTGGTACACATACCAGCGGACACGCATGGGTCTTGACACCTGGTATTAATGCAAGCGAGATTTAAGGCGCATTCGCTGTCCTGTATGCATTCCGGCTCGATGGTAGGTTCACCTAAGAAGAAATTAATATATCATGCGGAATATTTTAGAAAATTATTGTAATTTATATGTGAATTGATTGAAAATTTGGAAATGATATCTGAGATATTATCAACATACCGACGCATGTTATGTACGGATTTCCAGTGGTACCCGAAGGACATGTACATTTGGGCTGATGATCGCGTGCGACGCAGATCGCAGTTTCGGCGCAGGCATCATCGTCGCAAACAGGTCTGCAAACTCTGTTCAGTCTATCGCAGGCCTCATGATCGGCACAGTCTTCGTTGTAATGACAGATTGCGGAAATGCATGCCACACGTGGATCACCTTGAGTACCTTGTGGACAAATGCATTGGGCTCTGTGAGACACCGCTCTGCATTCCGCACCGCGACCGCACACAATATCGCCAACGAGGCAAGGAGTGACGCAATTGTCATTTTGACAGGTCTTGTCGTAAGGACAATCGTTATCTGTCTTACATTCCGCTGCAAAAGAAAATATGCGCAGTGAGTTAGATGCAATAGTCAAGAAGTAATAAAAATCATTTCAATTACTTCTTAACATATTTTAGATTTTTTATCTTTTTAATTGAGCCAGTGAGTTGCGTCAAATTGATTATTTTATTATTGCTGTAAAAAAGACAGGAAGCTATTGTTTAAAGAATTACATATGTATATATTTTAGAAAAATTTGCAAGCAGATATTCCAATTTCTTAAATAAATAGAACAGAAAGAAATAATAAAACTTACGTCTAAAGCATTGAAGTTGCGGATCACCAGCTAAACCACTTTGACAGTGACAAGAGGGATGATGATTGATCGTGATACACTCCGCGTTTAAGCCGCAACGGTTGCTGGAACATGGATCTTGGCATCGTTGATTTATGCACGCTTTGTCGGACGGACATTCGGTATTCGTTCCGCATTCCACAAGAATTACATTTTCTGTAAACGGGAAACAATAATGTAAAAAATATTCAATTATTTACTAAGAAGAAAAATCAAGAAAAACGGATATAATACGATACCTTCGTAACAATTCATAAATGGATCACCGACATGTCCTGGAGGACAATGACACGTGCGACGGTGGTTTTCGATGTGACACTCGGCATTTGAAGCGCAAGGATTGACGGTGCACGGATTGATGCACTGACGATTAAGGCAGGCCATATCTGGTGTACATTGCGAATCGCTCTCGCATATCGCACCAATTTGTCTGTCCACTATAAACATTCGCAATTAATTATCGTTTCATAAACTTGACGCTAATTAAATCCAATTTTTATTTCTAATTTGTACTTATACTACCAGAGTTTTAGAATTTATTTTCAGCAACCTGTATTTTTATCTCTAATTTTTTCTTATTATCTTCTTTTTCAGGTAAAACTTTACCTGGTAAACAAGCAACGGTGGCATCGCCGGCGAAATTCGGCAGGCATTCGCAGATCATTGTTCTCATCGGTAGTGTATCTACGACACTACATTTGGCGCTTACGATGCATGGTTTTGTTTCTGCGCATGGATTTTTGCAAACACCACTGAAACATGCCAGTTTGCTGGGACAGTCAGCGTCAACTTGACATTCCGCCTCTGGTTCCAATAAGTCTAAAATAGCAATAGTCAGTATGAATATTATTAATGTCAAGAAATTATTATTAATTAATTTGAATAATCTGCTGTTTATCGCGTTAAACTCTTAATTAGTCCACTCCTCTTCGCTTCAAATAATTATTATTTCGATAACCATTCTCTTGTAAAATAAAGTCTCTATTTTAAATTATTACTTATTAAAGTTTTCTAAGTTTTAATAATAGTTTAATAATATGCAATGCTGGTTACACAAAATAAATTTTTACTAATTACTTTAATTCATTCTCTTCAGCTCTTTATAAGCGCTGCAATATTGAGATGAATTCTTACCTATGAGACACGAGCTGTAAGGATTTCCCACGTAACCAGGTGGACATTTACAGATTGACCGATGATTGACGACGGTGCAGAGCGCCGGTGGTGGGCAATTGCAAGGATTGACGCATTTCAGATTGTGACAGGCCAAGGACGGGGCACAATCGTTGTCGCTGGTACACTCGGGCCTCTCACATATTTCGTAAGGATTACCTGTGTATCCGTCCGGACAGTAGCATCGAGTCCTGTGATAACCATCAGCGGTGCACAATGCGTTGATGCCGCATTGCGTAACCAGACAGGTGTCGATGCACTCGTTGTTGATGCATGATTGAGTCAACGAACATTCATTATCGTTGCGACAACCGACTGGAAAAAATATTAATAAAGTTGATAGCACGTATAATTGTAAGAAAAATGTATTGTAATTAAATAATTCATTTGACACGTACTTTGGTGACAATATTGCTGAGCCTTTCCGGTATAGCCTTCATTGCAAACGCATATAGGTCTATGCATTATCACGTGGCAGCGACTATTAAGACCGCAAGAATCGAGAGTACATGGGTCGATGCACTTTTGATTAAAGCAGGTCTTGTCATTCGAGCACTCAGAATTTTGAATGCATTCTGGAATCGGTTCTATAAACACGTAATTAAAACTTTTAAATTTTATAGAATAATAAAAAAGTCTCTCCTAATATTAATTATTTTTAATATATTATTATTTTGTAAAACAAATCGATCTCTTTAGATCTTATATATAATTTTAATATTTTATTAATTATAAATTATATAGTTTGTATGTCCAATAAAATGATGTAATATATGCAAATTATTATTCTTTTTTAAAGATATTAATGTTTCGAAATACTTTAGAAAATATATCTGTCATATATCGTGAATATAAATGTTACCTTCGAGGGTTGGTATTGTACATTGCACTCGCGCATTGCCTGTGAATCCAACTGGGCAGGAACACACTGGTTTGTGATTAACGGTCTGACAGATAGAATTGATACCGCATGCGCTGATGCAGGGATCCCGGCATTTTTGCGAGAAGCAAGCCTTGTCACGTGGACAATCCGAATTAATAATACACTCAGGATAGATGCAAATTGCGATGCCGTCTCTCACTCTACATTCGCCGTTGTAATTGCAAGGCGATGGACTGCAGGGATTGGTTTCTGAAAAAAATAAATGCGTGTATTTCGGAATTTAAAAATTAATGTAATATATTAGATTTTTTAAAAATATTTATTTAAATATTTACCGATCTTTGTATAACATTCCTCGAAGGGATTGCCGATCAACGGAGACGGGCAGCTGCAAAGTGGACTGTGATTGATCGTCTTGCACACCGCTTTACTGCCGCATACATTTTGCAAACAAGGATCTCTGCATTTATTCTGTATGCAAGCTTTGTCGCCTGGGCAATCCGAGCTAAGTACACACTCGGGATGACAACCAGTTACACCGGTCGGAACACCTTGTAATCCAGGTAGACATTTACAAATTGCCGTCTTGCCGACCGTCTCGCAAACTGTATTCGGACCGCACGGTGAAGGATAGCACGGATCCGTTTCCTTAGTATCTATAAACGCAAAGAAATAACAATGAATAACACTTGTTGCAGAAAAAAAGAGAGATTTAAAAGATATATTAATTTTTGTTTTGCAGACAATTTTGACTAAAATAAATAGAGATAAATATTGAATAAATAAATAAATACTAAATCTAGCTAATGAGAGATGAGAAAGTTACCTTCCACAGGAACTTGACAAAGCGTGAAAGCATCTCCAATGGTTGGTGAAGGGCAAGAACAAATCGGAACGTGATTAGACACCGCGCAGATCGCACCGACACCGCAAGTACCAGGGCAAGGATCTTGACATCTCGTTCTTATGCACGCTTGCGATTTCGGGCAGTCAGTGTTGACGAGGCATTCGGGCTGACATCCTTGGTACGGATTGCCTCTGTAATTCGGTACGCACTCGCAAATGACCGTGTCGAATCTCTCGTGGCAATATGCGTTTATTCCGCAAGGTGAAGGATTGCATGGTCTCGAAGATAGCGGCGGTGCTGGAGTCGCTAAAATAATAGCAAAAACATACAATTAATATCTTGCAATCGCAATTATGTTTCAATATTTATGCATGCACACAATGTATATTATATAACGTTACTATTGTAATATAAATTCATATAATATACGTGTTGTTTAGAAATATTTTCATATGATACATATATAAAAATAAACAAATGTACATATTTGTACACGTATCGAATGTGCCTTTTATACAATAAAAAAAAGTGCAGCACGTATATATATTACATATATTAAAAAAAAATATGTTGCGCATATTAAAGTATGTAAGTAGTCGAGTATTTAGAAAATGTTGCAAGAGAGATCGATTTGTGAAAGAAACTGACATGCAGTTCTTTTATAAATACATCTTAAATATATACGTTATATACATTATAATATATATTTACATTAGAGATGAAGAGATCAGAATTTATAGAAATCAAAATACCAAGGTAATATTTGTCAAATTTATCGATATATGGGTAAAGATAGCGGGGATTTTCTTACATATTATCTTAGAGCAAATTGTGAATGGGTCTCCGGTGTATGATTCGGGACAGGTGCATCGGGCTTGGTGCAAAGTAACTTGGCACAGTGCATCGAATCCGCACAATCCAGTGCACGGATCGGTGCATTTCTGCTTAATGCATGCTCGATTGGTGGGACATTCGCTGTTTACACGGCATTCGGGTCTGCAATTGGGCGGAGATCCTACGTAGGTTTCTATACATGAACAGGAGGGTTTATTATCGGCGGATACCGCGCATTGAGAGTTCAAGCCACATGGTGAGGGGTAACATGGGTCCCTGCTGGGTTCTACATCCTGGTACGTTGCTGGCAATGAAAAAAAGAAATTCATTATTCGTTTCAAAAAATCAAGAGAAAAAAACACGATAATACAGAGATGATTGGAAAAAAGTCACAAAGATGTCTAAACGACATTTTTGCGACATCTTTCATCTCTGCATTATCCGGCGTACATTGATGGGATAATTACTTACTTATGGGGAAACAATGAACGAACGGATCGCCGGAATGTCGAAGAGGACAGCTGCAAATAGGATTATGATTTCGCGTTATGCACCGTGCGTTCTGTCCGCAAGTGTTTTCGCAGGGATCACGACATCTTGTATTCACGCAAGTTTTGCTCTGCTCGCAATCGGTGTTAACGAGACACTCGGGTCTGCAGCTTGGCGGGATGCCCAGGTAACCGGGTAGACAAGAGCAGGAAACTTGATCGCCGTATTCGCGGCAGATGCTGTTGGGTCCGCAGGGGGAGGGTTCACAGGGTTTGACACGGGCTATCGAGACGTAAGATGGTGAAATTAGTTCTTTCTAATAGTAAGATTTTTTTCGAGGACAAAGATCTTAAGACACTCACTTTGCACACGTTTACAGAGCGTGAACGGATCACCTTCGTAATCCTGGATGCAACTACACGTGGCTATGTGATTGACGACCGCGCATTCCGCATTCTGGCCGCAAATTCCGACGCAGGGATTTACGCACTTGTTGTTCGCGCAAGCTTTGTCATAAGAACAGTCGGAATTTTGCACGCACTCTGGCCGACACTCTAGATACGGGTCGCCACGATACTCGGATATACAATTGCAGATACCATTGCGACATTCGGCATTGAGTCCACATGGTGACGGGTTACACGGGTCTGTTGCTACTGGAGGGATATCTGTATTGGGAGACGCAAACGTGTTATGACAATTGTCCTATTATAAAAATAATGACGCAAGCAATATATATGTAATTTGATGGAATCTTACGCTTGGGTGCCGGGTAACAATTGCTGAAGGGATCGCCAGTATACTCGTCAGGACATGTGCAAGCTGGGGTATGATTGATCACGGTACACAAGGCATTGACGCCACAGGATCCGGGGCAGGGGTCTCTACATTTCTCCCTGATACAAGCTTTATTGCTGGTACAATCGGAGTTAATCGAACATTCGGCGCGGCAATAGGGTGGCGATCCGATGTATCCATGCATGCACGTGCAAGACGGATAGCCTCCCCTGTCTTGGCACGTAGAAAACGGACCGCAGGGCGACGGGATGCAAGGATTCACTTGTATCGATGGCGTAGACGTCACTGAAAGAAGATGAAATAACACAGGGCTCTCTTCGTACATATAAAACGCGACATCAATTCCTTAGATTTGAAGGAGACTTACGAGGCATGTCGAAACATTTGACGAAGGGATCTCCGATTTGATCGGATCCGCAGCTGCAGAAGGGACTGTGAGACAAGACGTCACATTTGGCATTGATGCCGCACACACCTGGACACGGGTCGACGCATTTTTTATTGATGCACGCACGATTTATGGGACATTCCGTGCTAACAATACACTCAGGAGGTCTGCAGTCGGGATAAATTCCTTGATAAGTGGGCAGACACGAACAACTAGCTTTTCCATTTACATTAAGGCATCGGTTGTTTAGACCGCATGGAGACGGCCTGCAGGGATCATCTGTCAATGCTGGAGCTGTGCGAGATCAATCACGAGGAGAGTTAATACATAAAGGTAAACGCGATCGAGGGATATTATACACTTACAAATATCGTGTATAAGTCCGCAGTATCTGAATGGATCTCCAGTGAATCTCGACTGACAACTGCACGTGGGTATGTGATTGATAACTTCGCAAATTGCATTGACACCGCAAGTTCCCGGACACGGATCCTGACATTTGTTTCTTACGCAAGCTCGATTGGACGTACAATCGGAGTTGATTACGCACTCGGGTCTACAACCCTCGTACGGATTTCCGTAGAAATCGGGTGAACAAATGCAAGACGCCGAGCCGGAAACCTCGCGACACATTGCATTCGCACCACATGGCGACGGTTGACAAGGATTTAACGGAACGAGCGGGGCGTCGACTAAAATTGAGAGCCATAAATAATCTATCAATAATTATCAAACGTGATTATCCAACGTTTTCATGATTTAATTTGTTATTGATAAAAAAATTATGAAATGCAATGTTTACTTTTCTTTGAAACTTACTCGGACGGGGATTACACTGGATGAATGGATCGCCGGTAAAATCATTGGCGCAAATGCACATCGGGGTGTGACTGACGGTTCTACATTCCGCATTCCTGCCGCAAGATCCTGGACAAGGATCCCGACACTTTTGATTAATACAAGCCTGTTGACTGGGGCATTCGCTGTTACTAATACACTCTGGTCTACATCTAGGTGGACTTCCGACAAACTGGGGCAGACACGAGCATGATGGGGCGTCGTTGACAACTCGACATAGCGCGTTCGGGCCGCAAGGTGAGGGTTGACAGGGATTTACCGGTGGTTTTGGTTCTTCCACTGCAATTTATACAAGGGATTATCGATTCACTTCGATATTATATGATATAACAATATGAATCTCTGGGTTGGGTGAAATTCTTACGTCGCGGTATGCATTGAACGAAGGGATCTCCTGTATACGACGACGGGCAGCTGCATATAGGATTGTGATTCACGACTGTGCATTGCGCGGTTAATCCGCATGCACCGAGACATGGATCAATGCACTTTTGATTACTGCAGGCTTTATTGCGAGCACAGTCGGCGCTTATAAGACATTCCGGTCTACAGGATGGAGGGACACCTTTAAATCCGGTGATGCACGTGCAAATCGCCTGACCATTCGACACACGACAGTGACTATTCGGACCGCATGGGGATGGATTGCAGGGTTGATGTTCCACGATGATCGAATCTATTGAATAAGAATTATTTCATATTCGTGTCGAGATTCTCAAAAATATGACAGGCTAGAAAACGCATGGGATGCATTTGGGGCATACAAACCTTGAAGAGCGGTACATGAAATAAATGCATTGCCGGTCATGTTCATCGGACAACTGCACATGGGTAAATGATTAATGACATTGCATTCCGCGCTAAAACCGCACGTTCCAACGCAGGGATCGCCACATTTGTGGAGCATGCATGCCTTGTCGCGGGGACAATCGGTATTAATGACACATTCCGGACGACAGCCGACATAAGGATCTCCGAAATATTCGGGTATACATGTGCAGATTCCATCGTTGCATCGAGCATTCTGACCGCACGGTGATGGGTTACATCGGTCTGGGGCTGATACTGAAATGTGTGTAAATTAAGTTGCGGTGATTTAAAGTGCTCGTTAATTTTTCTATTTAATTATATCGTTGAAAAAAAATTCTTACGGGGTATCTGAGGCAAAGTATTGCAACTGACGAAGGGATCGCCGGTGTATCCTTCAGGACACACGCAGGACGGTGTATGATTGATCACCGAGCAACGTGCCAAGAGACCGCACGAGCCTGGACAAGGATCTCTACATTTTTCTCTGATGCAAGCTTTATCGGCGGGACAATCCGAATTTATCGAGCACTCGGGTCGGCAATTAGGTGGAACACCGAGGTAATTTTGCATACAACTGCACGCCGGGGCATCACCAATAGCTCTGCAGAGGGAGTTGGGTCCGCAAGGTGACGGCAAGCATGGATCCTTCGGGTATTGATCTTCTGGTTTTGGAACTATGGAAAAGTACAGATAATATATTGATTTTTTTCATGTAAAAATGCACGAGGTGAATGAGACTAAAATTAAAATTGATCAAATTAACTTTTTTTTATAAAAAAAAAATGTTGACACATACTTGGCATTGCAAAGCAGTAGATGAACGGATCGCCCGTAAAGCCGTTCGTGCACACACAAATTGGGCTGTGATGTATAACTTTGCACTGAGCGTCGCGGCCACAGGTACCGATACATGGATCTACGCATTTTTGGTTTACACATGCTCGATTCGATCCACACTCTGAATTTACTAAGCACTCGGGTCTGCAATTCGGCGGAGTTCCAACAAACTCGGGTAAACATGAGCAGATAGCTTGATCATTATTATTGATGCATTTACTGTTGGGGCCGCAAGGGGAAGGTTTGCACGGTTCACGCTTTTCATCGAAAACTATAATAAAGTAATATTACATTTAAAATTTCGATCACTTTCTGCATTCTATAATACTACGTCTTTAAACTTTACTTACTGTCGAGAGCCTGATAAATGCAATTTATATATGGATTGCCGGTGTAGCCTGGGATGCAAGTACAGACAGGAATATTGTTGACAACTTGACAATTGGTATTGACACCGCACGAACCGGGACATGGATTTTGACACTTGGATCCGATGCAAGCTAAATACGCGGGGCAATCCGAAGAAATGGTACATTCGGGACGACATCCTTCATAAGGATTTCCAACATATTCGGGTAAGCACGTGCAAGAACCAACGCCATTTTGTTCTCTACATACGGCGTTTGTTCCGCAAGGGGATGGTTGACAAGGCTGACTCGATGCCAATGGTTTGCCTAAAAAAATATAATGTTTCATCCTATCCTTAACACTCAATTTCTAGTTATAATATTCTCGTACGCGTGATCTACAAAAAATTGAACTTACTGAGCATAATGGTGCATTGAACAAACGGATCGCCTGTATAACCATCGCGACAGGTGCAGACAGGTACGTGATTAATAACATTGCAAGTGGCTAGGGAGTGACAAGATCCAAGACATGGGTCTCTGCATTTGCGATTGATACACGCCATTTGATTTGGACACTCGCTATTACTGATGCACTCCGGTCTACAACTTGGTGGCGTTCCAACAAACTCGGGCATGCAAGAGCATGACGGTGAGTCGTTGACGACTTGACACTGAGCATTAGGACCACAGGGCGAAGGTTGGCACGGATTTATCGGTTTTGGTACATCCTCCGCTTTAAGATAAAAATACAATTTGTTGCTAGTGATATGAATTAATATAAAAAAATTTTTTTAATTAAGATGAGGAAAACCTACGTCTCGGTATGCAACGTATAAATGGATCGCCGGTAAATACAGGTGGACAACTGCAGATTGGATTGTGATTCAATACTTGGCAACGAGCGGAAATGCCGCAAGCACCGAGGCAGGGATTGCCGCATTTCGTATTGATACAAGCTTCGTTTAACGCGCAATCAGTGTTGACTATGCATTCAGGCCTGCACACGGGTGGATTTCCTATAAATCCAGGTATACATGTGCATACCGCTTGATTATTAAAACTTTGACATCGACTGTTTGAACCACAGGGCGACGGATTACACGGATCCTCGACGGTGACATCTGCAAGTGCGATATTATCGAAATTGTTGAACGATGTTTCTTAGCAGATTAAATCTTTTGCGAGATGAGATTTTCACAAAAATAATAAAAATAAAAAATATTCGCACAATTATCGATGAATTTACCTTGAACAACTGAATAACATGCCGCAAATGCATTACCGGACATTCCATCCGGACAAGCGCACATCGGAGTGTGATTTATTACAGTGCACTTTGCGTTGTGTCCGCAAACTCCGGTACATGGGTCGGAGCACTTGTTACGGACGCAAGCCTTGTCAAACGAGCAATCTGGATTTTGCACGCATTCGGGACGACATGCGGTGTAAGGGTCACCATGATACTCGGATAAACAGGTACACGTGCCGTCACGACACAACGCATTGGCTCCGCATGGGGATGGATTACAAGGATCTTGTGGTATAGCTGCAAACATCATTACGCATCATGAGCAAATATATATCTTTTAAGGACAAAGTATTAAAGGTACAACATATAATGTTGCAAGTTTCAAGATTTCAGTATATCATTATTTTATAATCGATCACCGTCACTCGAGATAGAAATATTACAATTCTATCTTTTATCAAAATTTATCAGAATATTTATATAACTGGTACAGCTCGTAATTTGTTTAAATTTAAATCAATGCTTTAATAATTAGAAATGTATAAAAAATTGTATTAATTTTTTTCTCCTATCAATTAGATGGGTGATATTTTATAAAATAACGTTATATAAGGACGTAAAAGCTTACGGGGAGGTTCCGGGAAGCAACTGGCAAACGCATCTCCAGTGTAACCCTTCGGACAAAGACAGACGGCCATGTGATTAACCACGAGACATTGCGCTCCGATACCGCAAGAACCTAGACATGGATCTCGACACTTTTGTCTCAAGCATGCTTTATTGCTGTTGCATTCGGAATCCACGGTACATTCTGGTCTACAGTTCGGAGGGCTACCTACATAATTTTTCAGACATGTGCATGTCGGCACGTTTGCGTAGCCGCTGTCGCGACAAGTGGCAAATGGACCACAAGGAGATGGAATGCACGGATTTTGTGGCGTCACAGGTGTATCTTTGTCTATTTCTGCGAACGAATAATTTTTATTAGATCTGCGTCTGAAATTGTGCATCGCGTTCTTTAATTAAAGCATCGTTTACTTTGAAAAACGCGTGACATTTTGCTTTGTTAGAGAAGGAACCGAAAAAAAGGTTTTATTTTTTTATCCATGCTAAGATATTAATTTTATATAATCCATGCAGAAAGATTTTCTGAATCAAATATTGCGCGAAACGATGTATTAAACATTAAACAAGCTTGTATATTTTATAGGCGTACTTACGCGTTTGAAAGCACGTTACGAAGGGATCGCCAGTAAAACCTTGATTACAACTACAAATCGGGCTGTGATTTATCACTTCGCATCTCGCATTGATGCCACAAATGCCGGGACATGGATCGACACATTTGCGGTTTTTGCATGCACGATTTACGGGACAATCAGAGCTAACAATGCATTCCGCGCGACAATTTGGCGGGGTTCCGACAAACGTAGGTAAACAGGAGCATATTGCTTGGCCGTTTAATTCACGACACTGACTGTTAAGTCCACAGGGAGAGAAGTTGCACGGATTATGTTCTACCGCTAAAAAAATTTATAAATTAGATTTTATATAATTTCAAAAAGATTAAAAATTATCGATTTATAATTTACTTAATTGTTTGCAAAATTTATTCTGCACATGTTGCGTTGTAATTAATTGCAGAACTATTAATTTCAAAAATCAAATTAAAATTGGATTCTATCAAACTAGAAGCTTCCTGCGAAGCTCTAAAAATCACTTACTCGTATCTTGTACAATTCTGTTACAAGAGACAAACGGATTGCCGCTGTATCCGGGTTGACATGTGCACAGCGGCATGTGATTCACTACTTGACAGATTGCATTATACCCGCAGAAACCTGGACAAGGATTTTGACACTTCGATCCGATACATGCACGATCTGCGGGACAATCGGAATTTATCGTGCACTCGGGTCGGCAGCCTTCGTATGGATTTCCTGTATAATCCGACTGACATGTGCAAGAACCAACGCCGTTTAATTCGCGACATATCGCATTAAAGCCGCACGGAGACGGAATACAAGGTGTTGGTTTCACGGCATTTATAACATCGCCTATAAAAATTTAATTTATGTTTAAATGTACTCTCGAAACAAAACTACTGATTGTTGTGATATAAATTATCAATAAATTAAATTCTCAGAATCATCGGATACGTATTTTCAATCACAGATATTCAAAGAAAATAATAGCTATAAAACAAAGCAAGTTAATTTTGCACATCAGATTTTGAAAGTATAAATATAATACACGTAATAATATAATAATAATAAATAAAATATGAATCAAAAAATATATAAATTTATGTAATAATTACAATATATATACAATATATATACAATATATATATATATTGTAATTATATATATGCAAATTATATATGTAAATAATAACATCTGCAATTGTAAGCGCACCCTGTGATTCTAAATTATTCTAGACACGAATACAGGACTTGGACTTACTTTGCTTCGGATTACATAGCACGAATGGATCACCTTCGAATCCGGCAAGACAAATGCACATAGGTGTATGACTTATTACTCGACACTCGGAATTGATACCGCAAGATCCTGGACATGGATCACGACACTTCTGATTGATACACGCCAAGTGCGTGGAACATTCGCTATTGCTAACGCATTCCGGCTTGCAATTTGGCGGGCTGCCGACAAATTCTGGCAAACAGGAACATGAAGGTGCATTGTTTATAACTTCGCATTTACTGTTAATTCCACACGGCGATGGGACGCAGGGATTGATTGGTATCGGAGATTCTGTTGCTGTTGGCAAAATAAAGAATGCAATGTTTCTCTAAATATTCTCCAACGACTGACGAGTACATCGTATGTCTTTAAGTTACTCACGTCTCGGTATGCACTGAGTGAAAGGATCACCAGTCAACTCGGAAGGACAAGAACAAATCGGATTGTGATTGACAACTGTACACTGCGCTCTAATGCCGCACGTTCCGGGGCAGGGATCTATGCATTTCCGATTATTGCAGGCCATGTTGGCGGGACAGTCAGAACTAATAATACATTCAGCTCTACACGTGGGTGGCGCGTCCAAATATCCAGAGAGACACGAACAGACAGCTTGATCTTTTATTCTTCGGCATTGGCTGTTCGGTCCACATGGTGTCGGATTGCAGGGATCTTTTGTTATCGGTTCTGTATAAATATTAAAAGGAGGATGATCAAGAGAAACAATTCAATTACAAAGCTAATATTGTTTCAAAATTGATCGCTCGATTGAAGTACCTTCTATCGGGGAACACATTATGAAGGCGTTGCCAGACATTTTCGGCAAGCAAGTGCACACAGGTATGTGATTTCCGACGGAGCATACAGCATTGAGACCACATATTCCGAGATCGCAAGGATCCCGACACTTGTTTTTAATGCATGCCCTGTCTATCGGACAATCAGAATTCAGAATACATTCCGGGCGACATCCAAAGTACGGATCTCCTTGGTACTCGGGAAGACAAGAACACACACCGTTAAAGCATTGCGTATTTGAGCCGCAATTTAAGCATGGATCCGTTGGTTTGAGTGTTGTATCTAAGAAACACGGATTGTAACATTCAATTTCCGATGAAGCCAAGTGTTTCCAAATGTGAGATATTTTTCAAATCTACATCTATAATATATGTATGTTGGTGCATCATAAATGTTTTTTACTGATTAAAATCTTACCTTCCTCGGGAATTGGTCTACACACTACGAATGGATCCCCGGTATATCCAGTGAGACAAGAACATATGGGTGTGTGACGGTGAATACTACAAGTTGCATCTACACCGCACACTCCATCGCAAGGATTTCGACATTTTCTTTGTATACAAGCCTGATTAGTCGGGCATTCTGAATTAATTGAACATTCAGGCCTGCAATTGGGTGGTTGTCCTATATACGTCGATAAACAAGCGCACGATGCTTGACCGCGAATGTCACGACATTCCGAGAAAGGTCCGCAGGGTGAAGGTACGCAAGGATTCACAAGTGGACGAAGCTCTTCATCTTTAGCTATGGAGATAAAAATGTGTCTGTTATATGATTTATGTGATTTTTATATTCACGAATGCTTTCAATAAAATTTCAACAAATTTAATTTTCCTAATTAAAAAAAAAAACAAAAAAGGAAAATTTAATTTGATAAAAGAAAGAATTATTAATATTCAGGGACTGAAAAACATTATAATGTAGCTAATATTTTATTTTGAGACAAAGAGCAGAGCTAAAAAAAAAATTTGATTCCTTACGTGGTATTTCAAAGCAGACAATGAACGGATCGCCAGTAAAACCAGACGAGCACGAACATATGGGATTATGATTGATCGTTTGACATCTTGCGTTAGAACCGCACAATCTGGAACCGCGGCAGGGATCGTTACATTTATTCGAGATGCATGCCAAATTGAAGGCACATTCGGCGCTAACAGTGCATTCAGGGCGACAGTTTGGCGGGCTGCCCAAGAAGGAGGGTAAACAAGTACAGACACTTGTACTATCCACCACGCGACACAAGCTGTTAAGTCCGCAAGGTGATGGTTCGCAGGGATTACTAACCACAGCATCATCTCCTTCTAAAAAATTGTATAGTACATTAAATAATTATTTCTCGTAATCGATAAAAACAAAATTGTGTGATAAGTTATATTCAATTTCACAGTATGTCGCACCTATTTCTATCGGACTGCAATACAGGAAAGCGTTACCAGTGTAGCTGGGATAACAATTGCACACCGGCAAGTGATTGATTACTTGACATAATGCGTTGCGTCCGCACGATCCCGGACATGGATCTCTACATTTAGTATTTATGCAAGCCAGATTGGCAGGGCAATCCGAATTCAGGACGCATTCCGGTCTGCATCCTTCGTAGGGGTTACCGACATAATTCGGCAAGCATGTACATGAACCGGCACCGTTGAATTCCTTGCATACTGCATTGGAGCCGCAAGGAGAGGGGCTACAGGGATCAACCGGTGCAGATGATAATGGTGTGGCTAAAAGATGATATCAGTAAGCAATGGAATTCATAATAAAAACGGAGAAACGTATTTGTACAAAGGGTTGGAAAATAATGCATACTTACAATATGCAAATTACAAATTTTGACTGTGACAAAAAAAAACTTTGTTACATTTTCGATAACGAATAAAGAATTCAACAATTACTTTTTATTTTAAAAAAACTTTTTTAATTTTTTGCAATGTTTTTAAAATAAGTCTTTTTAATGAAAATATATTGTTAAAATTATTATATAAATTATTATATTTATATCGATAGCAATATTGAAATTGTATCTGTTTGTTATTATATTTTAAAATAATTTATATGTGCAATATACATAACTTGATTTTGTAATAGCGTTAAAAGTAAGAAATTGTAATGACTCATTAATTAAAATAACAATAACAAATTATTTTTATAACTTTTCCAACCCTATAAACCAAATACGAAATCGATATAATTTCCACGATTTCAATACTGTAGATACAGAAAAATGACTTCTATGTTTATTCGGAATTAATATAAAATGTATTCTTCTGTATTTACAACATCAAAAGTTTGATAAGTAGCCGAAATTATATCAATTTTAATTCCTAAATGGTACTTACGTTCTCTGAAGATGCATTGCGTAAATGGATCACCGGTGAAACCGTCCACGCAAGAACACATCGGGGTATGACTGATAACGTGACAATTAGCATTCGCTCCGCAAGAACTAATGCACGGATTCTGACATTTTTGATTGATACAAGCCAAGTGATTAGCACACTCGCTATTACTGGCGCACTCCACTCTACACAAAGGCGGATTGCCGATGAAACCGGGTAAACATGTGCATTCAGATCTGTCATCGCGCGCTTGACAATGCGAATTTGGACCGCAGGGATTTGGTTTACATGGTGAAGGAGGCAACGGTAGCTCTTGAGCTAAAAAATGGCAAAATTCGATTTACAAAAAAAGAAAAGAAAGCAAAAACTTCCTTCAAAATTCCACGGGATTATAGTGATCGTAAACACGTAGTTTAAGTGTACTTACGTGCTTGATAACATCTAACGAAAGGATCGCCGGTTTGATGAGGAGGGCAAACGCAAATCGGATTGTGATTTACTACGTGACACAAGGCATTTAATCCGCAACTTCCTGGACAAGGGTTCGTACACTTCTGGTTGCTACAAGCTTCGTTCTGCGGACAATCCGTGCTGACTATACATTCAGGTCTGCAGGTCGGAGGGCTACCTAGATATCCTCTTACACAGGAACAAACAGCTTGATTGTTTATAACGCGACACTCGCTGTTCGCTCCACAGGGCGAAGGAACGCATGGATTAGCGGGTGGCATGTCTGATACATAAAAACAATGGGCGTTAAGTCACAAAAGAGTGTGCTTTGCATAATTTTGCATCATTGAATCTGAAAGCGATTTTTATCGGGATCTTTATGTACCTTGTAAAGGCGTACATTGGCTGAATGCATTGCCGGTCATATTTCCAGGGCAACTACACATGGGAACGTGACTAATCACTGTGCACAATGCGTTAAGGGCGCAAGCTCCGGGGCAGGGGTCCAGACATTTATTACGCATGCACGCTTTGTCGCGGGAACAGTCGGCATTTAAAACGCATTCCGGTCGGCAACCTACATATGGATCTCCTCGGAATTCCGATATACAGTTACAAACACCGTTCGAGCATTCCGCGTTGGGACCGCAGGGTGAAGGTATGCAGGCGTCTTCGACTGTAGATGGTATAGCTGCAAAAATATACAATGGATGTACTGACGATAGATGGGATTAAACGAGCTCGAATTGTGGCTTCGAGCCAGTTTCGAGATACGTGGCATACTGGATAGACTCGTGATGGCTTACGTGTCGCTATAATTTCGCAGAGGATAAATGTATTTCCGGTGTACCCTTCGGGGCATCTGCACGTGGGGATGTGATTAATGACGGAACATAGAGCATTGGTGCCGCACGAGCCGGGACACGGATCTACGCACTTCATGTTGATGCAGGCTTTATCGTTTGAACACTCCGAGTGTATAGTACACTCGGGCCTGCAATTAGGCGGCTGACCTAAGTAATTTTCCAAGCAGGTACACGCAGGAGAACCGCCGATATTTCTGCACTGAGAGAAACTACCGCACGGAGATGGTACGCATGGATCTCTTTCTATTAATAGTGGCGTTACAGCTGAAAGATATTCGGAATTACGGTTGATGACGATTGGGTAACATATAATAGGACAGTGATCGGGTTGAGAAATATAACTCTTCATGTATTCGATGTGTGGTCTTACGTGGAATTGACGTGCATATGGTAAACGGATCTCCGCTGTAACCGGGCATACAACTGCAGATGGGGCTGTGATTAACGACCGCGCAATTGGTATTGAGTCCGCATGGGCTTGGACAGGGGTTCACACATTTGTAGTCCTTGCAAGCTAACTGCGGGGAGCAATCTGAGCTAGCGATACATTCGGGTCTGCATGCAGGTGGAGATCCCACATACGTCGGCAGGCATGAACAGACTGCCTGTCCGGATACTTCTTTGCATTTGCTGTTGGGTCCACAGGGTGACGGAGCGCAAACGTTTTCATCTAGGATTATTTCTGGGGAAAATTTTACGGATTAATATGCAGGTAAGAATATATATGTATGTATACATCTCTGTGACAGATTTTTAAAAACCTTTCTACATAAGCGATTCTATTAATTTATAATCACATTTTATAAAATTATCATCGATTAAAGATATTGTATTCTTTTTAGAATAATAAAATAAACTATCAAATTTTTTTAAGCAGCATAAAAATATGTATATATTTATAGAAATAAAATGTAAAAAAATATTTTTCTGAAAAATATAATACTGGAATTTATATTTTTAAAAAATTTAAGAAACTTGTATGTTCAATTTTCTTTCTTACAAATATCGAATATAAAGCTAAAATTTTGTGTAAAATAAAAATTTAATTTTAATATACATTCAAAGAAAACTTGAAGACTAAAAAATTAATGTTCAAAACAATTACATCGTAGAAAGGTTTCGTTAAATAAAATTAGAGCTGTGTGAGATTGGCGACACTTACTATTCATGGAACAATAAACAAAGGGATCTCCAGTATATCCAGGGATACATGTGCACATCGGTTGATGATTAACAACCGAGCACTCGGCGTTTTGGCCGCACACGCCAGCGCAGGGATTGGCGCACTTGTTTCTTACGCACATCAAGTTGGATGGACAGTCGGGATTAATAACGCATTCGGGTCGGCACGCTAAATACGGATTGCCAGCGTAATTAGATGTACACTGACAGATTGCTATGCCGTCTCGCTCTCTACATATCGCGTTCGTGCCGCATTCAAAGTTCGCGCAGGGCGACTGTTGTGGTTCCACTTCTTGCTCGTATGCTAAAACAGGGTAAAAGGGCAGAAAGGATTAGGAATCGACATCGCGTAAAAAAAATATACGACCGATTAGTCTTCTTAAGGTTTCTCTTACGAGTTATCACTGAGCAACGTGTGTACGGGTCACCGGTGAGACCGTAGGAACAGACGCAATGAGGTACGTGTTGCACGACGTGGCACTCCGCATTCTCTCCACATAGACCTGGGCAAGGATCTACGCACTTTTGCCGCACGCAACTCTGATGACCAGGACATTCGGAATTGGAAACGCACTCGGGTCGGCAATACGGAGGCGAGCCTTTATACTCGGGTAGGCACGAACAGGATGGCAAATCGTTAACAACTTGGCACTGAGCGTACGGACCGCAGGGCGAGGGTTGACAAGGATTTATCGCAGGCGCTACTGGCTCTAAAGTAACAATACGTTTCTGTTTTAGTAGGTGGCTGGCAAATTTGTGATACTTCGCATTGGCTTTATGTTATATTTACTTGTGACGTATTCGCATCTGACGAACGGGTCGCCTGTGTAGTGTTCAGGACATGAACATACAGGATTATGGTTAATGACTACGCATCTCGCTTGAATGCCGCATGTGCCAGGGCAAGGATCTTTGCATTTTTGATTAATGCAAGCTTCATTTGGCCGACAATCGGAACTGAGAGTACATTCGGGGCGGCATAAAGGTGGTGATCCAAGGAACTCTGGAGCACACGTGCACACGGCCTGTCCATTTAATTCGCGACATATGCTGTTTGGACCGCAGGGATTCGGATTGCACGGTCTTGTCACGGGCGAAACTATACGAGAAAGCCGTATTAGCTTGTATCTTTTGATATAAATTATTTATGTACGAAAAATATTTATACCTTTTATTACATCGCAAGAAATAAACGCATTTCCGGTGGTACCGGAAGGGCAGCTGCACATCGGTGTGTGATTTATCACGTTGCATAAACTGTTTTGTCCACAAGTACCTGGACAAGGATCTACGCATTTATTTCGTATGCATGCTCTATCAACGGAACAATCTGCACTAAGTATGCATTCTGGTCGACAGCCTATATATGGATCGCCGAAATATTCAGGTAAACAAGTACAAATGCCGTTGTTGCATCGAGCATTTGGCCCGCAGGGTGATTGACTGCACGGATCGGGTTTCTGCACTGGTATGTCGTCTATATCGTAACAATATTATCAGTCTAAATCATGTGTGTCAAAATAAATAGAAATTTTTAAAATTAATTAAGAGATTTCAGCGTAACTTACTAATTGGCATAGGTTGACAACCGATAAACGGATCGCCAGTATAACTCTCTATACATCTGCAAATTGGAATGTGATTGTGAACGACACAATCGGCATTCAGACCGCAAGAACCTGGACAAGGATCTTGACATTTCTCGCGAATGCAAGCCTGGTTGCTCGGGCAGTCGGCAGGAATAATGCATTCAGGGCGACAGTTTGGCGGTACACCAATGTAATTAGTCATACAAGAACAAGATGGATAACCATTGACATTACGACATTGTGAATTGGGTCCGCACGGAGAAGGTATACAAGGATCCGAGGGCAGACTTAATGCAGTAGCTAGAATTTAAAGAAAAATCTCAAAATTATTAAAATAATTTTTTTAATAAAATTTAATTTATGAAAGTATTTTTTTAAGTAAAACTCTGTAACGTTTCAATTTAATGTTTCTAAAGACATGACCTCTTGTCATTTTATATAATCAAAATTTGGAATAAAAGAATTAATAAAATCATAAAATGAAATGAAAAGCAGTTATATCTATAAGAAATGGCACAATAAAATATTAATATTTTTCTAAAATATGAAAAAAACGAAGATTAGAATGTTTATAAAAATTTGCACCGCTTACGTGGGATAAATGTGCAGCGGATGAATGGGTCACCGCTGTATCCGGATTTGCACATGCATATTGGACTATGATTCACGACTCTACATGTCGTTCCCTGACCGCACGAATTTGGACAAGGATCGATGCACTTGTTATTTTCACAAGCGCGATTTGTCGCGCATTCCGTGCTAACAGTGCATTCGGGTCTACAACCGGGTGGTGCACCGATATAATTTGAAAGGCAAGAGCAAACAGCTTGGCCGTTATTTGGTCTACATTGACTATATGGTCCACAAGGAGATGGTTGACAGGGATCAAAATTATCTGATACAACCGCTGTAAGAAAATCAATATTAACAATATGTAATCGTTTCTAAATCGCGATAAAAGAATTTGTCTAATTTCTTACGGGCTTCGACGATAAGATTGCAGTATATAAATGGATTTCCTGTAAATCGCTCGAAACAGGTGCAAGTTGGTGCATGATTAATTACGTAGCATTGTGCGTTCTGGCCGCACGTTCCTGGACACGGATCTTTGCATTTTAAACCGATACACGCCTGATTCGACGGACAGTCAGAATTGAGTGTGCATTCAGGTCTACATCCTTCATAGGGATTGCCCACATAATCGGGCGAACATGTGCAAGAACCGGCGTTTTGCAAAACTCTGCATATTGCATTCGCACCACACGGAGATGGTGTGCACGGTGTGGCTACGCTGGGCTGTATATCAACTAAAATATACGAAAGCACAAAATAATTATTATAAATTTATCTGTAAAAACAGCTAATAATGAATTATAATTTTTAATTTTGTAATAATTTAATATCAATAATTTCTTTTTTAGATAATATCTAAAAAAATTTATAGATAAAGATATTTGATTTCTTTAAAAAGTAACATTATTAAACAAATTCAATAATTTTCTTACATCGTTCGGGAGAGCACTGCGTGAAAGGATCACCGGTATAATCGGGTGAACACGCGCACATTGGCGTGTGGCTAACAACATTGCAAATGGCATTGATTCCACATGCATTAATGCATGGATCGCGACATTTTTGGTTGATGCAGGCCATTTTATTCGAGCATTCGCTATTACTGATGCATTCGTACCGGCAGTTCGGGGGTGAGCCGATAAATTCTTGCAAGCACGAGCAAGAGGGTTGATCATTGATTACTTGACAGTGCGCGTTTGATCCACACGGTGATGGTTGACAAGGATTGAGCACGGGTAATGGTTCCTCAGCTTTAAAGATATAGCGATTAATTAACTGATACCGCGCGACAACATATTAAAATATATTGATGTTATATTCAAAATAGACATATAAAATATAAATTGCAAAAAGTAATTTGAAAACTCAATATTTAAAAATATATCTTTAAAAGAATATTTCTTACGAGGTGAGAAACAATTAATAAACGGATCCCCAATCATTCCAGGACGACAGACACAAACGGGATTGTGATTAATGACATCGCAAACTGTATTGCGTCCGCAACTTCCTGGACAAGGATCCCGACACTTTTGATTTGTACATGCTTCGTTCTTTGGACAATCTGAACTGATTATGCATTCGGACCTACAAGTCGGAGGTGCTCCGACGAATCCGCTTATGCAACTACATACGGCCTGCATGTTATTTTGTCTGCATTGACTATTCGGACCGCATGGAGACGGATTACATGGATTGCTAATGGAAGGTGCTACAATACGATAAAAGATTTTAATTTAGGATAAATATTATAGAAAAAAAGTTTGATGTATTAAAAATTTTGTAGTAAAGATTTGGTAGAGAAAAAAATACCTGGGACGGGGGAACATAAGACAAAAGCATTTCCAATCATTCCTGCAGGACAAGTACACATGGGAACATGGTTGTATACGTTGCACATTGCATTTTGGCCACAAACCCCTGGACAAGGATCCACGCATTTGTTTCGCACGCATGCCTGCGTGTTCGGGCAATCGTTATTCAGTACGCATTCTGGACGACAACCACTGTACGGGTCTCCGAAATATTCTATTATGCAAGTGCAAATTCCTCCGTTACACTGAGTATTAGGTCCGCAAGGCGAGGGTGTACATGGATCCGGTATAGACAACTGAGTAGAAACTATAATAATATGACGTAAGAAAAAGATCAAGAGTATATCTACATATATGTTTAAAAAAATAAATAAAATTATATATTCCGAAATAGAAAATCTTACATGAACTTATGGAACAGTGGACGAAAGGATCGCCGGTATAATCCGGTAAACATGAGCAAATCGGCACGTGATTCACGACACTACATTGAGCCATTATGCCACATAAACCTGGACAGGGATCTCTACATTTTTGTCGCATGCAAGCCATATTAGCCGGACATTCCGCATTGATTGTACATTCTGGTTTGCAATTTGGTGGGCTACCTTTGTACGTTGGCAAACAAGAACACGATGGTACCCCTCCTATATCGCGACATTCAGAAAATGCGCCGCAAGGCGACGGTATGCATGGATCTCTCACAATGTCACTTACAATGGGCGGATTTACTGCAATTATGAATAATATATAAATGAAGTAGTTTTAAGTTTAAAATTAATTATGTAACATACTGTAATATCTCGATACATCATTCTTTTAATCGCGAAGACAAAATTATTTCTTGTGCAAGAAATTTGATTTTTTATCGACAAATGCCATTATTAATTTATCTATCAATTTGTATATAATAATTTTACGTAAATTATTTTTGCACAGTTTTCGAAATAAATGTTATATCAAAATCCGAGGATAATTGTCCAGGAAAAATTCAGATTGAAAATTCAGATGGCATCAATCGAAAAAAAAAATGAGATAAAAATTAAAATTCATACCAGGTGTTTGGAAGCAAACGGTAAATGGATCCCCGGTATAACCGTTCTTGCAAGAGCAAATTGGATTGTGTTTAATGACCTTGCAATTTGAATTTTGACCACAAGAACCAGGGCAGGGATCTTGACATTTTTGATTCATGCAAGCAAGTGCGAGCGGACAATCCGAACTTGTCACGCATTCGGGACGACACGCTGGTGGATTTCCGATGAAAACCGGAAGACAAGAACAGACAGCTTGATTGTTATTGACACGACATTGGCTATTGGGTCCGCAAGGCGATGGATTGCAAACATCTATCGGAATCTCAACTAAAATAATAGATAGATGTATCTTTAAAAATTTTTCAGATTGCACTAGGAAAGATTATCTAAAAAATAATAATCATTTACAAAAGTATGCGAATCTATTATATATGTGTTAAGTACTTCATTTTTAATGAATTAAATTTAAGAATTAAACTTAAGAATAAAGAAACAATTTTAAAAAATCATTTTGCTATTCAAACGTGTATGGAAAAAGTTTAAGATGGATATAACAAAATATGTAGAGAAAATTAAAATAAATGAAAATTGAAATATCAATATTTAAGATAGTATTCGTACCAATATCACGTATTATATTGCAATATTGGAAGGGATTGCCGCTGTAACCGGAAATACATGTGCAAGACGGTCGATGATTGATAACTTGACATTCGGCAAACTGTCCGCAAGCACCAGGACACGGATCTTTGCATTTCGATTGTATACATGCAAGAGTGAATATGCAATCTGTATCGACAACGCATTCTGGACGACATCCTTCATAAGGATTACCGACATAATCTGGTAAACAAGAACAGGATCCAACGCCATGCTGTTCCTTACAAATGGCGTTAAAACCACAAGGTGATGGTTTACAAGGTGACAACGAAAAAGTTGTGGCTGAAAATAATATAAAGGGATATTTCAAATAAAATCAATTAATTTTTTTTAAAGTAAGATTATAGCATATCCGAAAATCTTAATACTGTGTTCTATAATCAATTAATTAGCGATTTTTTGTGTTGCTTAAATGTAAATATTATTTTAGTCATTCTGTTTTCGGAATTAAATTTTAAAGTCGATGCTTACGTGGATTTATTGTACACTGCGTGAAGGGATCGCCGGTGAACTCGCTAGGACAAACACACATAGGTGTATGGCTCACCACACGACACTCGGCATTGATTCCACAGGAATCTTCGCAAGGATCTCTGCATTTCTTATTCATACACGCCAAATGTGAGGGACATTCACTATTGCTAATGCATTCTGGTTTACAATACGGAGGTGTACCTAGGAATTCAGGTAGACATGAGCATATAGGAGTATCTCCTGCAACTCTACACTCGGCATTCGCTCCACAAGGAGATGGCACACAAGGATTTGTTTGCAGAACAGGCTCGGGTGCTAACAAGAAAAAAGAGAATTGTTGTCAGAAGCTTGAAGTTAAATAAACGACATTATGAATGTTTCAGTCGAATAAAACTTGAAATATAAGTAAAGTATTTTTTTTAACTTTATATATATATATATATATATATATATATATATATATATTATTTATATCAGCGTTGGAATCGACAAATATATTTCACTAAGATTTTGTAATTGTTTCTCAAGCTCTTACGTCGTGGAAGGCATTGAATGAATGGATCCCCAGTAAGTTCTCCACAACTACAGATAGGATTGTGATTGATCACTTGACACGTAGCTCTAATTCCACATGCACCGAGGCATGGATTTATGCATTTCTGATTGCTGCAAGCTTCTGTCAGAAGACAATCGGAACTGACAGTGCATTCAGGTCTGCATGCTGGCGGAACGCCAAGGAATCCGGTGACACACGAGCACACCGGTTGCCCGTTGTTTTCTCGGCAAATACTGTTGGGTCCGCAGGGCGAGGGCAAGCAGGGATTTCCCTTCGGAATATCTATATTCGAGATGGTAATCTTATTCACTTTGTTCCCGAAAATGATTGACGAATTGCTTAACATTAATTGAACATTTCTACTTTAAAAGGATAATATTAAATAGAAATAGATTAATCAATTAAAAAAAAAATTATACCTGCGAGAATGGAACATTGAACAAAGGCATTGCCAGCCATTCCAGCTGGACAGGTGCACATAGGTACGTGATTATACACGGAGCATAATGCATTCTGACCACACGTGCCCGGGCAGGGATCCAGGCATTTGTTACGAATGCATGCACGATCGAGGGTACAATCGGTATTCGTGACACACTCGGGACGGCAACCTACGTAAGGATCACCCTGATACTCAGGCAGACATATGCAGATGCCATGATTGCATCGTGCATTCGGACCACAAGGATTCAAATCGCAAGGATCAGTAATTATCGGTGATGCTAGAAGAGAGAAAAGAATTTTAAACTAAACTTTATAATAACTCGAAATAAAATCATACGAAATATAACGTTTCTTTCCATGTAACTCCAGACATTGAATTAATATTATATTCACGTTGACTCAGATGTATAATAAAATAAAATAAAAATTCAGAGTCAAATTTATATATACAGAAGATTTTAAGAAATGAGTTATAATTCGCGAGATTTTTCTTCGAGATTTTCGCAATTTCGAATGTAGGGGACTTCTTACTTGTAATCGGTCGAGGATAACAGTTACTGAACGGATCACCGGTATATCCTTCGGGACAAGTGCACACGGGTACGTGATTATAGACTGTACACAAAGAAGTGATGCCGCAAGAGCCTAAACAGGGATCCCTGCATTTCTCGTTGTTGCAGGCAAGATTCATCGGACACTCGGAATTTACGCGACATTCAGGACGACAATTCGGCGGTGATCCCTTGTAAGAGGCAAAACAGGAGCACGATGCTGTGCCAGCAATATTCCTGCATTCCGCGTTCATGCCGCACGGAGACGGCAGACACGGATCTACGGGGGCTACAGGAAAATCTAGCGGTTCTGAAATTTAATAAATGACAGTGGCGTGTAAAAACACCGATCAATTTTATGGGAAAGATGAAGCCATGATTGAGTTAAGTATTTGTAAAAAATTGAGGATGATCATGGTTTTATGAATGAGAGTAGCTGATGAAAGAAGCAAAATTCTTACGTGGGGCGGGAAAGCATCTCATAAAAGGATCCCCGGTAAAATCGAGATTGCAGACGCAGATGGGGCTGTGATTGATCACTTTGCACTGAGTGTTTATTCCACACGGGTCCGGGCAGGGCGACGTACATTTCTGATTGATGCAAGTAAGATCCGAAGGACATTGGCTGTTTACCACGCATTCGGCATGACAGTTTGGGGGACTGCCGTTAAAATTCGGGAGACAAGAGCAAACGGCAAGGCCGTTTACATCTCGACACTTACTATTAGGTCCACAGGGAGACGGGCTGCATGGATTTGTTTCTGGCAAGGCTGCATGGAGAAAAGTGTATGCACAAGTTATTTTCGATAAATTATTTTAGATATCGATGTTTCATTCATGAAATAAAAGCTATGGCTTTAATTAATAATTATATTTAGAGATAATTTTGGATATTAATGTATATTATAATATTTAAATCAGAAATTATAAAAGAAAGAAATTAATGCTCTCCTATAACCACAATAAAAATTCTAATTTATATTAAAAATTATTATAAGCATTAATTATTAATTAAAATTGAAGTTATGTTATGTAATTTAACACATTAAATTTCTTCTAGTTTAAATTTGAAACCATAATTCATTCAAGTGTTTCCAATATAATTTTACATTTATATACAAACATTCTATGGCTGTTAATTGGAATAAAACTTTTACAATGAAATGTCTGATGTGGAAATAAAGCTTACAGTCTTGAATTATTGGGGAACAGTGGGTGAACGGATTTCCGGTATAGCCGGGAATGCAAGTACAGATCGGTAGATGATTAACCGATTGGCATTGGGCATTCACTCCGCAAGTTCCTGGGCAAGGGTCTCTGCATTTTAAGCCCATGCACGCCATTCTCGTCAGACAGTCGGAATTTTGCGTGCACTCGGGCTTGCATTCTTCGTAAGGATCACCCTGATAATCCGGCAGACAGGTGCACGAGCCAACGCCGTTGTTTTCGCGGCAGATAGCATTTAGACCACAAGGAGAAGGCTCGCATGGTTTTTTAATGTCTAGGGGCGTATCTGATGGAGAAAGAGAAGAATATTCATTTAAACTTAAACAAACATGCAACGCATTCTATTTTAAAGCTGGTGCCGAGGCAAGGGATTCTTTGGCTTTCGTCTCATATCTCTCGTTCTCATATTCTGTCTTCACTCTTTCGATTAAATCAAAATTCCTAATAAGCAAGAAGCTTTGTATGATAATGCGACGTATAGCTTTGTGTGGTTTTAATATGAGTTATCATCGTCAACAAATATTTTATATATCTATCGGTTTTAGTAGAGGCGACGTATTTCATTAGCATCGTGTTTAATTTTTAATCGTATTAATTAATCAAGTTAATTACAAAGTGCGGGACAAAATGGTTGGTCATAAAACTATGTTAGGGTCTATGGCAACTTATTGTATTATTTTTTTCAGGAACGGGATAGCTATCCTTGGGCTCTATGCTATAATAGGCGATACTCTTTTACGTCGAGTTTGTTAAACGATTTCTTTAGTTAGGAAATTGCGTTTTTTGTAATAGCATTTTTGAATATTTTTTTCGAGAATGATATGTGCAGCATGATTTTTGGGAGGTTCACAGCATATGTCAAGGGTCAAAATGCTCATATATGGGAGTGGGTCTTTATTCGCTTTGACACAGGCCGGTGCGTGCAGCAAAACATTTCAACAATTAATCGCAGGGATTGTGATATTCTATCGATTTTTTTTAGTTGCTCAGTGCCTATTAGGAGTGAGTGTGCAGTCAAGAGCCCATATAATTATTATATATAGGCCCCGTCACCATTTTTCGTAATTATTTGTCCTGGTTATTATTGCTACCCTGTATTAGGGTTTTGGGTCAGTACGCTCAGGCATGGGGATGAGTGCGTGCCGCATTGTTTCTCCTATTAATCGCATGGACTCGGGACACGTGTTTTATGTTATTGACTTTTAATCAGGGATGAGTGCAATTAAGAGCCTAATGTCTATAGGCCCCACCACCTCACACACGTAACTTATTGTCATCTTTTTGTTATGCAATCTTCTTGCGATTGTATATGCCGCTGTTGTATGTTGTTTTCGCATTAATCTTATATGATAATTCTTGTTAAGATCACATTTTGATCTAATGTGCTTCTTTCTAAAACTATGTAAGCACGTGTCTAATAACAATAATAATGGGACGGGACGGCTCACATTAAATTATTTTTAAAATGTTATCTTCGTATCAAATATTCCGTAAATCATATTTAAAGTGGCACATTGAAAAATCTCTTAATAGTTTAACAAATTGCAACATCTTCAACTGACCAACAATACTGAGTAACAGAAGACTCTCGAGACTGTCTTGATATTTTATCACCATTAGTCACGAGGACCAAAAGCACTTACCTGCTGCGCCCACATGCAAACGGCAGCATTTGCAGGAAGAATTGTAAATATGAATAAAAGATGCAACGTCGCGTACTCACCCTCTGGTACTCGTTCGCAAGCGCTGAATGGATTTCCGGTGTATCCAGCGGTGCACGCACAAACCGCATGGTGATTCACTACGGAGCACTGAGCGTTCAGACCGCACAGACCGACACACGGGTCGCGACATTTTTGTTGCAAACACGCTAATTGCGACGGACACTCAGGATTGATAGTGCACTCCGGTCTGCAATTCGGTGGCAAACCGACGTAATTTTCGATGCAAGAACACGCGGGACTCTCGCCTCTCACTTGGCACTCCGCATTTGGACCGCAGGGCGACGGTAGACACGGGTTCATCGGTGTAGGTGGTGTTTCTGTAAACGAGTTTTTAAATGAAGAAAAACCATTTTGCATTTTTAATTTAAACGGTCGAAATTTTACGATTATTCAAAATATATAATTTCCTATATTGTACATGTCAAAAAATGAAGACTAACTTTCAAGCAATAAAATGTAGATTTTTCAATATAATTTGCATCGTTAATATATTAATTAAAAATATATAAAAGGATAAATAATTTAAAAATATATAATCTTTTATAGCTAATAAAAAATATTTAACATGTAGAATAAATATGCTACAGAATGTACAATTCTTTGCTCTTTTATTTTTTCAATCGAAAAGTGTAATTATTTCATAAAATATTAAATATATTTTAAAAAGTTTATGACAAAAAGAAATCTACATTACTTACTTGGTTGCGGATAGCATATGCTGAAAGGATCGCCTGTGTAAGATTCGGAGCAACTGCATATTGGATTATGATTAACCACTTGACAATTTGTATTTTGTCCGCATGTGCCTGGGCATGGATCTTGACATTTATTATTCAGACACGCCTGTGTCAATGGACAGTCGGCACTGACAATACATTCTGGTTTGCAGGCGGGTGGGCTGCCGATTAAACCAGGTTGGCAAGAACACACAGCATGCTCACTTACAACTTTGCAGATGCTGTTTGGTCCACAAGGCGATGGCGTGCAAGGCTGTTTAATAACTTCTGCAAATACATATAACCAATGGTTATCACGTTTATAACAATAATTGATTCCAAACATGAAGAAATGAAAGGTGACCGCAAGTCTTATTTTCACTGTTATTTAAACTACGCCCAACTTAACGCGAGACACTACCGTATCTCTTGATAACATTTTAAAAGATAAAAAATAAATTAAAAAAAAATTTTTTAACTCACCTGGTACATGTGGTCGGCACAAAAGGAACGGATTTCCGGTGTAACCAGGTGGACAACTGCACATTGGGACGTGATTAACAACGTCGCAGCGTGCATCGCGACCGCATGTGCCTGGGCAAGGATCCACGCAGTTTTGATTGATACATGTTTTAATGCGAGGACAATCAGAATTCATTGTGCATTCCGGTCGACAATAAGAATACGCATCTCCGAAATAGTTGGGCAAACAAGTGCATACACCTTCGTTGCACAATGCATTAGGTCCACAAGGCGAAGGGTTGCACAAATCTTGAGGAACCTTTGGTTGTTCTGTAATATTAATTCTTCATGTTTATATATACACATATTGACAGAAAAAAAACATAATATATCTTTCTCTATAAGTAATTTATGTTAAGAGTATTTTTTGATGAGAAAATTTATAATCTTTAATTTATATATATATATAATAAAATTAATTTTTTAAAAATTTATGCATACCTTTAATAACTGTGCACAAACTGAAAGGATCGCCAGAGTAACCAGGTTGACACAAGCAAACCGGTATATGATTCTGAACTCGACAATCGGCATTCTGACCGCAAGAGCCGATGCAAGGATCACGACATTTTTCCGAGATGCAAGCTTGATCCAACGGGCAATCTGTATTAACTACACATTCCGCGCGGCAATTGGGTGGTATCCCTATGTAATTTTTCAAACAGGTACATGCGGCTTGATTGTTGACAACTTTACACTCAGCATAAAGACCACATGGACTAGGGAAACAAGGATCCATCGGTGGCAGCGGCACAACTGTATAAAAAATAATGAAACAAATATAATTATAAATATATACAAAAATATGCAAAGAAAGTGTAATGATTAATACCAGCTTAATTAAAAGTATTGACAATTACCAGGTTCGGGGAAACATCTGAAGAAAGGATCGCCTGTTTTTCCCTGTGGACAGCTGCAGAGCGGATTGTGATTAATGACACGGCAATTGGCCTCAACTCCGCAAGTACCGGGGCACGGATCTGTACACTTGTGCTTATAGCATGCTCTGTTCTGCGGACATTCAGAATTGACGACGCATTCCGGCTTACAATTCGGTGGGACGCCTACGAAAGACTCTTGACACGTGCAGACGGCTTGATTGTTTACAGCACGACACAAGCTATTCGGGCCGCAGGGTGTCGGCGAGCACGCGTCCTTGACGGTAGGCTCCGTATCGATTTCCGGTTGAAGAGTGCAAATCGTAAACGGATCACCGATGTATCCAGGCTCGCAGGTACACGTCGGAATGTGATTGATGACCGAACACTGCGCCCGTACGCCGCACACACCTGGACAAGGATCCTTGCACTTGTTGCGAATACAAGCCTTGTTCGTGGGACAATCCGCACTAAGGACGCATTCTGGTTGACAGCCTTCGTAAGGATTTCCATAGTAATCATCGATACATATGCAAGCGCCCGCATTATCTCGCTGCTGGCAGATCGCGTTGGCTCCACATGGCGAAGGCTCGCACGGATTTATCGTTTCCTCTAAAGAATGAGAAAATCAATTAAATTAAGTAAAACAGCAATATGAGAATAATTTTAATTTAAGAAAAAAATGTTTCGATATAAACGAATGACGTACCTTCTAGCACACATTGCACGAACGGATTGCCAATATATCCATTCTTACACGAACAGGTCACTGCGTGATTCACTACTTTGCATTCAGCGTTGTCTCCGCAAGATCCTGGACAGGGATCTTTACATTTCATATTTATGCAAGATTTTTCCGGAGGACAATCAGGGTTGATCAAACACTCCGGCCGACATGATGGCGGGATGCCGATGTACGTAGGTAGACATGAACACGACGGTTGTCCATTTGCATTCTTACAGAGTGCATTCGGACCGCATGGCGAAGGAATACAAGGATCGCCATGATCCTTAGGTTCTGGTGGAACTGAAATGTTCATACAATAGTTTGTACTTTTTTAATTTACGCTTCATCAAGAACTACTATAAACAGCTCTTGTATTAATGATATTAACAATGATTGAAGAAACAAATTCTTGTCATTTTTAAAAATCTTATTACAAAATTATCAATATTATTTTTCGTTCTAGAAGAGTACTGATTATCTTACGTGGAATGTCGTAACAACTCTTGAATGGATCTCCCGTCTGTCCAGGCAGACAGCTGCATATCGGTGAGTGGTTGATCACTTCGCATCTCGCGTTCAAACCACAGGAACCCAGGCATGGGTCTGTGCACTTCTTGTTTACGCAAGCTCGCGTTGGTGGACATTCAGAACTAACGAGACATTCCGGTCTGCAGGATGGCGGGGAACCAAGATAGCCTTGGAGACAAGAGCACACAGCGTGATCCTCGATATTACGGCATTGACTGTTCGGTCCGCAAGGCGAAGGTGTGCAGGGATCCCTTCGAGACTCCGGCACTGCAATAGAAATAAAATAAAAATTAATATTGCAAAGTCATTTTAATTTAAAAATTTGATAAAGAGAATTGATACACTAAAATTAATGACAATATTATTCAAAGTAAGAAAGAAGGAGCAACTGCAAAATAGTTTTATATACCTGTAGCTTGAACGCGACAGTTGACGAATGGATCACCCACGTATCCGGATGGACAGGAGCAGACAGGAATGTGATTCACAACGTCGCATCGCGCATTTTGACCGCATATACCAGAACAGGGATCCTTGCATTTATTCTTCAGGCAAGTTTTGTCACGTGGACATTCGGAATTGAGAATGCATTCGGGCCGACAAGCTTCGTAAGGATTACCGATGTATTCAGGCAAGCATTTACATTCACCATTATCACATATGGCGTTCGGACCACATGGAGATAGAGCACAAGGATCTGTAGGCGGTGGTTCTGTAACTATAAAGACAAAACCTTTCTTAAAGACAAATTGTTTAATTATACTTATGCTTATTTCATCGAGCAACATTGTTATAGCGTCACAATAAGATATATTATTCTCCTATCACCGATAAATTATATAAAATTTAATTTTTATCATATATATTTTATACAGATTCTTAACTCTTTTCCAGAAGTAATTTATCTGCATTAATTTTTTACGAACTAAACATTATATCTATACAATTATGTTGTGTTATTTTATACTTTATTTATTACCTGGCGGAATGATGCTGCATTGCGTAAATGGATCTCCGGTGAATCCTTCCATGCATGTGCAAACTGGCAAATGATTCAATACGTGACATTGAGCGTTTATTCCGCACGATCCCGGACAAGGATCTGTACACCTCTGATTGACGCATGCGAGATGACTCTTGCACTCGGAGCTCAAAATGCATTCTGGTCGACATTGTGGCGGTACACCAATGTAATTAGGCAGGCAGGAGCACGCAGGATTCCCGGATATTATTTGACACAAAGAGTTCGGACCGCAAGGCGACGGGGTGCATGATGGTGGCCGTTCGGTTATCGGGTATTCACTAGGAACTAAAATAAAAAATAATTGTAAATTATATTTGATCTTTAATAAGAAAAAGCTTACATAATTAGTTTCGCGTATGCATTAATGTGAAAAAAATTCATTTTTTATAAAAGAAAATTTTAAGGAAAATAGTTTTTTTGCATTAATCTTAATTCAAGAATACAAAATAGAACATTTATAATGCTTACCGTGTGGCGAGCACAAAGTGAAAGGATCTCCTGTGAAGCCAGCAGGGCAAGTACAAATCGGATTGTGATTTTTCGTAGTACATTGCGCTCTCAATCCACAGGTATTCGGACAAGGATCTGCGCATTTCTTATTCACACATGCCAAATGTGGTGGACATTCAGCATTAACAATGCATTCTGGTCTACACGATGGTGGAATGCCCGTATACTCTGGCAAACAGCTACACACGGCTTGACCATTAACGACTCGGCATTTACTGTTGGGCCCACAAGGTGATGGAGAACACGGTTCTAATGTTTCTGAAAAAACCGATAACAATTATATATCGTATATTTTTAACTTTTAATCATATTAAATTATTTGAAAATAATTAATTACAATTTTTGATAATTGTCATTAATATGATTTCTTTACTTATGATTAATACTAATATATTAATATTGCGCGAGATAACATTAAGCATAATAATTATTAAAAAATATTTTATTATTATTAAAATTTTGTTATTATATAATATTTAAAACATACTTGTCATTTCCTCGATTTCGCAAGCAAAGTATGGATCTCCCGTGTATCCTGGGGGACACAGACATACAGGAACGTGAGCTTGTACATTGCATATAGACAATGTCCCGCACGTATTGGGACACGGATCTGTGCATTTAAAGCCGACACATGCCAGCTGCGGTGCGCAGTCATTATTTGTTTCGCATTCTCTGTGGCATCCCTTGACAATGTCGTAAGGATCACCGATCAAATCCGGTGGACATCCGCAAGCGCCTGCCCCGTTTCTCTCACGACATTGCGCATTAGGACCGCAAGGATTTGGCGAGCACGGATGAGACACTGGCGTGTCAGTCGCTGTAAATATGCACGACAAAATGTATCATATGCATTTACTTAAACAACTCCTACTTAACAATTTAATTTTTTTCGAATATTCGAATTTTTACTCACCTGGAGGAAGTGCCAGAACACAGCGTATAGAGGGTTCGCCTTCGTATCCATCCGGACAGGTACAGATCGGTATGTGATTCTGCACTATGCACCTAGCGAGTTCACCGCAAGCACCGGGACAAGGATTCTTACATCTCTGATTGATGCACGATGCGGTGTTGAAGCATTCCGAGTTATCGGTGCACTCCGGTCTACAATTAGGCGGTCGACCGATGTAGTTCTGCAAGCAAGAGCATGCTGGATGCAAGCCGATTACTTTGCATTGCGAGTTAGGACCGCATGGATTTGGCGAGCACGGATCTCCTTCTCCCTTTGGCAATGGCGACGTGGTGCTGATCCTGACGCAGTGCACAAATGGATCGCCAGAGTAACCGCTGGCGCAGCTGCAGATGGGATTGTGATTCACCGTGAGGCAATTCGTGTTCTGTCCGCAGGAACCGGGACACGGGTCTGCGCACTTGTTGTGGATGCATGCCTTGTTCTGCGGACACTCGGAGCTGACGATGCATCCCGGTCGACAGGTCGGCGGGATGCCGGCGAATCCTGGCTGACATAGACACACTGCGTGTCCGTTTTGAATTCGGCAGTTGCTGTTGGGTCCACACGGCGATGGATCGCATGGATCGATCGGCGATGGCAACGGCGTCGCGAGATCGATGATGGTGCAGCCGTTCACTGGGTCGCCGGTGTATCCCGGTAGGCAGGAACACATCGGGGCGTGATTAACCACCCGACAAGTAGCATCCTGACCACAGGTACCTGGGCATGGATTAATACACTTGTTGTTCAGACAGGCCTTGCTGCGATCACAATCGGCGTTCGTGACACATTCGGGTCTGCAGGCGATGTACGGATCGCCAAAGTACTGTGGCAAACACGTGCAAGAGCCAACGCCATTCCGTTCGTTGCACACAGCATTGGCGCCACATGGTGATGGATTACAAGGTGTACGTGGTTGTTCCGTTGTAATGGGTGCTGCGAATAAGTGATCAATTATAAATCATATTATATAAAATTTATATGTACAATATATTATTATATTATATAAAAGTTATTATATATTATTTAATTATACAACAACACATGATATAAAATAAATAGAGAATAAATGTTTAATTTTCTTCTTAATTAAAATAATATTAAAATAATAAATAATAATTACATTAAAATAATTTTTAATAAGAATGAATTATAACACGTGCTGCTGTAACGCACAGATATAATATTTCGCGTGATCCAAGATATGTATACGTAAAGAAACATACCTTCTACGATAGGTGTACATTCCGTGAATGGATTGCCGGTGTAATCATCATTACAGATGCAGACGGGATTGTGTTTGACGACATTACAATATGTGTTCACGCCGCAAGAGCCTGGACACGGATCTATACATTGCTCGTTCTGGCACGCCAGATTTCCGGGACATCCTTCGTTTATGACACACTCGGGACGGCAATTTGGCGCCCGACCCACGTAATTCGGTAAACACGAGCACGCCGGGAAGCCGTCGATTACCCGACACTGGGAATTCGATCCACATGGCGAGGGAACACACGGATTGCCGCTCGGTCTTGGTACTGGTGTTACCTCTACTGCAATCGCATATTGATAAATGTTAAGACAATTATGTAAAAATTAAAACACATCACATATAAAAGTTAAAAATTAAAAATAAAATATTATTTTGTGAAATGTAGAGATATAAATTAATAAAATATATTAATTTTACTAATTTATACTTGCACTATTTCACAAATATTTTCTAATAGGTTTTAAATATATAAATCTTTTAAATACTTAGGATATATCAAAGACAAAGAACTTAAGATAGTGACTGACAGTGAAATAGGTTTGTTATTCTTACCTTCTTTGACACATCCAAAGAACGGATCTCCGCTATAACCAATCGCGCAAATACAGACGGGATTATGATTGATCACTCGACAATCTGCATTTACGCCGCACGTGCCTACACATGGATCCTTGCATCTCTGATTGATGCACGCTGCGTTCGGACTACAATCCGTACTGACGACGCATTCCGGTCGGCAAGACGGTGGACTACCGATATAATTAGGTTGACAGGAGCATACTGCGTGATTATCGATAACACGACAGTTGCTGTACGGTCCGCAGGGAGATGGTTGGCAAGTATCACCTGGTATTGAAGGCTCTATAAGAGATAAACCGTGTTAAAAAGACAATTGAATACATTGCTCAAATTAGTTTTTTAATTAAGAATTAAGGAGACTACCAAATAATAATAAAGATTTTTTTATTAGCATTCTGGTTAGATAATGTATATAATAAGAGCAAAATGAAATAATGTAATAAATTAAGAATTATGTAATAATGTTGTAGATATATGTCTGTTGTTCTAATTATCACTTAAGAAACTCTAGCTTGAGCACTTCTGTTACAATAGAGATAGCAAACGTACTTATTGGCACGTGGCAAGACGTCAGCGGATCTCCAGTATAACCGTAGAGGCAGCTGCAGGATGGCTGATGATTATAAACTTGGCATTGCGCGTTAATTCCACAAGCTCCTATACAGGGATCCTTGCACTTGTTGTTGATGCAAGCCTTTGTGTGAACGCAATCCGAGTTTTGCACGCATTCCGGTCTGCAACCCTCGTACGGATCACCGGTATAATCAGGCAGACAGGTGCAAGAACCCGCGCCGTTTCGCTCTTTACATACAGCATTTGCACCGCACGGCGAAGGATCGCATGGCAATTGCACTGGGAAAATGGCTACACAGCGAAGAAATATTTAGAGTTATGCAAATTACAATAAATCGAGTATTTATTTTAAAAATGTCTTACCTTTGGCGCAGCCTGAAAAAGGATCACCTTCGTAGCCCGCATAACATTGACATATAGGTCGATGATTCTGCACTGCACAATTCGTGTTGAAGCCGCATGATCCAATACACGGATCTAGACATTTCTTTTGAATACAAGCCAAAGAACTGATGCAATCTTGATCTATCACGCATTCTGGTCTGCAATTCGGCGGTGCTCCGAACATACCGCTGATGCACGTGCATATAGGATGATCTTCTTGCACGCGACAATCAGCGTTGGGTCCGCAAGGCGATGGCAAGCAAGGATTCACAGTGGTTGGTGGTAAAGGTTCTGAAAATATTTTGAAAATTTTTTCACGTAGAAATATGTTTAATATAATAAATATATTAATGATTTAATTGATAAAAAAATAAATTTTATGGAATGTATTTTTAATCGTACTCTATTATATAAAATCATATATATAATTATAACATAAAGATCTTTTCTCTTGGACCATGTTAGACCATGTATTTAACAATAAAAAAAAAACACATTTTAGTTTTTAATTGAATTGTTTGCTTATTTGTCATTATATTAATTAGCAATATATCAATATTTAAATTATCATATATTTTATATTTAATAAAAGTCTGCTAATATAATTACCTTCTTTAGCGCAATGTGTGAACGGATCGCCGATGTACTGACGAGGACAGCTACAGATAGGATTGTGATTGATAACTTGACAATCAGCATTCAAACCGCACAATCCCGGACAAGGATCATTACATTTTTGATTAATGCAAGCTAGATGAAGCGGACATTCTGTGCTAACGAGACACTCTGGACGGCAATGCGGCGGAGTACCCTGATAACCCGGACTGCAGGAGCAAACTGCACGATCGTTCATTACACGGCAAATGCTGTGTGGACCACATGGCGATGGCATACATGGATTCTGATCTGGTACTACTGTAAAACAAATATAATTAAAGTAAATTTCTTATATTCTTCTTCTTCTTATGTTTACAGTCATATAATTAATAAATTGTTCAACATTTTACCATATAAAATCGTATATACATCTTAAAATGTTCGTCAACATAGAAAATGTTGTAAATATCATATAACTAATTGTAAATATAAATCTGAAGCTTTGTCATATAAATTGATGTAGTGCTATATGTGTACAATAAATAAGGAAAGTGAATATGCAAATAAAAATAATGTTTACATACAAGGTCTCTCCACTTTACAGGCTCTGAATGGATCGCCGGTGTATCCCGGCAAGCAAGAACACATCGGAAGATGATCGACGACTTCGCAGTGCGCATTCGCACCGCACACGCCTGGACACGGATCTCTGCAGTGTTGATTGAAGCAAGCCAGGTGATTCTCGCAATCTCGATTAACAATACATTCGGCTTCGCAACCGTCTATATAAGGATTACCAATGAACGGCGGTACGCATGTGCATTTAGCTATACCGTCGATCGCCGTACAAATGGCGTTCTTGCCGCAGGGTGATAATAGACAAGGATCATATGGTTCCACTGGTCGTGCTACACATAATTATTATAACATGTTAATTATGGCAAAGCTCTTGATTTTGTTTATTATTTAAAATAATCTTATTATAGATTGCAAGATATTTTTTACAATACTATAAATTTGAAAAAAATTCAGAAGATATATTTAATAAAAATAAAAAAAAAAAATATCGAAAAAATAAAATAATAAGGATCCTAGAAAGGAATTGTTTAAAAAATTGCATTAAATATAATTTTCAATATTTGTAAGGTTTAACAAAAAAATCTTTTTTTAAATCAATATTATTGAATTACTAGTAATGATTACCTCCGCAACTTTTGTATGGATTTCCAATCATGAGATCTGGACAGTAACAAGGTGGTACCCTCGTGCTGTTGCACCTCGCTCCAAAACCACAAGGATTCAATTCGCATTGATCGGCTTTCGGTACGCATCCTCTAATAGTATTCGGGCTTTCGATATATCCAGGTAAACAGGTACACTTCGCAAAGCCATTCTCCAATACGGAACAGCGAGTATTGGGACCGCATGGAGAAGGATCGCAAGTAGTACTGGGAAGTGTGCAGGGAGAGTGAGGCGGATTTCCTTCGTATCCTGGTAGACAGAAGCATCTCACTTGTCCGTTAACCACCCGGCAGCCCGAATTCACACCGCAAGGATCGCCATCGCATTGATCACCTTCAGGAACTAGATACATTACAGAATGGATTTATTATAAAAATCATTATTTTTACATTTTGCAATAACATTTACAAGCAAAGTAAAATAAATTACACTACATATTTATAAACTGGTATATATAAATAAGAGATTGTTGTAATATTACATAAAACTTTATATACGTACTGCATTGCTCAAATGGACTTCCGGTTAGACCTTTCGGACAGAAGCAGACGGGATTTCCATTATCATTCTCACACAATGCATTCAAACCGCAAGGATTTGGAACGCAAGGATCGGAGATCGGTATTTCGTGGCAGCCAATTTGGGGATTTCCTTGATATCCTGGAAGACAGGTGCACTGTGCCTGATGATTACTAGAGATGCACTTTGTGTTTTCTCCGCAGTCGAATTCGATGCAAGGATTGATACACTGTCTATTAAGTCGATCGCAGTATTTGTTCGGAGGGCAATCTTCGTTATATTGGCAAATATTCTTCGTTTCTTCTTCTAAAATGATAAAATATATTAATTTTAATGTTGAATAAATATGCTAATTTAATATCAATTTATATAAGTTTAATGATTTTTTTTTCATTGCATTATTTTATAATTTTTTGTAATAAATTTGTGTATATATCATTAATCATTTTTAATACAAATTTTCAATCTATTGCTTTAAATAGATAGTTAATAGATAAATAAATATATATATATATATATACATATATATATATATATATATATATATATATATATATATGTACAAATTATATCGTATAAATTTTTTTATATTGTCGAAACTTACGCAAATCACAATAGGAGAATCCATTTCCATGATAGCCTTCTTCACAACTGCAATCTGCTCCATGATTTGTGTTCGTACAAACAGCATGTTCGGTACAAGGATTTCGAACTAGACAGGGCTCCTGGCAAGTATGCCCGATGCACGCCTCTGTCAGCGGGCAATCCCTGTTGCTAGTGCAACCCGCTAAAGAAAGAGTGAGAAGGCCCATGTAACCCCAGAAAGTGTAGTGCACGAGTTATAGAACTTGAAATGAAATTTTTTTTTGCGCAGCATGTGTGGTTTTTTCTTCTTTTCTATTGCGGCATTTACATTTAGGCTTTCTTGCACATATGCGAAAAGTATGCGAATCGGGAGAAAAGTATTCTCCCAAATCTAGGAAAGACAAATATCTTGAAGAGATCATTCGTCGCGATCATGCACATTTGTAATAGTATCATTAAATATTCTCTCTGTGCTTTTTTTAAAGGAAAGAAGAAATCTTAATGTATATAATTTGCAAAATATATACGTGAGATATATATATGTACAGTACATACATACATATTTACAAATCTTTCGACGGCTATAAATGACTGAAAATAAAATCAGATGAATCTCCGAACGATGTTGACATTTGTACGAACCTTTGACGCATGTATTTGTTGACAGATCGCACTGCATACCGGGTGGACAGTAAGGACACTCCGCTTCATTGCTCTCCACTAAAAGAATTGTATAAAATAATGATTAATTTTTCGAAAATAAATATATATGTAAAATGTTGTTCAACTTAATCGTACTCTTACCTTTGACGCAAACTGGCCTATGATACTGAACATGACAAGCTTCGACGAAGTCGCACGGATTGCCCAAGTTGCAAGGGTTCACGCATTGTTGATTCACGCAAGCCAATTGGATGGGACAGTCGGTATGTGTTGTGCATTTCACGTCTAATGAAACAGATGTATATTAGACACAGAAATTAATGAGCGAGACGAGAGCGTCATGGAATGTTAATTGTACACGTCCCAATAGAAAATCTATTTGACCTAATTTTTAACCACTATGTCTTGGAATATTCTATAAAAAATGGTAGCTATAACACTTTACTTAGGTCTATCACATAGGCATTGCGCCAGTGCAATTACATAAATAAATATATATATTAACAAGAACAACGTACTTTTTCTTTTATGAGACATATAATAATTGTGTTATATGTGTCAAGTATAAGAGAGACATTGATGTGTCTACTTTAAAATAATTTTTTTATAATTACGTTCTATATTATTTACAATAACATTGATCTTGTGGCAAGAGTTTATATATGCAGTAGTGGACAGTATGCGTAAAAGAAGATTTCCCTTAAGCATATATAGACAACAAAAATTGCAGTTTATTACAAATTAGATAGCTGTAAAACACAAAAAGTCGTGCGGAAGCGTGTTAATATACAAAATCATGCAAAGAGCGCTAATGCAGCAGTCCTTGTCTGCATTTGGAAAGACAGTGTCTGATGACTGTCTGTTGACAATTTTCGGCACGGTTATTAATTACGGGATACAGAGAGGTGTTCGATTTACCGTCGAGTGTTCGATTTTTATAAGGCGTCGTCCTTATAATATCGATTGTATTCTTTTATTCATTACACGGATGAGCCATTTCATGAAACCAACCGATCATTCGGTAAGCAATGTTTACACTCTCCAGAATTGGTTGCTTCCAATTTTCATCTGGATACGATAACTACGGACTCGTATTCGAGGAAGCTTGTAGAGAAGATCGGTATAACAATGACACATAAAATGATATATCACAATTACAAAACTCCCGACGAGAAAAATTTTTACCTGGGAATATGCTACAATTAGACGTACTCTGCTCTGATTCTAAGCACACAGGCCGATGATTCAGAACGTCGCATAAAACGTTCTCTGGGCATGGATTACTGGTTTTACACGGATTCTGGCATAAACAATCCACGCAAATCTCGCATTCTGTGCAATCTGTATCTACGTTGCAAGTCATATTTATTTTATTCCAAGTAATTTCAGGCGTGCTGGATTGCTCTGTAGAATATTGCGTCGTCGCATATTGTTCTGTTGTAGAATATTCTATTGTAACATGCTCTTCAGGTGTATATTGTTCCGTAGTCGAGTATTGCTCTGTAGATTTTTCGAATGTAGTAAGATTCTCTATAGTAGAATATTCTTCTGTAGTATGCTGTACTGTAGTAAAGAACGATTGTGTAGACGTGGCAAGCTGTCCTTCTGTAGAAGAATGTTCTTCGGTGGGATATTCAAAAGTACTATACTTTTCTGTAGTAGAGATTTGTTCCATAGTGGAAGTCTGTTCCGTTGATTCTTTAATCGTAGTATATTGTTTCGAAATAGTAGATTCTTCTGTAGGTTGTTGTGACGTTTTAAGTTGTTCCGTGGTAGAATATTCTTCTATAGTGTACTGTTTTGTAATTTGTTTTGATGTCGTAAGTTGTTCTGTGGTAAATTCAGATGTGTCATAACGTTCTGTGGTCGAACTTTCTTCTGTACTATATTCTGGTGTGCCATGTTCTGTAGTAATATATTCTGTGTATTGTTCTTCGGTGTATTGTTTCGAAGTAGTGTATGATTCTGTAGGTTGCTGCGACGTTCTAAATTGTTTTGTCGTAGAATATTGCTCTGTAGAATATTCAGGAGTGGTATATTGTTCTGTAGTCTGTTCTAAAGTTGTAAGTTGTTCTGTAGTCTGTTCTGAAGTTGCAAGCTGTTCTGTAGTGGAACGTTCTGTTGTAAATTCAGATGTGCCATAACGTTCTGTAGTAGAAATATATTCTGTAAACTCTTCGGTGTATTGTTTCGAAGTAGTATATTGTTCTGTAGGTTGCTGTGATGTTCTTAACTGTTTTATCGTAGAATATTCAGGAGTGGTATATTGTTCTGTAGTCTGTTCTAAAGTCGTAAGTTGTTCTGTAGTCTGTTCTGAAGTTGCAAGCTGTTCTGTAGTGGGATGTTCTGTTGTAAATTCAGATGTGCCATAACGTTCTGTAGTAGAAATATATTCTGTAAACTCTTCGGTGTATTGTTTCGAAGTAGTATATTGTTCTGTAGGTTGCTGTGATGTTCTTAACTGTTTTATCGTAGAATATTCAGGAGTGGTATATTGTTCTGTAGTCTGTTCTGAAGTCGTAAGTTGTTCTGTAGTCTGTTCTGAAGTTGCAAGCTGTTCTGTAGTGGGATGTTCTGTTGTAAATTCAGATGTGCCATAACGTTCTGTAGTAGAAATATATTCTGTAAGCTCTTCGGTGTATTGTTTTGAAGTAGTATATTGTTCTGTAGGTTGCTGTGATGTGAATTGTTTCATCGTAGAGTATTGCTCTGTAGAATATTCAGGAGTATTATAATGTTCCATAGTCGAAATCTGTTCTGTAGATTGTGCAAGTACAGTGTATTGTTTTGTAATCTGTTCTGATGTCGTATGCTGTTCTGTAGTAGAGCGTTCTTCTGTGGTAAATTCAGATGTGCCATGTTCTGTGGTAGAAATATATTCTGTAAACTTTTCGGTGTATTGTTTTGCAGTAGTATATTGTTCTGTAGGTTGCTGGGACGTTTCGAATTGTTTCATCGTAGAATATTGCTCTGTAGAATATTCAGGAGTGCTATATTGTTCTGTAGTCGAGATATGTTCTGTAGTGCTCGATTCTTGTGTAGCTTCTTCGGTACGATCAATATTTATCGTAGATATTTCGGTATATTCTAAAATATTCGGAGATGATACCGTATAATTTGTTTCCATAGAAGACGTTGTAAAACTCATCGTGTTATTTTCCATATGTGATTCAGTAATTTCTTCTGACGGTTTCACCGTCAATTCTTTAGATTCCGTGGTAGTAAAATACTGCATAGTAAAATATTCTGTCGTTGTAGCTTCTTCTGTCATAAAAGTTTCTTCAACATTTATATTAGGAACTTCAGTAGTAGGAACCATAGTTACATTTTCAGGAACTTCTGTAATGTTATTTACTTCCGTCGATTTAGAAATTGTTGTGATTTCAATGCCTTTATCAGAAATCGTGGTATCGATAATATCGGTACGATTGGATGGAGAAGTTACAGCTGGAATAGTAGTTATTTCGAATATTTCGGTTGTTGTAAAATTATCCTTGTAATCAAATTCACTCTGTGTTCTTGCAGTTGTGGTAGAAGAAAATATATTTTCTGTAATTTCTTCTGTCGAAGTAAAAAAACTAGTTGTCGATTCAATTTTGGAAGTAATCGTACGTGCTGTTGTATATTCCATTGAAGTGGTTTCAATAACATCAGTACTTTCGATTGTCGAAGTGGTAAAAGGACTAGACGTAACGTTTTCTAAAATATCAACATTTATCGTTGGAATCAAAGTATTCATTTCAGTTGCATTTAATATTGAAGATATACTTGTCGTACGTTCCGAAAACTCGGTAACGATTTCTGTCGATGTGACTGTTGTATCTGATATACTTGTTTCGGTAGTAATATTTTCCAATAAATTTTCAGTAACTTCGGTTAAAGGAACTGTATTTTTCTCCGTATGTGCAACGGTTGATATCTCTGTGGTGGTAATAGGCGGTGTAGACGACGGAAGATTAATACTTGTCGTCGTTTGTAATGTGGTATGAACGGTTTCGGAAGAAACCTGATCTGAATCTATAGAACGCAACGTTGTTACGTCACTATATATACAATGTTTATCGTTAGGATCGCAACTGCAAATAGGCCTGTGTGCTTCAACTCGGCACTGAACTGCCAATTGACACTCGTTGATACATGGATCAACGCAGGAACTTTCGACGCAGGCTTCTACGTCACTGCAGTCATCATCGGACTCGCAAACTGGCTTAGGCATGGGGTGAAGAACTGCTGCGGATATAATATAATGTAAACATAACTGATAAAGTGGCAAAAAAACTGAAATCGAGAAGCGATTTTAATCAGGGCTACGCTACAGATCAGTTTACAGTTTATTTCAATTACTACAAATTAAGAGTTAGCATGCTCGCATTATAATAGCTAAGCTGATTATAAGAAACATTATATTTTAGGTCTTTACAGAGACAGATGTAACGGAAAAATCCTTGAGAATAAATCGGCAGAGGAAATCGGCAGAATAGAGCAGGAGATTAGGGTATAAGGAAGATACTTGTAACGTAAGATCTGTAACTGGGAACCTGAAATATGCGTCCAGACAGCAAAACAGGAAAAATATAATGCGTTATTGTAAAAAAAAGTTGAAAGCAATTTCGTGAATATATTAAAATAGTCATAAGTGAACATAAAAAAAAATTTTAATTATATTTTGCTGTCTGAACGATGAAAAGACTGAAAAGTAGCAATTGTATGTCTCGTGTAAGGCCAGGCAATGTAAAGAGACGTGATAAAACGGCTAATGACAAGACTCAGACTAGTGTTTTCTGAGAAATGGTGTTTACCTTTCATGCATCCGTATTTAGTATCTGGCACAAAGCCGGGGGGACAGAACTTGCAGATAGGCTTGTGCTCCTCCACGTAACAGGGGGCATCAGCCGGACAGGTGGAGTTTCTGCATGGGTCCACGCAGCGATAGTTGCGGCACGCCAAGTCTGGAGAGCAGCCACTGTCTCGCAGGCAAATGGAGAGGGAGGGATTGCAGTTTTTAGTACAAATGCATACGGGACGATGGTCCAGGACATCGCAGGTTTTATCGGCCGTACACGGTCTTTTGTTTCGTACGTTACAGGGATTCTGACATTTCCCGTTGACGCACGCGGCGTTTGACGGGCAATCAAAGTCCCTCGAGCAGGTGAGCGTGTCAGGGGCACAGGTCAATTCCCCGATTTCGTTGACCACGAAGCCATATTTGCAGACGCACGTAGGGCTGTGATTCCGTACCTGACACCTCTTGTTGACCTCGCAGGTATACCGATAACTCAAACACGGATCGCGACACTCGCCTGTCTGGGAGTGGCAGGAGAGACTCTCTGGACAGTCGTAGTCGGAGGAACAACCGATGCTCGGCGTAGGTTTAGGATTGAGCGTATCGCATTTGGAATCTGGATGGCAGGCCGTGTGGGGCATGCCGATATAGCACTGCGGACATGAGCAACGCGGTTTGTGCAGAACCACTCGGCACAGAGCATTGATCCCACAGGCACCGCGTAGCGCGCACGGGTCCAGACATTGTAGATTTATGCAGGCTTTTTCATTGGGGCACTCTAAGTCGCTGGTGCATTCGCGCTCTATTCTCACACACGATAGTGGTGGTGTAGTTGAACGGTGTAGAGTTCAGTCGTGGTGGGTTGTGGTGGGTAGGACAGGAAAAAAAAAGAAAAAAGCATTTATAAGAACTGTGAAAAGAAACTTTCTCACAAATAACATAAACCACATGCTTTGTATTTATATATGATGAAAGTAGGGTAGCTCTGTGAAGAAGTATAGAGATAAATAACAATGACTTTACAACTTTTATCAAAATATATATCGTCTCGAAGAAATTACAACGGCAAGCAGCGATATTTACAATACAAGCCCCCACAGATTTCAGAATGTAGGAGGAAAATAATAAAACCCGTGAATATCAGCAAATATCAAGCATGGGTATATGAGAATGTCCCTTTCGCAGTTCCCAATCTGTACTAATCCTAGAATATAGAAATAAATAATATGGTGTCGATTGTAAATGTGTACCTCCTTGTATTCAAGTGGCACTATAAGGTAAACGAGTACATCCTCAAGACAGATTGGATACTGAAATAAACATTCTACATATAAAGTTATGTGTGAGATATGTGTGAGATACGTGTTTTCTCTTAATAAATAAAAAATTATGTACAGTATGTCTTATATCGCATATTTATATATGTATATATTGTATATATATTATATGTATATATTGTATATATATATGTACACACTTGCAATGTTGTACTCTCTTTGCTGTGAGTAAATATATGTAAATATTCAGTATCGCGTGGCGATTATATACTGCTCCAATCACATCTGTCTCTTAATGTTAACGATTTCACTCGATTAATACATCTATGTTTAATATTAAAAAAAACTAGACGATACATGGTTATTCTACGGACCATGTTCCTGTGATTGTCAGTATTGCTCGCTAGTCACAAATGCTGTACATAAAATTAATTAATCTGCTCGGTTAAAAAGTTAGTAATAGGCTGTTTTCTTACCTGTCGTGCACTCGATATCGGGTGATCCGCTAGTACCTGGTGGGCATCGGCAGACGAATATAGCACCGTCCCGAATACACTCGGCATTCTTTCCGCATCCATTCGTTCGACAGTCTCCTAAATCTCTATCCGAGCTACCTGTATCAGCAAATTATTAATGATGCTAGTGCAGAATGATTGCAGAAACAACAATTACGAATAATAACTGTTTTGCTACAATGCTAAAATATACTTTTTTAAATATTGTGTATAATCCTACTCTTTCTACTTTCTACTTTATTTATTTAAAAAAATATTCTAAAAAAGATATACAATTTTTCTTCATGTTTTCTCTTTCATAGACATTAAATATTTTCATTTATTTAATCAGTGTATATCTTATCTATAAATTATTAAAATAAAAAAAAGTAATACGTACATGCGTGCATTGGATCGCCCGATGGATTATTTGATGGGCAATAACATTGCGGTTGATTTTTGTAAATTCGACAGGCAGCATTAATTCCGCAACGAGTGTCCTTGCAGAGATCGCCATCGCAGAGACACACTTGATGTGGATCACCGTGGCATCCTGGATCACACGTGCATTCAAAACCATTTAGAGTTTCTCGGCATTTAGCGTTAACACCGCAAGGCCTTCGTAAACATTCGTCTCCGCCTGAAAATGATCAAAGTATGTAAATATATTGTTAAATTTTATACATATATATATATATATACACAATAAAATTGTTTCGTTTGTAAATATAATTTTTACAAACGTAATAGACTTACCTTTCTTGCAATTGATCTTCGGATTGCCAAAATGTCCTGGTGGGCAGGAACACTGCGCCTTCCGGTTGATGACACGACATTGCGCGTTAAAGCCGCAAACACCATGATGTAGACATGGATTTGTACAGACTCCGTATTCACTGCAACGCTTGTTCGGTTCGCAATCGTCGTCGTGATGACACTCCAGTTGGTAGCATTCCTGGCTCGGTTCGCCCTGATAGCCTTCCGGACATAAACAGACCGCGCGATGATTTGAGACGCGGCAGAGTGCGTTTATTCCACAGGGTGATCCATGAGCGGAACATGGATTCTCGCATTGACTATTTGTGCATGACAACGATGACGGACAGTCGGAATGAGTGCGACAGCCGACCAAGCATAAACCTCCATCGCATACGTATCCCTGTATTTAATAAAAGAAAGATGATTCTTTAAATAATTTTTTTATTTTTATGATATATTAATATTGATTTAATTTCAATTAATTAATGATTTTTACAATATATTTCTAATAATATTAATATGATATAAATAAAATTTAAAAATATAAATAAAAAAAGAATTTAAAAAATCTCAGAACTCACCTTTGGACACGCATTATTAATGTCGCACTTGATGCGGCACTTGCCACTGAAGCAAGCCTCTCCACAAGAACAGTCGTTCTGATTATGGCAACTGGTAGTGCAAAAACCGATTTCGTCGCACTCGCACAAACCGTCGCAAGGAATCATGGTCTTGGCACAGTTGATTAACGCGTTGCCGTAATAATTAGCGGGACAGCTACATTGAGCTACATGATTTACGACGCGACAGCCTGCGCATTCTCCGCACGCCTTGCCACCCTCGCATGAACCTGAAGATAATAATACATATCAATTACATGTCTCGATCATGTAATTAAGAAATCTATATTTTTACGATATAGATCATTCATATATAGATTCGTATATTGATAATTCATAATATAATGCAAACGTATACTTACTTCTGCATTGATTATTGATACAAGATTCATCGCCTGGACATGTGTTATCGCTGCGACATCCAATATCGCACAGGCGATTTTGACATATTTGATTCGCAACACAGTGATCATCACTGTTACATATCGCTTTACAAATACCGCCATCGCATCGTTCATCGCTCAAGCAATTTGCATCGCTGAAAAAAAAAAAATATTTAGCACACATCGGAGCATCGCATCGTGAGAATTTGTTCACATGTTCGTGTGATCTCTTACCTTTTGCAAGTGGAATAACAGGATCTGCCGTAGCATGTTTGCCCTGGTAAACATTCGACGTCAGACGAGCAAGAAAGGAATGCCTGTTTGCATGCAATACGAGCGTCTCCTACTAAAGGCGACGAGCATGTACATATTTTTTGGTGATTGACGGTCGTGCACTTGGCATTTATGCCGCAAGCGTCAGCCAACGAACATGGATCTGCAAAAATAAGAATGAATAAAATATAAATTACATTTATAACTTCTGTAAAGTTGACCTCCATTTTTTAAATTGTAAAAAAATTTTATTAGAGTTCTGGATATTTTTCGAAAAGTTCTAGTTTCTTTACTAATTTTGAAAAAAAAGTTTTGTCGTTGAATTTTTATATAAAAAAATATTTTAATAAAGAATTTTCACCTCTGCACTGGTTGTTTAGACACGCATAATTATCCTGACACTCAATGTCGGCCCGACAACCGGAAATGCACATCAGTCCCTCGCAGATCTCGCCGCTCCTGCAGTCTTCATCTCGTCTGCAGAGTGATTTGCATATACCGGAGCTATCGCATCTCTCGTTGCTCAAACAATTTGCATTGGTCGAGCACACAGGTGTACATGTACCAGCGACGCAAGCCGTACCCACAGGGCACTCCCGATTGGTCGTACAGATCGGCCCGGGTGTCCTCAGGCAGGCGACCTTGGCCGTTGGATTCGGTATGAAACCGGAAGGACAGGAACACGTAGCACGTTGATTGAAGACGGTACATTTGGCGTTTGGTCCGCATGGTGTGGCCTCGCACGGATTCACGCACTTGTTGCCCGAACATGCCTCGTTCGCATTGCAATCCTCGTCGGCACGACAACCGAACGTGCACATATTGTTCAGGCAGATATGACCCAGGAAGCAATCGTTGTCCAATCGGCAGGTCAGCAAGCAGTTGCCGCGAATGCATTTTTCGTTCAACGCGCATTCGTCGTCGATGGTGCAGATCGGTAAGCAAACGTTCTCGCGACAGGTGTTGCCTTCGTGGCAGTCCCTGCTTCCTAGACAGGACACTGGCACTGCGAGCAATGATGGATTCGTAATTTTGTAAATAGAGTGATGGATTATTCTGATATTGATAAATATTGAGGATTGCGTTTTACACACTTACATCTTACGCATTCAACTTCGGAGTTACCGGTGAAGCCTGGTGGACAGCTACACTGTTTAATGTGACTTCTTACTTTGCATTCAGCGTTTATGCCGCAGGTTCCTCTCACGTCGCACGGATCCAAGCATTGTCCATTCAAGCAAACATCTGACAAGTTGCATTCCTCGTCCGATTGACAAGAGGCTAAAATAATATTATTTATGTTATTAAATGTGGTAGAGTTCAAAGAGTAGAGTTAATATATATTCTCTTCTATTAAAATTTGATATTTTAAAATTGCTTTTACTTACGTCGACAAATGCCCTCGTAACAATAAGTATTGATCGAACAGTCAACGTGCGACGAACAGATCACCGGTTTCGGACGACATCCTACGCTCAAATTATTCGGATCGCCTTCATAATCGGCGCGACAATTACAACTTGCGGCATGATTACTCGCGATACAGTCTGCATTTGGACCACATCGGATGCGTGCACAAGTATCTAAAACAGAAAAAGTTGAATAAGATATATACTTTTAAATATTGTATAAATATTAAATTGTTACATATAATTATATAGGATAATATAAATTAATTATAATTATATAAAGCAATATAAATTATATTAAAAAAAGAATACATTTACGAAATAAATTCATAAACTTAATATACGTACCAAAACATTTCGGTACATTATTAATATTGACGCATTTGGCAGTAAGTGGGCAGTCTGTGTCCTGAAGACATTCTACTGGCGGTTGACAACCACTATTATAAGGATCTCCGACTGTACCGGGCTGACAATGACATTTGAAGTGCCCTCGTGAATTTTCGCACAATGCACCTGGTGCACAAGGTGTATTGGCACAATAATCTATTAGTTCGCAAGCATGTGTAGGTTCTCCTGTGTATCCAGGTTGACACGTACAAACCTAATAGTAAAATCATAAAAATTGTACATTAAAAATATAATTCCCTTGAATAAAAAAATCTAATCTTAAAAATTCTAGAATAAAATAATTACTTGGACATGTTTCTCCGTTGTGCAAATCGCATTTACGCCACAAGGATTATGAGCAAGGCAGGCAATTCTACATCTGTGCAGATCGCAGATCTTCTCCTGAGTACAGTCTTCATTGACTTCGCACTCAATAGGCTGACAACCGATCTTATCGTCCTTAGAATTTCCGAAGAAACCGTGATTACAGGTACACGTTGCGATATGATTATCGGCCTTACATGCGGCATTACGGCCGCAGAGTATCAAATCACAAGCTGCACGGCATTCCGCCTAAATAATTAACAAATTAATTTTTAAAATATTTAAATTTTATGAACTTATAATTAATATATTATATATATTATATATTATATGTAATATAAATATATATATATTATTTTGTACATAACATAAAGATACAACCATAACATAAGATTACCTGTCCGATACTGTTTTTAAAGCATTTTTCGTCATATCCACAGTCACTGTCTGACGTGCAACGTAATTCTTGAACACATATGTTATTATGGCAGTATTGATATTCTGGGCAACTGGAGTTACTTCTGCAAGTAGGCTGACAAATGCCATTGATGCAGAGTTGATCACCAATGCAATCTCTGGTACTTCCGCAAAGTGCTGCAAAGTTGCAAACATGATATATTTTATACCTTGCGATAAAAATTAATTTTATCATCTTTTACACATTTGATCTTGATTTACCTGTGCATATACCTCCATTGCACACTGAACCAGTTGCACACTGCGAATCAGTCTTGCAATACTGGAGTGGAGTACATCCAAGATTCGGATCACCTGTGCCACCAGGTTGACAGGTGCACACTGCGCTATGATTTAGCGCGGAACAATCAGCTCCATGTCCGCAAACGTTTGAGAGGGAACAAGGATCGACGCATTTATGATCGAAGCATGCATCAGATGGACCGCAATCGCTGTGATAGTTGCATTCCAAATGAACACATTCAGTCTAAAAATACAAAGCACGTGATTAGAGAGTAGATTAGAGTCGAATATAAAATATTATATTATAATATTATATTATATAAGCAAATATATAACGCTTTTCTTACAAGGCTCCTGGGCCTTCGTCGTCATGTAGTGACGTCCGAGGGGAAGAAGCACAGTTAAATTCTTGCGTGTCATTTGAAGAAAGAAATTTAATGACACATCACTTCAGATGACTTTAGCACACTTTTAAAACATTCTGAAAACTATCTTTATACCTTTATAATCAATCAACGTAAAATAACTGTGATATGAAGTTGTATCTTATATATGCAGAGTCATTCCACACGACGAAGTCCGATATCACATTACTTTACGGTTATTGATTGACTATCAAAGGAAAAAGAAGAGTTTTCGGAATATCTTAAAAGTGTGCTTTAGTTCTGAAGTTGTGTTTCATCAAAATATCTTTTATCTAAAATTGGTACACAAGAATATTCTCACCTCTCTGATCTTGCTTTGTTACCCTGTACGTTTAGCGTGAAGTTAATTGAAGTTAAGAATTAGTTCAAGTTATTGTCGACAGGGCGGCGACACCGCTGCGCGGGAATGTCTTGTAGTCGGGGATCAGTCTCGCTCGAGACGTGCAGCGGAGCGGACGTGTGGGATGCGCTTGTCTAACGGAAAGGATAGAAAGAGAGAGACGTAGGGTCTGGTTGGGCCGTCAGGCGAGGTGCTTGGCTATATGAAGTTATGTATCACCGACAGATGGCGACACCATTACGCTGGAGTTTCGCGATGTCGTCTGTTGTTATTGTCTGTCATCAGTCTCGCGCGAACTGCGCAGAGTAGTGGATGTGTGGAGATATGAGTTTAATTTATGTTATTTATGTCGATAGATGTTTAGAGAAAATTATATTTTTTAAAATCGTATTTTCTATTAAACTTAATATATTGAATTTGTATATAGTGCATGATTAAGTAATATACTTTTATGTATGCACTGCAATAATTTTTATGCATGCATTGCAAGTTTTCAGATTTTATTAGAATAATAATTTTTATTTTATTAAAGAATAATATAGCTTCTATACTATAATATAATTAAGCTTCTACTTCTATTAATATATACGCATATATAAGCGCTTTGACAAAATGTGAGAAAAAAATATATATAATATATAAATAAAAATATATGTATAATATTACGTATATATTATAGAAATAAAATTAATACTCACTGCTGGATTTCCTGTCGTCTGTCCCGGACATCTACAAATTGGAACGTGATCACGTGCAAGACACTCTGCATTTCTTCCGCAAATTCCTGGTGCATCGCATGGATTCGTGCATCTATTATCGATGCAGGTAGCTGAATTTGGACAATCGGAATCGGTGAAGCAATCGCCTGGTTGCTTGCAGCCAGTTTTAAATGGATCTCCTACTAAACCATGTGGACAGATACAAGCAAACGATCCCTCCGTGTTTTGACATCTACAAATTTTCGAAATTTTATTACTAAAATGCCGATTGCAAAATTACAAGTAATTAATTATTATATTATATCACATATATTTATATATATTATTATATTATATATAAAAATTGTAAATTTTGCTTACATAGCTGAGGAATGGCAAGGATTTTGCAAGCATTCGTTAACGTCAGCGCAGATATCACCGATGAGAACAAAGCCAGGATAGCATTTACATACGCTAACATGGTCGATGGCCAGACAATTGCCATATCCGCAATTTACTTGATTGCAAGGACCTGAGAAGACAAAGTGCAAAAGGTATATAGATCTGATATATATACGTATATTTTTTTTCGCGTATTTTATATTTTTATTAAAATACATCAAGTGCAACGCAATCTTTATCAATACATTTAATAACATGATAACTTACTGCTGCATTTGTTGATCTCCTGATTGCAATATTTATCTGTCGGGCAATCGCTGTTGGAAAGGCATTCTACTTTGAAGCAGCCCGAGGCATCACCGATATAACCAGGTTGACATTGACAGCCAGCTACATGATCCAGAACAGTGCAAATAGTATTTGATCCGCAGTCGACGAAGGAGCACGGATCCGAACAGTTGTGGTGAACGCAGGCCTGCGTGTCCGGACAATCCCTATGCGCGATGCATTGATGCGGCAGTGTGCAGCCCGACCCTATAGGATCACCAGCGGTGCCTTGAGGACAAGTGCAACGATAAGATCCGTGGAGATTGATGCATTCGGCGCTCGGATGACACGGCTGATCTTCGCACTCATTTATATCCAGACAATGTTCCGGGCCAGCGATAAATCCGTGGCTGCATCTGAAAAGGTAAGGTAAATATTTTAGAAAATTTTGCACATAAAAATAAAATCTTTATTTGAGTATGTTCTATTTGAGTATGAGATAAAAGAAAGAAATACCTGCACTTGTTGTTGATGCACACTTCGTCGCGTTTGCATCCGATATCCGACGTGCAGCCGGCTTCGCAAGTACCATCGATACACAGTTCGCCGGGCAAACAGTTACTGTCGCCATAACATATCTTTACGCAAATACCATTCTTGCAACGTTCACCTTGCGCGCAGTTGTTCTGTTCCGAGCATTGACATTGACACAATCCCGAGACGCACAGATGTTGACTGGGACAGTCTTGCGGAGTTTGACATACGCTCGGCACTCGAACGCAACCTTGTTCCGGAGTAGGATTACCGTGGAAGCCGAGAGGACACGTGCATGTAACTGCATGATTCGAGCAACTGCAGATCGCATTTGGTCCACATACGTCCTTTCTTTCGCAAGGATCTAGAAACGAATATTTATTTTTATTTCAAAATCTCTTTACACATATATCTTTTTATTAATTTATATTAATTTATATATATTTCCAAAATTAATAAGAGTTTCAAAATTACATAATATTATTTGCAACATACCTTGACACTTGTTGTTAATACATGACTCGGTAGTTGGACAATTTTTATTGCTGCGACAACCGAGAATGCACCCTCCGCTAACACACGTCTGATCCACTTGACATTGAGAATGCGAAATGCATGATACCATGCACTTGTTATTGATACATTTCTCTCCATCTGAGCAATCGGCGACCGAACGACACACAGCTAAAAAAATTAAAAGAGTTCTCAATTTCTTATATTTTTAAAAACTTCACAAATAAAAATTTTTCAATTTTTGAAACAAAATTACTATACAATATAAATTATTTAATAATAAATTAAAAATAAAGTAATTAAACATAATTAATAGAAACATCGAATAATCACCTCTACATTGTCCGTCAAGGCACACGCTGCTCTCACATTCGGAATCCACTGTACAGTAATTCATATCTCGTACGCAACCGTGTTCTGGACCCTTCGAGGACGGAACGAATCTGTGGATGCACTTACAACTTGGTCGACCATTGATGATTTCGCAGAGCGCGTTAGGACCGCATGCGTTCTCACAGGGATTCACGCAGCGATTTTCGTGACAGACGGAATGCACCGGGCAGTCTTTGGGGCTGGAGCAGTATCCCTCTGGCTGGCAGCCGTTCACGTAAGGATCGCCTACGTGATTTGGCGGACACCGACACACCGGTTCATTCGTCGGACCAGCAACGCAAAGCGCGGTCGGATGACAGGAATCTGAGCGACACGTTTCGACGGCGACGCACTCGACATCGGGCACCGGGTTCGGGCGCAGTCCAGGTGGACACTGGCAGATTGCTTTATGATCGTTCGCGATGCAAACGGCGTTCACCCCGCAAGCGTTCTCGTCGCAGGCGTCGTAGCAAGTGTGCGTGAGTCGGTTGCAGAGCTGTGCAGGTGGGCAGTCGATGTTGTAGACGCAGGGCACCGCGCGACACCCGGATGTCGGATCGTTAGGATCACCGGCGTACGATCCAAGTGGACACTCGCAGTTCGCCACGTGATTATTGACGACGCAGAGCGCGTTCGGGCCGCAGGAGACAAAATCGCAGACTAGTTGACAAGTGAGCAGACCATCTGGAGTGCCGCGACACGTCTGATCTTCCGGACACTCGCTGTCAGTGGTACAACGGTTCTGACGCGGGCTCTGACAACCCCGGCGATCGTTCGGATTACCGGTATAACCCGGGAGACACTGGCAACTGCCGTGATGATTCTCTGCCACACAGCGGGAATTCGCGGTGCAGGTGAAACCGTCGCAAAGCGACATGCACTTGAGGACGCCGAGCGCGTCCGGCTTGCAGGCCTCGCTCGAACGACAATCGTTGTCTTTTATGCAATCGGGCACCGATGGTTTCTCGCAAGACGACAATACCGGGTTCCACTCGTAGCCGTCTTGACACTTACAGGTGGTATGACCCTGTACAATGTCAGGCTCGCATTTCTGATAGGCACCGCACACCACTTTGCTGCAGGGATTCACGCAGTCGTGCACATCGCCGTCTAAGGGGATGCAGAAGGAACCTGGCTGACAGTCCGAGTCGTGTGTGCATCCTGGTATCACGGATTTGGATGGCTGACAACCCTCGACCAGATTACTCGGATTGCCCAGATAACCGTCGACGCACAAGCAGGCTGACACGTGATTCTGCGTGATGCAGAGTGCATTAGGTCCGCATTGCAGCTTGCTGCAGGCATCCACGCACTTGCGAACGCCTTTACCGATCTGGAAGCAAATCTCCTGGGGCTCACACTCAAGGTCATTCGAGCAGTGACCATGCAAGTGACAGCCTTTGTGCAGATCGTTGGGATTACCGCTGTAGCCTGGTGGACAGACACATGCTCCGTTCTGACAGACGGATCTGGGGCCGCATTTTATGTCGCTGCATTGGTTTATGCACTTATGATCAACGCAGGTGTAATCGAAGGGGCATGGTACAGAGTCACTGCAGACGCATGTTGAAGGATCGGCGCATGGACCTACTTGGACCTTCCTGCATCCGACGAAAGGATTGCCGAAGAAGCCGTTCTTGCAACGACAATCATAGCTTCCGATGGTATTGATGCACACCGCGTTGCTGCCACATGCATTTCCGTTGCACTCATTGATGTCTAATGAAGAAATATGAAAAGATTTTTGTTATTCTTTAAAATATTAGAAGAATAAAAATCTGTAGCAATGTTTCAATAAAAATGTCATTCTGTCAAATGTGACATTGTTTTAAGTAATTATCAAAAACCATCATTTTCGATTGCACTTAGAAAATTATGAAATTATTTAGATAAATAAATAAATCGCATTTTTTAAATATAAATAAATGAATAAATTTGTATATTCTTTCTAATATTTATATAATATTGTGCAAAATTACTCAATTATAATATACTTTTTTTTTATTACATGCCACTTTTGTATCAGTTATAAAAAACGACACACTTTTGAAAATATGAGAAATTTGATATAATGTAAATAAGAGTATAACAATTAAGTTAAATTAAAATTAATAAAATTAAATTAAAATTGGCTATACTTACCGAAGCATTGAATAAATGGATTGCCAGCGAAGCCAGGCGGGCAGAGACACTCGATAGCATTAAGACCTGCATTGCAATGCGCATCCTTTCCACATACCGCGGTAGAGCAATCAGATTTTTCTTGGACACCGCAACCGTGATAAGGATTTCCGCTGGTACCCGGATTGCAGACGCATTTTGAATCTTGAAGACCGTACTCGCAATGCGCATTCTTTCCGCAGATTGGATCGCATTGGGGTGGTTGAATTGCTGCATATAAAAATTAATTATTTAATATGTTACTTGTAAATATTATTTCTTTTTTTCTAGAAAAGCATTCATGAAATGTGAAATCTCATTACAGATGCATGTTACACTTACGTGGCATACAAAGCAGATCGGGATTGCCGACGAAGTAGGGGTTGCATACGCATTTATTCGTCAAAGGATCGCACACGGCTCCAATACCGCAAACCACCCCCTCGCAACGTCTCTTGCAACGTCCGCTGATGCATACGCTTGGTTCAGCGCATGGGATTTCAGGTGAGCAAACATCCGGCACGCATTGTCCACCGGGGAAAGGATTGCCCATAAAACCTTCGATGCATTTACAAGTCGGTCCATCGTAACTGACGATACATTGAGCTCCGGTGCCGCAAACAAAGCCATCGCATTCTATATCAGATAAAGTTGCATATACATATAATATGAGATAAAATCACACTGATATCTCTCTCACTAATTAATAATATTGATAAAATAAATATACACGTAAAAATTAAAATTATATCATAAATTATCAAATATTTTTTAACAAACACAATTTATATCAATCGTTCGTAATAATCTTTTTTAATAAAAAAAATCGCTTACATTATTAAATATATTAAAATTAAAATGCAAGACATATTTTTTTGTAAATAAATAGTGCAATTTTATTCAAAAATTTATACTCACGTGAGACACATTCGTTGTTCTTGCCCTCCGTGAAACCAATCACGCATCTGCACCACGCTGCATGTTTATCGGGCTCGCAATACGCGTTTGGACCGCACGGTATATTGTCGCAAGGATTAACGCAGCTTCCTTGGACGCATGTCAGATAATTTTCACAATCGTCGTTCGAGGAACACTCGCTTTTGCCGGTCGGAACTCCCGTACAGCCAGCACCGTAAGGATCACCGATCATGCCTTTGGGACATTCGCACACGTGATCTCCCTTCGTGTTGATGCAATACGCTCCATGACCGCAAGGATTATTCGCGCACTCGTTCACGTCAACACATCCGTGCTGCGGGTCACCTTCGAAACCAGCTTCGCACATGCATCGTGGCGGATCACTCGGTGTGCATTTTGCATTAATGCCACAAGGGAAACGGTCGCAAGGATCTGCAATAACGAAAAGTAGCAGTAGAGACGTGAAATCATGAGAAAATATTAATCATGAAACTGTGATATGTGAAAACTGTAATTATAATGTAAAATTGCATTATTCAGACTCACTCTTGCATAGATTTCCATGGAAGGGATCTGTGTAGAACGGCGGTGGACACACGCACTCGCCAGGTTGCACGCACTTCTCGTTAGCTTTGCATTCGTTGTCGTTGGTGCACCTCTTCTGGGCTGGAGAGCAAAGGCCGTTGTAAGGATCGCCACCATATCCATGCGGACACACGCATTGATGAGCACCTGGTAGATTAATGCACTCGGCACCGTAGCCGCAGACTTGATGTCCCACGATACACTCGTTTATATCTGCACGCAAATAAATGATTAATGGATCTCATATAAAAAAAACGAGTATGAATTTCCCTCGACACGAATGTCGTCAATTAAAGAATTTACGCTCAATATACCTTCGCAGGATCCATCGGACTTAGTCGTGTAACCTTTAGGACAGGCGCAATAGCTGACACCGCCTGCAATCGTTATGCATTCGGCACCGCTTGGACACTTTTCGCCCTTCGAGCATCCAGCCAGCATGCATTTACCATTGACAATCTTATACGGTGGTTGACACTGACATTCGATGCTGTTGCATTCTGCGAATTTTTCAAATTTCAATTATCATACAATATCAATGAATATGTAGAAATATCAAAGATATGAATCGAAAACTGTATATATATATATAACTTACCTTCGCAAAGCGAGAAGGGATTTCCATTGAAGCCAGGTGGACATTGACACTCGTAGCTACCAGGAAGATTTTTGCAAATCGCGTTAACGCCACAAGCGGGCTTCTCTCTCAGCTCCATACACTCGTTGATATCTCTGCATTTACCGGTCTCGTGATCGCGCATGTAACCGCGTTGACAGATGCACACACTACTGCCTACGAATTCGTCCTTAATGCACTGTTCTCCAGCGGGGCAGGGTGCACTGGAGCTGCATACGTGAGGTGTTTTGGTCTCCTGGCAGCCGCCGCTGTAAGGATCGCCCGCCATTCCACTGGGACATTGACACGAGAAGGAACCGGGCTCGTTGTTGCAGATAGCGCCTGGAGGACAGGGATTTATCGCGCACTCGTCGATATCTCGGCAACCTCCCTTTACACCGGGCTTTCCGGTGTAACCGTTGCTACAAAGGCACGTCGCCACGTCGTTCAGAAGCATGCAATGAGCGTTCGGTCCGCAAGATAGATCTTCACATGGATCTGATCGGGCAGATATAAAAAATTAGGCACTGATAATATTTTGTATACATATAAAAATATAATTTTTTTTCTATTTGATATAAAATCTGTTATATCTGAAACAAGAAATGTATCACACTTACGTCTACAATCGTTTCCGACATTGGGCTCGGGACATAGACATCTCTTTTGCTGATCACAAATAGCGTTTCCTGGACAATCGTCGTCGACCTCGCACCTGACTATACCGACGCACTTAATATAAGGATCTGGATCCGGTATCGTTTCTTCCGGACAAGTGCAAGTGTAAGAACCTTCAGTGTTAGTACACGTTGCTCCATGACCACAAACGGGTTTAGTACACTCATCGATATCTGTATTTATTTAAATAATATTTTAAGTAATAATTTTTAATTAGTATAATTTTATAAGTAAAGGTATTAATAAATTTATTATTAAATAATTTAATAAGTAATTATTTAATGATAAATTGATAACAAATTTGCATAGAATTGCAAAAATTGATATATATTATTAATTAATTATTTATGCAAGAGTTTTACCTATACATTGTTTGAAGGCATTTCCTGAAAATCCAGGTTTACATTGACAACTAAAACCACCGGGTATATTCGTGCAAATAGCATTTTTGCTGCATCTTCCAGAAGGTCCATTTACAGCATCGCATTCGTTTATGTCTAAATATAAAACAGTATTTGTAAAAGAAAGCTCTTGTATATATATTGTACAAAGAAATAGTTTTCAAATATCTTGATTCATTCGTTTACTCACCGACACATCCAGCTGCTATATCGTTTGGATTAAAGGTCCAACCGTCTTCGCAAATACAGTAAGCCTCGTGACCGTCAGCTTTACAGAAGGCATGTTCTCCACAAGTTACCTCATCGCACGGTGCTTTAAAATAATATAAAATACAATTAATTTTTTTTTTAAATAGAGTTCTTGTTTTCTTTTTATATTTTTTGTATTTTCTTTGTATAAAAATTTTTGTGTATATAATGCTTTTTCTTCTTAAAATAATACAATATAATATTATATTGTAATAATATATTATATGATATTATTGTAATTAATAAATATAATTAATGATTACCTTTACATGCAATGTGGGGCGGAGTACCAACAAATCCTGATTCGCATTCGCAATGATAGCTTCCTCTAGTATTCGTACAGATCGATGCAGGTCCACAGGGATTAGACAGACACTCGTTCAGATCTGCGCATTCAGCACCAGCGGCTTTGAAGCCATCCTTGCAGAAGCACTGTCCTTCGATGCACTCGGCATTGTTAACACAATCGAAGTTCGATTTACAGAGAGTCGTCACGTCAGTCTGAAAATTATATGATGATATCTTGTATGTACTTTTATATTCATAACATTTGTCTTGGAGAATTTTTTACTGGTCTTTATTTTTTAAATCCGTGAATAAAAAATATAAGTAATAAATGAAATTACGAGAGTAAATTTTGAGGCTTTATAAACAATGAAGAGTATGTATGGCTTTGGGGAAAAGAGGTAAACTATATAAAACCGGTTTACATTCATCTTAGTTTAGTACACAATGCTGCTTCGTTTGCTTCCTTTTATCTGTCACCTTCATAAAAAGGAGCCGCGGACCGGTCTGAAGGTGTAGAGCAAGGTCTATTTTTGAAAGATGTTTGTATCGGGATATTTATAGACCTTTTATATATACATATATACATACATTAGGTGACTACTTAAGACAGGACACAACGGGGGTTATTGAATTATTACCTGCTCGCATGCGACTGCCGAACTGGGGTTGGCACTATACCCTGTTGGGCAGATGCAATTATAACCAGGAATCTCGTTCTTGCAAATCGCATTCTTTCCACAAGGATTCTTCAGAGCTGTGCATTCATCGATGTCTAGAAAAAATAGGATATTACAAGATAAAATTTATGAGTTTAAATGATTCAGATGCAATTAGTCAGAGAACTAGAAGAGAATTAGAAGAAATGTAATAAAAATATATCAAAATTATCAACGAAGGATTAGATCTGATGCTCTTAGAGCCACCCTTCGTTGAACTCATATAGAGAAAGTCTCTGTAAGAAGAGATATATCAAACGAAAGAATATCAGTTAGCTAACCGCTGCATTCCTTGTAAGGGTCGCCCGTGTAATCCAACTTGCAGGTGCAGACAAAGCTGCCAATCGTGTCGGTGCATTCGGCATTCTCGCCGCATGGATTGCGCTTGCATTCATTCACGTCTGTTAATCGCAAGATGAATCTTATTAATTGTTAATGTGCAATGAGATATATTAGAATTAAAGCGAGCTTGGCTGTATGACTGACTTTCGCATAGAGTTAGTCCTTGGCCGACGAAACCCGGGGGGCAAATGCACTTGTACGACCCCGGGACGTTGATGCATCTCGCGTTGGTGACGCAAGCGTTCGCGCCAACGCACTCGTTCACGTCGACGCACCCGTGCGCGGGATCCATTTGATAACCGGCATGGCATCTGCACTCGAAGCTACCGTTGGTGTTTACGCATTCCGAGTTCGCTCCGCAGGGTGAACCTTCCTCGCACTCGTTTATATCTGTTAGTGACGGTTAGTTAGTTAATTCATTCTTGGCACGAACACAAAAGTCTGCTTAAGTGAATCAGTCAACACATACAACGAATTTTGGAGTTTTAAACTAGCATATTTTTATTATCTTGGTGAAAGACTGAATTAAAGGAATTTTAATTCTAAATAATGTTATATGTATTACTGATGAAGCACACAATAATTAATGATATATAATATTTATGTCATTCCTACGATGCACAATTTTATTTCTTACGACATATATATTAATGTAATATAACGGTTTAGCTTAGTGCAATAAAGTATAACAAGTGTGCAATTATAATTATTAAAAGTGATTGTAATTATAAAAATTTTCTCAAGGCTTACCGTGACAACCTGACCATGGATCACCATCCATTCCCTCAGGACATGAACATCGGAAGCTACCGTGTACGTTCGTGCACAGAGCGGAACGTCCACAAGGACTTCTTAGACATTCGTCGACGTCCCTGCATTCTTCATCGGGACTACCATCTAATCCTTGAGGACATTCGCATTTATGTGCGCCTGGTAAGTTTATGCATAGTGCACCCTTTCCACAGGCACCCTCGTATTCGCATTCGTTGATATCAAAACACTAAATTTAAACAAATTTGTAATTATATATATATATATATATATATACACATATATAATAATATATAAAAGATTTCATTATTTCAGATCATCAAATGTTTAAATTGTTTTACAATAGAAATTTAACAATTAATTAACATTATTATTAAATAGTTTCTTTTACTATTATAAAAAAAATTTTTATATAAATGTTTTTAATTGAAATATTTGTCTATATATATATAGTATATAATTTGCTCACATCCTCCACCATTATAACAAAGTAATTATTAAGATTATTAATATCTCGATCATAAATAAGGGTCTAATATAACATTCAAAAAAATTTCTACTAAAGTGTTACCGAGTCACACGTTTATTATTACGCACTTCAATTTATCATCCTTTCTTTCATATATTATATTTTTATTTTTTATTATTTTTATATACTCACACTGTCGTACGGGTCTCCCGTGAATCCATTTTGACACGTGCAAGTATAATTGCCAGGTATATTGTGACAAAGTGTATTATCACCGCATGCACCTGGTATCTCGCACTCGTTCACATCTTCGCAATGCACCTCACCGTCGCCGATGTAACCGGGTTTGCATTTACAGAGAAAATTTGAAGGAAGATTGCAGCATTCGGCATTTTCGACGCAACGCCCTGCGAGCGCCGGATCTTCGCATTCGTTTATGTCTGCACAGATATAAATTTATAAATGATTGCAACACGTATATGCAACAATTATTATTGTCTGTTAATGATAAACTTACCCTCGCAATGAAAGCCATCGCCTCGGTATCCGGGAAAGCAGGAACATTGAAAACTGCCAAGAGTATTTGTACAGTGGGCAAATATATCACAGGGCCGATATTTACATTCATTCTCGTCTGTAATTTTTAATTTTTATTATTACATAAATATTACTTAATATTTAATTCACGAATAGAAGAGAATAAATTTACAGTGCATATACTTGCGAATTTATCCAAAAGTTTGCGTACAATAAAATATACGAGTTAATTAAGTATAATTAAAAGAAGGCGTATTATAATTATTATATAGTAAATATAATATTATAATAAGAAAAAATCGAGTTACACAAACCTGGAACTTGACAATTACATCCTCCAAATCCATCATTACAGTGACAGACCGAATTCAGACACACACCGTTTTGACATTTGGTGCCGTCTTCTTTTGTACAGTCGTCTATAAATAACATTTTTAATCAAATTTATTACCAGTTCCTATTTTGAAATATATATTTTAGTTCTTAATTTAACAATTTATATTATTTTCATTATTTCACAAGCTACATTGAAACATACATTTTTATAATCTATTATATTCATTTTAGAAAAGAAATAGAAAATTCTAAATGTTTATTAATATTTAAAAAAATAATATTAATTTTTATATTTTTTTAAATGTAAAAATATATTGAACATTTGATTTATTCAAGTAAATAGTTAACAATTTTATATAGGTATCCAGTATTAGAGGATACATTTATTTATAAAAAAAGCATATCCTGTCTGACGCACGAGCCATTTTTGCTGGTCATTAAATAAGATTATCCAAGGAAAGGAAACAAATAAATTGCGCCTATACTGTAAGCCATCGGTTAATCGCGCAATTTTCTCCTGTCGGGCTAATCGTCGATCGAACATCAAAGTTTTTTTTCACAAGCCGCGAAGCCGATACGTTCGGTAGATTCAGGTAACATGAACCGCTCATCGACGCCTCAGCAACGTCAATTACGCTTCTATCGGGAGAAGATAAAGTCCGTAGGAAAATAAGAATAACTCTGCAGCTAATTACGATGTAGGCGTTACTCGGTATGATGCGATATATAATGACGCGAGAACACACACATCCCCTTAATTGACGCGACGAGATTTATCATGATTTGCGTGAATGTCTCCGCGATATAAAGGAGAATTATTTAGCCTACCACATAATAACATCAAGAATGACGGAATAATGTAGAAAAGCAACGGAAATGTTAACGATAGTGCGCTGTGTCATGCGATGTCTTCCTTTTTTTACTTCCTCCTGAGGAAGTGCACGATCGCTTCGCAGTGACATTATTATATTATTTGCGAGAATCTCTGAATGGATTCGTGCGAGAGGACAGATCTTTTTCTCACAGTCACAACTCACCTGTGCACTTTAACTTGTTGCGCTGCTCATCCGCGCCCTGGTAACAATCGCTGCGACGATCGCAGAGCTTTGAGAGCTCGAGCAGCTGCAAAACATCCGTCGATTCGTTCACTTGGCAGCCAAAATAGCCGTCCTCGAGGTTCAGGAAGAATACTTCTCGCCTCAATCCATGGCCGAGCCCGTTACGTGATTCGGCCTGAAAAATTAGAGGGTTGATGTCATTTTTTTTCAAGATTGACGTGAGAAATTACACAGTCGAAAAATTTGTGTTAGATTTAACAGATATCACATGTTCCAAAAATTTGTGTGTCAATTTAACATAATATAGATGTGTTAAATGAAGACACAAATACTGTGTTAATATTTTAACACAAAATAAATGTAAAATTTCAAATAATTTAAAATAAATTTTGTGTAAAATTAACATAGTTTTAATGTAAAAATTAACTAAAAATCATCTTCACTTATATTATAAAAGAAAAAATCAACATTTTTTTTCTGTAAATTTTAACAAATAAATCTTGTCACTAATAAAACAGAAGATATTTATAGTGTAAAATTAAAAATAGATGCATATTGTGTTATTCTTACATCTTTTTTCAGTTGTTTTAATAATTTTACATTTAAGTTCAATTAAGACAACAGCAATATATTAAATTAACACATGAATGTGTTAAATATTTAACACAAAAATTTTTAACAAAAAACACAAAGTTTCCTACTGTATATTTTCGCAATTTTTAACTTTGATATGCATTCAATTTTAAATTAAATCAAATGGTTCTTGAAAAGCTCCGTCTCTTATTATAATTGTATGCAATTAAAAATACCTTGAAAAAAAATTAATGAATCCCTTTATTCGCAGAATAAAAGTTTTTAGGTAAACTCTTACTTACCACAGGATACGAAACTAGAAATATCCACGCCAGCAACGGCCAAAGATGTTTCATCTTTGCTGTAAGAAATAAAATAAAAATTATTGATTATTTCATATTGATATCTCGCACAGGTATGTGAATTTAATTTATTGACAATGAGACGTGGAAATTTATAGCGATGACCAAAACGTTTGTCATCTTCTCTCGCAGCACACGTTACAAAAGAGATTTAAATAAATTCCTAAACACCTAGCAGCCCGATGACTTCACGCAGGAATCACCCGTGGTAATTGCATCATCGCAAATTCACAAGTGGTTTTGCAAAAAAGAAAAAGAAAAAAAAGGAAAAAAACGACACCACTCGACGACAACACCCTGAGATTTTTCACGATCACGATTACATCCGGAGGTGAAAAAGGAAGAAGGAGAGAGGTATTCGATATTCTCCATTCTATGTTCACGGTATAAATCACGAGAAAAGCATCGCGGTTGCAGGAAATCATCGGAAAATCAAGCGTGAATACAAAACCGCAAGAAACCGTCGACCGTTTTTTTAGCTACGACGGATAAACCTACACTGGTCAAACACCTGTTCGACGAACAAGCCGTTACTCCACCGCTTCAATGTGTGGCCGATTCACGAATGTACACCGGTCAGGTCGGCTGATCCATCAACCCCCGCAAGTAAATCACATAAAATGTGGAGAGATCGGTTTCATCGTTTCATCGACGAAGGATGTACAGATTTAATATCCCAAAGCAAGAAATGTTTCGGTACGATAGGCATAAATAAATGGCGTATTAATCACTCTGCACGCGGAATTTATAATTGCTAATGACATGACGGCATTAAAATAAATTGCCGATAATAAAGATAAAATCAATCATTAGGAACAAGTTAATTGAAGCTCATCGTTTAGCATCGCAACTTGATATCTTAAACCTCATCGCTGCGAATAAGTTGGGAAATTAAATTCCCGTTACAGAACAAAATTGACGCACCAATTCTGATCCTCAAATATATTTCCTACGTCTGCAAGGTGAACAGCGCGTTCGACTTAACATCGTGGGAAAATGCTGTGTTTTCGCCGGACTTGTGCGAGGGAATTTGTACTCCGCATAGAAATGCGGAAGTCTAAATCGTTGGATTCCCTATAGCACATCTGTTTTCTGTTTATCTCTTCAAGAACGTTGCGAAATAAAAATTTTGCAAAGAAAGAAAAAAAGAAAATACAATCTTCGCGGAACAATCGGGCATGCAAAAACGTCTTCGTTCTAGGTCCTTCGTAGGCGAAGAACGCACTATGTATACGCGCGTGCAACGAATAGCACAATAAGTCAGAGCTGTGGCGATCAAGCTGGCGCGGTGAAATGTTAACGACTGCACGCGGCTAAGCTCACAGGGTGGATCGAGGGGGTGAGAGGGAGGAGAGAAGGAAGGATGTTGTGTTCGCCAACTCGGATGAAGAGGAAGAGAAGCGGAAAGGTGCGCAAGGAGGAACGACCAAGAGGATAGAAGAGAAAGAGAAGGGAAGAGAAGCGAAGGAACGTAATAAAGGAGGGCGTACGAGTACGATGCACCTGTAGCCCTCCTGGCCCCTCCGACCACCTCGCATCGTCGTACCCCTAACTCGTCAAGATATGTATAAACCCACAGCTGCGCGCGAGTGCGGGAATCCACGTGAGTTCCCTTATTTTAATTTTGTCACGAGAACCGGCTCCACCCCACCGAGGGCGAGCGTAATTTGGGGGATCTGGTTTCACTTCCGCGATACTATTTTTTTTTAGTCAAGGTCCTTAGATATGCATAAAGCGAAGAGTAAAGCTGCTTGATCGCGTACGTGAAATTGATACATTATCCTATTAAATGTAATTTGTTCCATGTAATTATATTAATATACATATAAAATTTGAAAAAATATATAGTTAAACTGTACATTTAATTATAATTGTTTTTAATTTATGGAATATATTAGCATTTAATATCTGCATTGCAGCTTCTACGCACATTTTGCGGCTTCGGTGGTCTTTCAAGTTTTATTATGAAAGTGAGATGATTGTGTAACGGTTCACAGTTTACGCGTCAAAGAAGTGTTCTATCTCGTAGTTAGTTTCTCTAACTGGTTAATAATTTGCTATAGCTAACGTATTTGTTCATTTTATAAAATTATGCAATAGCATAGTAACGTAATATGCATATAATAACTTTGATAAAGAATCGTAATAAGTTGACGTGTATAAATTTCAATAGATTGTACTAACAAAAATTTATTTCTGAAAAATAACTCAACAGAAATTTTTATTTGCTTGCTAATTATATAAAATCTTTATAAATATTTATTATCACACTGAAAAAAAAATTTATCGAATTCAAATAAATACTTATTTTAATACTGGCTTATAAATCATTTATTTAAACGTAATAATATTGATTCAATGTGAAAAAATATTTACTTGTTATAAGAAAATTCTTTCTCCAAAGTAGATAAATATTTGTTTCAAATAAATGATTTATAAGGCAGTATTATAATAAATATTTATTAATTTAATAATTTTTTTCAGTGCAATAAAAATAAACGTCTTGTATAAATTTTGTTGAATATTATATATGCTGCAACGTACATAGATATAGATAGAATTATGAAATCTCGATCTTGATTGACATCGATCTTTCTGCCTCAGGCGATTGACATAGTTACATTGGTTTTTGTCGATATCTCTTTAGCGTATGTATATGTGTCGCAATCTTAAATTGGTTAGTCAGCAGCTGTGTCGCGTATAATCTAACCATATATGTACGCGCACTTTAATTTTGCATCACACAGCGCATCTGTATGCACAAATGAGCTGTATCAATTGCAATGAGCACTTATAAATATGGAGCATACGAGACTCCTACGCGCAACGTTTCGAATTGAATGGTGTCGATTGCGATTCTGTCATTGGTTTTCAATCGAAACGAGGTAAATCAACACATGATTGCTTTCTTATATGATTTAACGTATAAATTGTCTCAATTTAATACAAATTGTATATCAAAGAATGTTGCAAAATGTTACACGCGCGCCATTTATTTTCTCATGTCATTATGTAATAAACTGCAATTAAAAAATTGCAAATTAAAATTAAATTAATTTATACAAATAGTTTCTCGAACTAATTCACAAATTAATTCAAGGTAAAGTTTGCGAATTAAAATTATCAGGAAAGTTATGTGTTGCAAAAAAACCAATCGGTATCAAGGATAGAAAGCAACAATAAACTTCAAGACTTTAGACAGGCCTTTGACATATTAAAATATTAATTTAACAAATCTTTTTCAAGAATAAATATCTCTTATTGTTTCACGTTATTTTGCTCAATTTCAATCTTTACACTATTAATATCCATATTTAACAGTAAAATCCTTCTTGATGTTACACATGTAATTTAAACATTAAATTAATAAATTAATAATAATAGAATGATGGAATAAAAAATGTTATAATCATGTTACATTCGATTTTTCTGTTCTCCATGACGTCGTTCATCGCAAGTTGATTTAATTATCGGTTTACACATAACTCGAAATAGATATTCCAGGTCAATAACAACCTCGGTCTACGAGTCATCGGCTTCACGGATTTCTTCTTTATTATACTTGCCTCGCCCACGAGACTCTCGGTTTATGGAAACTTGCAGGTCGGGAACAACGTGTGTTTGTACAACGGCGCCGTGAAAGTGTCTACATATGTGACTAGAGAGAACATCCTGGCGGTAGAGATGATTCTTTTTCTTATAGCCAGGGGACCAGGGGTACGTCCCACGCGTGCTAACTCAAAAGTACAGCTATAAAGCTGAGTGTATCTACGACTTTGATGTAATGGAGCGCAAAAATCATGAGAATTATTTCGTTTGCAGCCAGAAGCTAGTTGGCACTCGATGTTACGTTTGGAATCTCGGGATTGTTACTCGGTATTGTCGAGAAGAATCATTAACTCAGTACATCGACAGCATCAAAATGTATGCACTTTCTCCTAGACTGACCTAGAAACAATATAAATTCTTTTTGAATCTATCATGAGTGCTAATTACGTTTATATTTTAATAAGTGATTTATTATTTAGAGATTTTATTAAATATATATATATATTTAACAAATGACTTTACTTACTTGGTATATTTATAGCGGTTGACAAATATTCCATATTACTCTTCATAGAAAAAAATTATTTTCTATAGTAATTGTCAATCAATATATAATTTCAAATCTACTTTCAAAATTTCGTATCAAATTTGGCCGGCAGTTTTAATTCATAATGCGTTATGAAGTCAAAATAATAGGTAATTTATTTTTAAATTTGCCTCATACGGTTTGCGTAATGTCTCGAATTAATCACGATGGCAATTCTTTAACGACAGACATTTACGTTTTTGTAATGTCGCCTGCAGATGAATTTGCATGTTTAGCACCCACTGTCTATAACTTTAATTGCATAACCGACGTGCTAAGTCTTCCTACGTACGCTGCTAATTTCACGCATGAGTCTTTTTACACACTTGTGTAATTCCTCAGCAAAGTAATCCAAACGAAGAGCTTCCATTGTTTGAACGCGTGTGTTCTAGTTGTTAGATAAAATCGTTTTTTTTGGTTGCATAAATGATTTAAAAGCTGAAAATCTCTCATCATATAAAATATACTTTAAAAGAACAAAATGATGGAAAATGTTATTATAAGCTCCGATAGTTATCATATAAAATAATAATTGATTTAATGAATGTGAATGATTTAATTGCAAGGGAACTGACAATAGAAGGCGATGGTATAAAATAAAAGAGCGATATGCAGTAGCCCCGCAGCGTTCTAATTACTCGGCTTTTTCTTTTCGTTTCGCAAACCCGCATGAATGTATGTCAAGATGCACCGATACGCATATATGAATATTTATTCATATTATGTGTGTTAATTAGAGACAAAAATATGCGAGGAAGCTTTCTCCTTCTCGCACTTAACAAGAATCTGTCTGCGCATAATATATAAAAGAATGCGCTGACACACGAGACTATAAAAAGAATTAATCTTTCAAAAATTTGAAAC